TATGCATGAAGTGCACTGCAAAGGAGTGCAGGGGGGGAGAGAAAAGGGGGGGGAGGGGCAGCAAATCTCTCCAGTGCTGCCACGGTGGTCCACTCTACTCCAGTGACCCGGGTGCTGAGGCAGGGTCCACTTTCTGCCCCGCCTCCTCCCTCCCCCCTTCTCTCTCCCCCCCCCCCACTACTGCCGAGGCCTACTATATAACCTCGTGCCACGGCAGACCTCTCGCCTACTTCATCAGTTTTAGATTTAAAGCTTTCGTGACTGCAAGGATCCATACTCTTTGGTTCTATTGGGTAAAGTCACGTAGGTAAAAAATAAAATAACAAAAATCACGACGTTTCGACCACAACACAAGTGGCCTTCATCAGGTGAAGGAAGGAGGCGACCTGCGCTTGACTTTTTTCACTCCAACGCTGTCCTCCGGACAGGTTGGTCCCTTCACCTGATGAAGGCCACTTGTTTTGTGGTCGAAACGTCGTGATTTTTGTCATTTTATTTTTTACCTACGTGACTTTACCCAATAGAACCAAAGAGTATTCATCGGTTTTCTCTTGCTGTGGTCGTCCCACCTGATGACGTTTGCTTGTGTTGCGATCGAAACGTCGTGATCTATGATTTTTCTACCTACGTGACTTTTACCGAAATAGCCGAAGAGTGCGGAACTTATTTCAGTTGTGGTGCATCTATTTTTGGTTGCTGTGTACCTAACCCCATTATTTAGGTAATGCTTGAGCATTGAATATCACTGTTTTGGCTTTCGCGGGACTTTCCAAAAATGTAACCCCCACGGATATTCAAGGGTCTCCTGTATAGCTCTTGGTCAAAAGCGGCCTGGCCACAGATGATAGCTAAAAGAATTGGCTTACCACGTGGACATTTATCATAGCAAAAATACTCTAAAAGCATGTTTCTAAATGTGCAGGGAAAAAAAAAAACGGATGACCCGGAGAAAGGACCACGCAACCACAGGGAGAACATGCAAAACTCCAATAAACAAAATACATTAAGAAGATAAATCACAGAAAATGTAAAAAAAACAATGCCCATATATAAATCGATATTAAATACATTTCCTCAAATGGCAGTTGGCTTGGTGTTTTAAAAAACATTCATAATAAAGTTCAATAAAGTTAAGTTACAGACACAGGAAAAAATGTTGGGACGTTTATTGCACAAGTATATAAACAGAAAATGACATTATGGCAAGTAATATAATTAATGAAGAAAACAAACACACCGTTGTGAAACGCTAAATGATGAAGAAAGATTGATTACCATCTACTACTGTACGTAGTCTTTAATTCATAATGAAGTTTTTTGGGTTATATCACATAAATATAAATGTGCCACAAACTCACCTACACCCGAAACAGCCAATTAGTAAGGGTTGTCACGTGAACAAAACGTGCCGAATTTAATCTTGACTTAGAGCTTTCATAACTGCAGCAATTCATATTCTTTGCGTCTTTCGGTAAAACTCACGTAGATAGAAAAAGATATATAACAATAGAATAATAATAAAAATAAAGTGAATAAAAAAGAATAAAAATATCAGGACGTTTCGATCGCTACACAAGCAATCGTCATCAGGAGAAATAAGAGGGGGAAACCGCTGTGGCAGGCTGTTTTTAAAGGTTTGAAATGGGTAGAGCCCAAGGGTCATAAACAAAGTGGGCAGGGCTAGTGATGTGAAAGTGAGAAATTTGCGCTATCATTTGTGGCCAGGCTGCTTCTGAAAAAGAGCTATATAGCACATTGGTCCTTGTCTGGTAAAATAAAAATGTCATGGAACCTCCTTTGCCAGTACCAAAATATGAGAATAGGTTTTCCCCTTTTTTCTGCCAACAAAACAGGTGTACAGCACAAAGACAATGCACTATCAGAGTAATGAGGGCTCGGGGTGATAGTGGTTAATGCAGACGTGATTCCTTGTAAAAGGTTTCAGTTTGGTGTTTTAACATCTTAACACAGCTGTTTTATTGCCAGAAAAAAGGGGGAAAACCTATTCTCAAAATAAAAATAGTTTTAGTTTTAATAGTTTTTACAATCAGCTTCATCTTCACGGAAATGTGAAGAAGTCTTATTTTTTCCCAGTCTTAAATATAGTAAGATGATGTCATCACTGCGCACCTACAAGTATGAAGCATGGAGGCTAATTTTGCCCTTAATCATGGACCCGAAGCGTGCGGCGAGTAGTGAAGGTGAATATTAAAGGTATGCAAAAAGTTAATTTCATGTTTATTTATGCTTTATTATGTTGTTGTGTAATGTACTGCATTTTAGTCGGTGTTTAGTAAATACACAGGCAAGTTAGTTATGCTATGACTAGCCGTGGCTGTGGTTCCCCTATTTCCCGTAGGCCCTGTGCTAAACCAACTATGGATTTGCCTGCCATGGCATTTTCCAGAAACCTAACCTTCTACGGTTGGCGAGGGATTGCTGTATGCGTGTTTTGTGTAATTATCTTGGTGTTGTGTACATGGCCCATGGTCTGGTGTGTTTTTTTATATAAAGTAAGGGTGTTGTGTGCAGGGCACGTGCTGTGTGTCGTTTGTAAGATACTACATGGTCCCTGGTGTTATATTACAGCGATGTCCATTTCAAATAAGGTACATTAACAATTGTCGGCCGTCATTACGTAATAATATACGCTTCCAAGCAGCACTCAGCCTATTTTTGGAAAAAACAAACAATCCGATTGGGATTTGGCAAAGTACATAAACTATAAAAACCGATATCTGGTACTAAAGATGAACTTGCGAAGCTATCAACAGAAGGTGTTTACTGGATTATTCGCTCCTGTGGCAAATGCTATGTTGGTCAGACAGGACGAAAGAATTGCACAAGACTAAAAGAACACCAGATAAATGTCAAATTTTTACAAACACAACTGTCAGCATTTTGATTTAAAGCTTTCGTGACTGCAGTAATTCATATTCTTAGTTCTTTCGGTAAAGTCACGTTGAAGGGAAACAATAAAGTAATAATATATATAAAACAATAAAAATTCTCACGACGTTTCGACCATAACACAAACGGTCGTCATCAGGTGTGTCGGTTTGCATTAATTTCTTTATTTTTAAACGGTGTATTTATTTATTTATAAAAAACGTTAGCGCCACGCGCAGCGATTTGGCAGTTTATTTAGAAGGACTAGTCCATCTATGTTCTGAAAAGAGGAGGGGGGAGACGAAAAATTTAATGTATGCTGTCTGAAAGCCACTGTAAGCGTGAACAATCAATTAAGACCTGAAATGGTTTATCAAATCTTTACAATGATTGCTAAGCCAGAATCCATCTTCTCGGTTGAAATTGTCTCTGTGCTTGTATATGTGGATAGCCTCATGAACGAATCTCTCATGGTAGCCAGATGGCTTACAAAGAACCTCTGTCTTGGAAAAGTCAATGTCATGTGAGCCTACTGAATTATAACAATGATCTGCCACGGCCGAGGTGTTGGTCCTACCGTGTTTAATGTCTGCTTTGTGTTCACGAATACGGTCCGAGACAATGTAACTACTACCACAGAGGCAACTTAGTTTGTAGACACCAGGGTATTGTATGTCCAGAATCACATCTTTTACAGACGGAACCAGATCACCGATTTTATGTAATGTGTACACCGTTTAAAAATAAATAAATGCATGCAAACCGACACACCTGATGACGACCGTTTGTGTTATGGTCGAAACGTCGTGAGAATTTTTTTATTGTTTTATATATTTTATTATTTTATTGTTTCCCTTCAACGTGACTTTACCGAAAGAACTAAGATTACAACTGTCAGCAGTTGCAGAACATGCCTGCCAACAAGGATATTCAATTGATTTTGATAACATTGATGTTTTGTGTAACACATCATTATTTATGGTCAAGACTAATTAGATAATCTGTTGAAATTGAGAGAAAAAAATATATGTTTAACCGTTCTCATAGCTATAGCCTTAGTACTGTTTGGAAGCATATTATTACGTAATAACAGAAACAATCATGAAAGTACTTTTTTTAATAGACGCAGCTGTAATAGAACACCACAAACCATTTATTTAACAATCATGAAAGTACTTTTTTTTAAATAGACGTAGCTGTAATAGAACACCACAAACCATTTATTATCTTGCAAACAATACACAGCACGTGCCCTACACACAACACCCTTACTTTATATAACAACAAACCAGACCATGAGCCATGTACACAATGCTACACTGAAATAAAAAAAGCAAACAAAACGCGTTTTGTGTCGTTTGTTAAACAACACAAAACCACACCAACACGCACACTGGTTCCTGCACGTGACACAAACCCCACCAATTCCACGCCTATTTATGTAATAGTATTTGGGTCTTTCGGTAAAGTCACGTAGATAGGTTCAAAGAAAATAACCAAAAACTACGACGTTTCGATCGCAACACAAGCGGTCGTCTTCAGGAAAAGGGGGCTTTAGCTTCCAAAGGCAAACAATTTATAAGGGTTTGAAATGGGCGTAGCCCAAATGTCAGCAGCCAATGTTAATGCAAGTGGTGGGCAGTCAACCCGACGGTGGTTGGTTTTCCACCAATCAATGGGCTGTCAGGTGAAAATTAGCATGTTCATGGCAAAAATCGCAGAGCTACAACCGAGGGGTAGTTGGCACACAAAGTGGCTGTGTTGGTGTGAAGCTTGTGAAATGGGCGTAAAAGGTGGTAGGATGGGAACATCAAAGCCAGTTATGATTTAAACTGGTTGATAACGTCCTTGCAATGATTGCTCAGTTTGTACCCATCTTCTCGGTTGAAATTGTGTCTATATCTTTGTTGATGGCTAGTGAGTTTGCAAAGTACCCTCGTCTTAGGGAAATAAATTTCGTGTGAGCCCACCGCATTAAAACAACAAATTTAGGTAATTATATTGATTAACATGCACTGTATAATTGAATCTTAAGATAATCTATTATAAATTATATGAACACTCCACATTAACACCCCTGAGTGTGGGAGGCAGGCGACGACTTCGCTTACCTTGGCCAGCTCCAGCGTGAGCTGCTCTCGCTCCTCTTCGGTGAGCGTCATGGTAGTCGCCACCTCACCACCAGAGAGAGCATCGCCTCTGCCCTCATCACAGACCTGCGGCCCCCTCTCACCCTCCTTTCCTTCCGGAGAAACGAATTTATTTGGCGAGCCGAGACTCACATCTATGGAAAGGTCACATACACACAAACAAACACACATACACAGTCACATATCTGTGAGCACATTTATACACGTGTATGCCCAAGAATGGTCAGATGGCTCAATCAAAAGATTAACTACCAAACGAATTCTACTTTCGAGTTAATTCAGCCCAACTGGACACCTATATTAATTTATTTTCAGTAACATGGAACCTTCCTTGCCAGTATCAAAGTATAAGAATAAGTTTTACTGTTTCTGGCAATAATACAGGTGTTAAAAGATGTTCAAACAACAAAATAAACCTTTTGCAAAGAATCATGTCTGCATTAACCACACATACCAGTGGTGAACATGCAAACAAAAACATGCTCTGATAATTATATATATGCATGGTCTTTGAAACTTATTGGTCTACACCAGAGACAAGTCTTCTTTAGGGCCTAGTATCAACCAGTGTTAGACCAGAGAACGTCAAAAGGCGAAAGCAAAAACGCCTTTTTGTCCTACGGATATGTCAAGTTTCAGGTTAACTTGTTCATTCAGTAAAATAAACTTACGATTAACCTGGGTCACCAAAATGACACAAGTGGAAAACTTAAATACGAAGCACAACATTGAATCAGAGCGAAGACAACCAAACAGCGATGAGAGCAACAACAACAAAACACACCCAAGTGCGAATCAATCAGTCCAAAAATAACCGCATGACGGAAGAAATCGAACACAGCAAACAGTATAACACGACGCATAAAACACGTTCCTTCGGAGTGGGCAGGTAGGAACTTGGGTAAAGTCACGTAGGTAAAAAATAAAATAACAAAAATCACGACGTTTCGGCATATAATAAGACAAAGGAATTAGCATATAATTAGCTAATTCCTTTGTTAAGGCGCTTTGTTTCTTCTCACACAGCTTAAAGGTCGTGATCTGAGCGTGGCTTTTTTCACTCCAGCGCTGTCCTACCAGACAGTCTCGTCCCTTCACCTGATGAAGGCCGCTTGTGTTGTGGCCGAAGCGTCGTGATTTTTGTTATTTTATTTTTTACCTACGTGACTTTACCCAATAGAACCAAAGAGTATGGGTCCTTGCAGTCACGAAAGCTTTAAATCTAGAATAGGTAGGAACTTGGTTGGACAGCGCATTCGTGCGATCCGTGTTGGATACCCTAGTCGTGTTGGAGGTTGCAGCTGTTACTATCGCATCTGATGATGATTCTTCATTTATTGCTGATGTTGGATCTTTAAGTTCATGCTGCTGCTGCTGCAGCAGCAGGTCGCTACCCCTGTGCTGTGACGTCGCCTCCTGCGTGCACCACGCGCGCCAATCCACCCGACCTGGTCCTTGGACGGCCACGATGCCGTCGTCATCGCGCACCACGGTGCACGATGTTGAGCAGGGCGTAGACTCCGCAGTCGAAGCCGTTCGGTTGCTGCGGCACACAAGCACCGCGGACGATCGCCACCCGGCGTGCTCGCCGGCTCGGCGCGCACGACCCGGGCCACCACCGCGCTGGCGAAGGCCGCGGTGCTCTTGGCGTTGCGCAACTGCGCCCCGCGCGCAGCCATTGAGTCTAACAGCATGGCAGTCGACCTTGGTGGGCACGTGGCGTTGGCGATGACCATATGATTTGCGTATTTGCGTGCGGTGGATATCATACTTTGTTCAAGCTAAAAACAACACTCACCAAATACGGGTAAAAATTAGTGCCGAAACTCCAATTATGCGGATGGAATTCCGGATATGCACGACTGACAGACAAATAATCCCTGGTGGGCAGTGTGGAACCTGTTGTTCCTACCTGTATAATCCAGTACTGTATATACGAAGTGTGTATTTCGTGGGTTATTTGACTGCCATCTAGCGGGTAACGACAGTATTGTGCTCTATAACAGTAAAATACGACTGATGATTATGAGCACATACGTACATCAACAAACACTTGTATCAGTGACTTCAAACTTTCGTTGACTGCAGGAATTCATATTCTTTGGTTATTTCGGTAAGTGGAGTTCTGACATTACCAGTACGGTACATTTCATTAAAGAGCGTGTTTTTTTAAATATTATTATTATTTTTATCTCATTACCGCTCATGGCGTCATTGTCGTGACAATAAAAAGTCATTCGCAACTCTCGCAGCTGCGCATGAACCCCGTGTTAAACGGACATCACCAAACTATTCCGTGAAAAAAAAAACAAATTACCTCATATCCGCAATAGGGGGCACCATAGATGGCATTTAACCAAACTTGCCATCCCCTACTACACGTACTTGTTATGGCTTTTGTTTACGTGGAGCCATCGGTGACCGTATTGGGACGATATAAAGAGAATAATTGTTGGTTTATACACGGCGGATTATAAGGAACTGTATCACAAAACGCTTGCGTAATCCGCGAAATGACCGGGAGGCGCATTATAGTGAGACGTTGTCAACGGAATCACGATTCAGGACTGACCGCCCGCACTCCAGCGTACGACGCAGCACAGCATATCATCACCATACATCATCACCATCACAGCACATCATCACCATACATCATCACCATCACAGCACATCATCACCATCACAGCACATCATCACAGCACATCATCACCATCACAGCACATCATCACAGCACATCATCACCATCACAGCACATCATCACCATCACAGCACATCATCACAGCACATCATCACCATCACCGCCGCACATCACCATCACAGCACACCATAACCATCACAGCACATCATCACCATCATCGCCACACATCATCACCATCGCCACACATCATCACCATACATCACCACCATCACCGCCGAACATCATCACCATCACAGCACATCATCACCATCACCGCCCATCACCATCACCGCACATCATCACCATCACCGCCCATCACCATCATCGCCACACATCATCACCATCACCGCCCATCACCATCATCGCCACACATCATCACCATCACCGCACATCATCACCGCACATCATCACCATCACAGTACATCATCACCATCACCGCCCATCACCATCATCGCCACACATCATCACCATCGCCACACATCATCACCATCACAGCACATCATCACCATCACAGCACATCTTCACCATCACAGCACATCATCACCATCACCGCACATCATCACCATCACCGCACATCATCACCATCACAGCACATCATCACCATCACAGCACATCATCACCACACATCATCACCATCACAGCACATCATCACCACACATCATCACCATCACAGCAAATCATCACCATCACCGCACATCACCGCCGCCCCTCACCATCGCCGCCCATCACCGCCGCCCATCACCATCATCGCCACACATCATCACCACCATCACCATCACATCATCACCATCACCGCCCCTCACCATCACAGCACATCATCACCGTCACAGCACATCATCACCATCACCGCCCATCATCACCACCATCACATCATCACCACCATCACCACACATCATCACCACACATCATCACCACACATCATCACCATCACCACACATCATCACCACACATCATCACCACACATCATCACCATCACCGCACATCATCACCACACATCATCACCATCACAGCACATCACCACCATCATCGCCACACATCATCACCACACATCATCACCATCACCACACATCATCACCATCACCACACATCATCACCATCACCACACATCATCACAGCACATCATCACCATCACATCACCATCACCACACATCACCACACATCATCACCATCACAGCACATCATCACCATCACATCATCACCATCACAACACATCATCACAGCACATCATCACCATCACATCATCACCATCACCACACATCATCACCACACATCATCACCATCACCGTACATCATCACCACACATCATCACCATCACAGCACATCACCACCATCATCGCCACACATCATCACCATCACAGCACATCATCACCATCACATCATCACCATAACAGCACATCATCACCATCACATCATCACCATCACCACACATCATCACCACACATCATCACATCACCACACATCATCACCACACATCATCACCATCACCACACATCATCACCATCACCACACATCATCACCACACATCATCACCACACATCATCACCATCACCACACATCATCACCATCACCACACATCACCACCATCACAGCACACGCCACGTCCCACCACCCCGCGCCTTTGGCCTCCCACCCCACTTTGCGTCGCATCTTCACCACGCCGCGCTCGCCACCGATGTCTCTACAGAAGTAGCAGTGGTTAGTGCCTCGTGTTACAATTCCACCTGCAGGTGGTCAAGGTGGTCAGTGGTTAGTGACTCGTGTTACAATTCCACCTGCAGCTGGTCAAGGTGGTCAGTGGTTAGTGACTCGTGTTACAATTCCACCTGCAGCTGGTCAAGGTGGTCAGTGGTTAGTGCCTCGTGTTACAATTCCACCTGAAGGTGGTCAGTGGTTAGTGCCTCGTGTTACAATTCCACCTGCAGGTGGTCAAGGTGGTCAGAGGTTAGTGCCTCGTGTTACAATTCCACCTGCAGGTGGTCAAGGTGGTCAGTGGTTAGTGCCTCGTGTTACAATTCCACCTGCAGGTGGTCAAGCCAACAATACTGCTGCTGCTGCCGACGCCTGCTGGCTGTGACCACCTGGACGTGAGATTGTAGCTGCTGCTCTTGCTATCGACATCAGCAACCGTACAAAATAACAAGAGATACCTTAGGTCCTTTTTTTTGCCCTTTCTGGCAATAAAACAGTTTGATCGAGTATCTTAACACTTCTTTTATTGCCAGTATAAGGGTAAAACGTATTATTATTATTGTGTTTCTACAAGAGGTACCTTGTTCGGCGGCTTCCATACCAGGCCACTCTTCTCTCTGTCGCTCGTCGCAGTTTAATCACCGCCTGTTTATATTGACTAACGATGTGTGCGCGTGCGTGCGTGCGTGTGTGTATCTATTCGTGCTGCTGAACTTTTAAGAAAATTATCTCCCCTCCGATCACCCAACACAGCTGCTACGAGTACAGTAGCGTACAGTGCAGGTGCAACGCGATGTACACATCCGCATAGCCGGCGATATGACGTCAGCCGCGCGCATCCCACGACATTGCGTCGTCACGGGCAAAACCCGGCGACGTGACGTCACCACAATCGCCTCGTGACGTCATTACGCACGCGCTTCAGCTTACCCCACGAGGGGCCGCCAAGGCGGTCGCCGGTTCGATTCCACGGCGCGGCAGCTGAACCAATGGTGCGAGTTTCCTGCTGGACATCTGCGGAGAAAGAGCTTCATAGCTCATCGGATTCCTCCGGTCTTAATGAAAGATTCTGATTATACATCTCACCCGCTGCCTCTGTGCCTGCCCATCCCCCCGCAGCAATATTAGAAATGTGTCCACCGCCGGTGAGCCGATCGGCAGGAAGCGTGGGAATGGCCCAATTCCCACACGTATGGTCCAGTGTGGAGGAGACCAAATAGCCTCTAGCGCTCCATCTAGCGGGAGGTCTTCGCCAGCAGTGGCATGAGCAAGGCCGTTATCCGTAGGACTTCAAAATACGAAGTTCTTTCCAGTGCAATACGGTGTTTGTTATTTTCCTCTAAAGCCCAAGCAGTTCTGGAGGTGCGCCACGTGACGCCAAACACCCTGGGGGCACGGGATAAATGGAGTGTTGGGTAGGATCAATAATCATTAATAGTTTTCTCGTATGCCGGCTTTCCATGTAAGGGAAGTTCCAGACGACCGCGAGGAGGGTTCTGTTCTTGCAAATCTGCGCCACAGAATTCGCGAATGTTGGAAGACGGTGTTATTTAGAGTGTTTAGCTGCTATAAATTTCCACATGATAAGCCACTTCATTGGGCCATCATTTTTGGCCAGGTCACTTATGCAAAAGAGATGTACAGTATTAGCTCAGTGGGCCTTACCTGGTAAAACAAAAAAAAACATCCATAAGAGTTTTTTTTGGGTTCGATCCCGTAAGTATGAATGTGTCGTGAAACCCACCACCAGCCGATACGGCCGATTAATTAAGGTTTGTCACGTAAACAAAACTTGCCCAATTAGTTACTAGTTCAGCACATTGGCGTGTTGGAAAGTAAACCCACAACATTTGCAATTCGAGTACGACATTTCGCCGCTGATTGCAACCAACTTCATCAGGCGTTTATCCGGAATATATTTTTATTTTTTAATTTGGAAAAAGGGGGGTTAAGTTCCCGTATCCGACTGAATAAGGGAGAAAATTTAAAAAAAATCATAATAGTACTGTACTAAATTTTGATTTAAAGCTTTCGTGACTGCAGTAATTCATATTCTTAGTTTTTTCGGTAAAGTCACGTGACTTTACCGAAAAAACTAAGAATATGAAGTACTGTACTAGTCACAAGTAAACTGTACAATAATACAAATATAATAGCGCAATCCAACTGAATAAAATAGATACATTATCCTGTAAATTTGGAAGTTGAATTTACCGTGGATGATGGGAGTGCGATGGTGATGGTGTTTCCTCCACTCACTTTGCACAAACGTTAACGGCACTTGAACATGTGGATCGTGGGACAACTGATACAATGGCTTTGGTAATCACATGGACCACTGAGCTATGTTGCTCTTTTTCAGAAGCCACCTGGCTGAAAATGATGGCTCAGCAAAGTGGCTTATCACGTGGACATTTATAGCAGCCGAATACTGTAAACGCGTGTTTTGATTCTAAATGTGGAAGAAAAAACTGGAAAACCCGGAGAAAAATAGACACGGCCAAGGGGAGAGAGAAATGCAAACTCCAAATATACAGCAGCAGGCGTCAGGGTCAGGATCGAACCCACGCGCTCCTGTATACCAGGCGAGGTAGTCAACATCTCCTAGCCACCGTGTCACCCTGTACTAGTATCCCTCTAGCATGATGCGTTGTTGCCCAATTGCGAATGGTCGAATGAAAAAGGCATGAAATCTAAACTGGGAAAAAAGTATAAAATCTCGAAAAATGAAGGTTTTTACTGTAAAATTCCACAAGATATAGATGATGACTGATAATATAGTTAATATTAAAAAAAACACAATTGGATTCCTATACAGAAACAAACGCTATATTCCACCTCCATTCCGTATGAATATAGTTAATGACACTATCCTGTCCATATTGCATTATTGTGACACCATCTACCGCCTAGCTTCTAAATCTATCTTAAAATGTATTTTCCAAGATAAAGGAATCTCTGCTATGCAAAAGGGATGCGTTCCTGTGAAATTCCTCTAATTTACAATAGACATGTCGACATTTGTGGAAAAAAGAGATGTTTGACTAAATTTCAGGAAGTGTACAAAAATGCATGTGATTATCAGTTTATGTGCATTATCATTTATAATAAAAACTATTAGTTCAAACTTACCAGAGATGGCTGAAGAACTTTGCTGATCGAGGCTTATTGGGGTAAGCAGTAGTGGAATTATGCAGACGAAGGGGCAGGATCTCCTGCCTCTTCATATGATGATGAAGCTGGAGCCACAGGAATGTTCACCAGAGGAAGCTGCTTCTCTTCTGGGCTCTTTTACAGACCTTCTGGCTCAATTGCAGACAATTTAAAAATCTGTTCAAAGACAGCTGGACAGCATTTTCTTCTGCTGGTACATCTCCTTTTAGCAGTGAATGCCACTGGTCAATGTCCTGTTAACTCAAGAGCTGCGTCCTCTGTTTGGGTCATCCTCTCTGAAGATGTATATTTGTTTTTCCCAATGAATGAAACCCTCCGATAATCTTTTTAAAGTTAATATTCCTGGTGGTGGTGGGATTGTTTCATCGGCCTCTTCCTCAAATCGTTGTTCCAGCTGCATCAGATCCTTATTTGACAGGTCCTCACCACGAGATAACAGCAACCCCACCAAGTCTGACTCCTCCACATTGTCGAGGCCAGGCAGCTTCTTTTGGCCACTCCCACAATGTCACTTTGAATTTCTGGCACTGTCTCCTCGAATGCCTTGGAGTTGGTGACACATTTGAGCCGTACTTTTCGCCACACACCATATTTGACACGTGTTTCCTGCTACGACTCCCCTAATGCTGCCCATGGCCGACAGGACATTGTAGCCACGCTTAAAGTCCCTTGCTCACCTTTTTTTACCACACGTCATTTCCCTGATGAGCTGGGAGAAGGTGCGGTATAGAAAATAAGCCTTAGATATGGCGAGAACACTTTGATCCGTAGGTTACAGCGATGACGTCGTGTTGGGTGGCAGAATTATTATCACCTGAACAAGTTCGGATAAGTCGTCACGGTGAAATGACCTGGGACAGGGGTCGGCAACCTGCTTGCTCCGGAGCCGCATGCGGCCCTTCAAGGACTGCTTCGTGCCGTTATTTTATTAAGGACCAGAGTTCTCATATTCACATTAATTCGACAAAAATGTCACTTCTTGTTATTTTGGTTGCCTCGCCCTGACCTGGGGCATTGTCCAGGAGAAGCAATGCCTTGTGTGTCCAGTTGTTTCGTCGCAATATTCCTTAATAGCTGGGCAGAAATGCGAATTAAACCATTCTTGAAAAACTTACCTTGTGACCCAGGTTTGTTTTGTTCGATCGCCAAATAACACGGAGATGTTCTTTTATATTAAAAAACTATATAATACTATAAACATTTTTTTTTTATTTTACCAGGTAAGGCCCTCTGAGCTGTAGAGCACTCTTTCAGAAGCGGCCTGGCCACAAACGATAGCTCAACGAAGTAGCTGATCATGTGGGAATGTATAGCAGCCAAATACTCTCAATGCATGTTTCTAAATGTGGAGGGAAAACCCCGAGGGCCCGGAGAAAAAAATCCACGCGACCACAGGGAGAACATACAAACTCCAAATATACAGCAGGCGTCAGGGTCTGGAACGAACCTTGGTGTCTCCAAGTGGTAATCGAAAAAAAGGGTTGAGCTTTAATTCTGAAGTTTTTCCACCCAGCAGAAGAGTGAGGTGATCTTTGGCTGCGTATAAACCTGGAGCCAATCACCTCTTCTGCCCAAATAAACGTTCTTGCTGGCATCCGCTTCCAGTACAGCACACATTCTAGAGATTTCCCTTCATTAACTCGAATAGTTCTCACTGAGATTGGGGGGTCGGCCAAGCATTCTGGCAATTTCGACGACTTTTCACCTGTTTCAAGAAACTTTGATACTTCTGATTTGACCTCCAGATTAATACCGCAGGCGGAGTATGCATGGGGGGCGATGCCCTGCCCAAAATTGACACCTTTATTAATTTACTTTTAGGAGTTTACAATTAAGATTAAAATAAATAAATTAATTGTACGCACCCTCGATTCCTAATGTGAGGGACAAAGTGAACTCCTGCCCCCCCCCCCTCAAATATAGAAGTCAAACTCCGCCTATGATTAATACTTCGTCTTTGCGTTCTCTTGCCAATTGCACGACAATAATTCACCGTGCGTTTGGAACTCATCTTTCTCAGCCCGTTTGTCCTTTTTTGTTGTAAACCATCACCTTCCGCGACGCAATGTTTATTCCTACCGCACACGGGAGAGACCATCACACAACATGGGGATTTCATTGCAGAAGTGTGGTCCGTTTTTTTTTTACCGCGTGCCTTCCAAAAGCCTGATGCAGAAGATTCGTAATGGATACAGCCACATTTGCAAATGTCACTTGTGACTTTGATTCTTGCGTATCGATAGTTAAATTGTAGTGTGCCATATTTTTTGTAATGAACTGTGTGCTGTCTTTCTGTGTGGTCTGGGATTGCTTTTGTTGTTGTGTTGCCTTAACCAAGCTTAGACTGATGGCCTTAATCTAAGTTGTCTTGTGGTTGTTGTTGTTTCACTTGCATCCCACTGGGATTTTTTTCACACAGCGTTGGTGTACGGTGCTTTTTTCAGGAATATTTTTGCTGGTTTTTTTAAATGGATTTTCTGTTTGCGCAGTCACATCGTCACTTTAAGATGTTTTTCTTGTTCGTGTTTTTGTTTTTTTGATTGTTGCGGTTGCACCCGATTCAAGAGCCGTATGGCTCTCACAGGGCTATACCAAAATAAATTTAAACTGAAAAAATGAAACTGCATTTAGTGTAAAAAAAATCGGATTTAAATACACTACATTATTTGCATGTATTTTTATTTAGTGACTTGCTTATATTTTTATCTATTTTGCACTGCGCTCGTTTTGTTGTTGTTGTTAAATATTGTTTGTTGTTGCAACTTTCTTACCCGCCCCTCCTCGACATACATGAAAAGAGCTTCATTGCTCATCGGATTCCCTCCAGGATCAATACAAAGTCTAATGGGCGATGACGTACGTGCCCACCTGGCGTCCCCTCCCCCACCCCCCGGACGTCCTACGCGATGACGTCACCAACACCTTGCGACCCCCCCTCCCGCCGCCGCCATCCACACGGACGTCTCGCGGGGTCCTCGTACGCGACGACGTCATCGCGTCGCAAAGCAATACGTGATGACGTCACGCGCGTCCTCTCCACCCACCCGGCCCGCCCTCCCGCCGTCCAACTTCCGGTCGGAGCCGGAAGTGAGCAGAGTCCGTGTTGGAAGTGGCGCGGGGGGAGCGCGGCGCGAAGGTGACGAGAGAGGGAGACGGCGCGCCTCGGACTCCCCGCGCTCCCCTGGACTCCTGCCGGCTCTCGGCTGCTCCTCGTCGACTCCCCCTCATCAACGCCTCCTCCTGCCGCCCTCATCAGCCCTCATTTGCCACGGGCCCCCCACCCCACCCCCCCCCACAACCAGCTGCCGAGGGGGAACACGCGGTGAGTGAGGCCACCGATGGCGGTCGGTGTTGGGGGTGCAGCGGCGGTTACGGGAGACGAGAGAGGGGCGCGTGCGAGTGAGAAGCGAGAAGGGGGGGGGGGTGGTGCGAGTGAGACTCAGGCGGCGGCGGCGGCGGGGGGGTTGGTTGGTAGTCGGGCGAGGGCCCGCGTGGCCCCGTAATGGCCGCGGGTAGTGGCGGCTACGGGTGGTGGGTAGGGGGGTGCGGTGGGTGGTGGTGGGGGGGGGACCCTCCCCCGCATTCCTGGCGCTGACGTGGCCGAGGGCGCGACTCCCGCACCCCCCCCCCCCTCCTCTCGCAGCAGCAGCAGCAGCCCCCTCCTCCCTCCCCGGGCGAGTGAGGGAGAGAGCACCGCCCCCCCCCCCCAGAATCACCCCCCGAGTGAGTGAGGGGAGTGAGAGGAGGAGGTGGGTTGAAGGGGGGGGGGGTGTGAGCGCCCCCCTCCCTCCCCCTGACTTCTCGGCATCGCCCCCTCCTCCGTAGCCGACTCGACTCCTCCTCGCACATGGGGGTCGCCTCCCCCCCCCACCACCACCACGCCGCTGGGACGGCCCCGAGAGACTTGAGTATGGGAGTTGAAGCCGCGTGGTGTGATGCGAAGTGAGATGATACTGCGCGAGTTTGTGTGTTGAGTGGGATGAGGCCTGTGTGTGTGTGTGGACGCAAGCCTGCTCGTTGGTATACTTTGTGTAAGGCTGAGTGTGAGCCTGAGTGAAACGTAAGTTGTTGTGAGCCACTTATACACAAAAGATCCGCCATGTAGCCTTTTAACAGACTGTCGGGGACAAGTGCTGTTAGCGAGCACCTGTGAAGTCCCAACGCGGCACGCGAATGGGTGTGTGGCTCGCATCACGCCCGGCCGCCTTTGTCTCCATAGTGGCGATGTTTAAACACTCATTTGAGGCTGAGTCGACCTAGGGGAGGCCCAGGAACCGGTGCAGATAATCGTCACTGGTATAGACCGTGAGTGGGAATCTAACTCGGATTGCCGGGTTCGTGGCGCAGCGCTCGAACCGCGACACCACAGCTCCCCTACACGTACACCCCCACTCACCCACTCACCATGAACACATTTTACTACCGTATCTAACGTAGAGGGGCCTCGCGGATACATATCTGGCAGTTTATGTAGGCTTTGGCGAGCAATGTTATTCTGACGAGGCTAGTTGTAATTGGCGACGAAGCGTACTACTCGAATTGTAAATGTGCTTTGGTTTACTCTCCCAACACACCGGTGTGCTGAACTGACGAATTGTTTACGTGGCTAATTGGCTGTGTCGGGTGGTGGCGCGTTGAACGACACATTTTAATTTACGCGATTAAACCCCCACCCCTCCCCCCCCCCCAAAAAAAACCAAACATCTACTATGGAAATATATGGCAGTGTGCCAACATTGGCTCAAGTAGTCGTCGTGGTCCTGCCGATGAGACACTAAATAATAACGTCAAGGCCATCCAGAATCTGCACTCATCAATTTTCGTTGGGAAAAATAAAACCGTTGAAAAGGAAGTTTTATTTTTTTATTTCTCTCAACGGTTGTATTCACAACTTCGTTTAATTCACCCTCGGGAAGTACGTCAATGATGGCGGCGGCGGCGGCGCCTGCTCCCGGCATCAAACGCTTACTTGAAATAATTTGTTATTTTATAAATGCATCTTCAATGTACTCCACTCGTTCACACGGAGCAGGCGCGCCTGAGACACGCGGCGCCTGGCTTTTTTTTTGTGCGAGGCGATTCCACGGTTGAGGGACCGCGGCGTTTTTTGACCCGCACGAAAATATACGATTAATAAGGCGTCCATACTAAAATTGTACTTGCTCGAAAGGAGCCAGTTAATTGATGAATCGATGCCGCTTTTGATGCAGGCATGCATTGTCACCGGATCTGAGTACGTGTGCAAAATTTCGAATTGATTTGGACAACAGGAAGTAGACTAACTTTTGATTACAAGATTTGACCAGGACAAACAGGAGTCAAGTTAAATAAAACCGTTGAAAAACACTCCTTAAAGGCTGTGCGGCTAATGGGATATGTCAAAAATATGTTTTTACGTAGAGGGACGGATATGAGAAGAAAGCATAATGAAGTTAATTAATCGTGTTACTTATTAGCCAACATGCACCATCAGTCAATTATTTCGCCTCTCAACTCACAACCTACCCACGCTGCCCATGTGCCCGTCATTCTATCGCTACTTACCATGGTTACCGGTCTGTGAACTTCACTCATTGATTCCTCGCACTCACCGACTCTCACCCATTCATCCCACTCACATCCCCACTCAAACACCGCACTGCAGGTCACAACACTTGTCGTTCTTCCCTCACACGTCTTCACGTTGGAATTCCCTCAATGTGTTTTATTTTACCAAACTCTTAGAATAATTTTGCTCAATTCAGGGAACGTGGTAACTTGCCTGTCGCAAGTTAGGTAGTGATGTTGGTTGCTGGCCACTTGATATGTTGGACCTTTGGGCCTGTGCTCAGCAACTTTGTAAAAAGAAAGTATGCCACAGACCTGCAATCAGTTCTAATTGTGTACTATACAGTAAATTAACCTGATTGCTTTTTGAAGAATTATTTGTGGTTATGCTGTGTTTATACTGTGGTTGAAACCAATGTAAATGCTGTTTCCAAAATGTCTGCAGTCCTCCAGTTGGTGGTGGAGGGTGTGCAAGATGATCTGCAACAGGAGGTGATGAGATTCTGGGACACCGCAAGATACTGGAACATCACAGGACACACCTGTACATTACAGCAGGTGTCGGGGTGTTGTGAAAGTTGCTCGCGTGTGGGATTGAAATGGCTGAGGAGCCCGAATTATGCTACCTGCGAGCGCTAGCCAGCGAGCTGAACCTGCAACGCAAGAACGGCACGCACTGTGATTGCCATGTCGTTGTTCAAGGCAGTACCTTCAAGGTGAGACCATTGCTTGCCACACTCACGACACCGCGCTCGCCAAACCCACCCTGTCGATGCACTTTTCTCAACGGTACAACACAGGAATCTCCCACTTATACGTAAGGGAAGCGTTCATGGGATATGCTACTTGACTCGAAATTGCTTGATGCGATTTCTAATACGCCATAGATCTTATGTAAAATCTGGGGGTTGCGTCCCGAGCTGGTGTATCTGGAGAGAAAAAAATGCGTGACTACATTTCGTGAAGTATAGAAAAAAATAATAGTAATAAAGAATTACGTGACTTTACTGAAAAAAACAATGAGTAATGAGTATCATAATAGTAATATAACAGTAATAAGTTAACATACATTTTAACTAATAATAAATATGCATAATTTGATCAAACCTACCAGAGATGTTTGAAAAGCTTTGCCGATTTTGATCTTCAATCCAGACACTTAAAAGTCGTGACACGCTTTCTAGAATTCCACAACTGCTCTACGAGTTGGTTTAGTGGCAGTTAAAGGTGCCAGATTTTGAGCACATTCTAGACTTTTTTCTGTATTAGCTCCCAATAGTTATCACCGAGGTCATGGGTAGCCGAAGTATTCTGGAAATATAGACTGCCCTTTTCACCTGCTCCAAAATACTTTAAAACGTCTAATTTAACCTCTCAATTAATACTTCTGCTTCTCATTTGGCTGCTTCTCCTTTGCGTTTTCTTGCCAGTGGCACGATCGCCATTGACTGCGCATTTTGGAAACCATCTTACTCAGCCCTTTGTACTTTTTTTTTTAAACCTCACTCTATATTTCTACCTAAACCTCACGCTATGTTTCTACCTAATGTACGCAACGACCACACAAAATGGCAGGCTGGGAGACAGAGGCAGAGCACGTGGCGGAGGGATTTTCGACAGTCCACACTACGTGCGTGCGGTCCTGTGTTACATCGTAAAAGAATCCGTGTTCACCATGTGCGCTGCTAAAGTAAAATATTTTTTGTTGTACACATTTGTTTTAAACGAAGCATATGCGGAACATTACACTTATAAGGACATATGTTCCCTGATTGATCAGCAGTGTATATGCAAAACAACGCATACTGCGGATACCTATAGCGGGGGATTCCTGTACTTGATTGGGGTTGCAAAAACCTGGTCTCATTCAGCCATAAAAACTCAGTCAATGATATTATTACATAAGGCCACCAACACCACAGTTCCTCAATGATAATTATGCAAGGCTGGCTATTCCACAGTTCCTCCCATTGCATTTAACAATGATATTCTTATCCATAGCAACACCATTCATCTAATTGGCACAACAATCTTTTCTCACCTGTCAATTGATTACAATTACTAATCTCTCTAAGGACATATCAAAGCTTGGTTTTCCATTCTTTCCCAAGCCGCCTGTAATTCCAAACAGTTATTACTGTTGCCATACAAAGCATACATTTGTCCAAAGCTGGAATACTGTTCTCTTTGGTTCTTTCGGTAAAGTCATGTAGGTATAAAAGAAAACTAATTATACCTACGTGACTTTATACCTACGTGACTTTACCGAAAGAACCAAAGAGTATGGATCCCTGCAGTCGCGAAAACTTCAAATCTAGATGGAATACTGTTGTGATATCTGGCGTGGAGCACCCAGTTCCTACTTCCCTGCACGTGGCCTCCACAGTGGCGAGATGTTATCTACCTTGCCTGGTATACAGGAGATCGTGGGTTCGATCCTGACACCTGTATATTTGGAGTTTGCGTGTTCTCCCCGTGGTCGCATGGATTTCTCCTCCGGGCTCCTCCGGTTCTGTAAATTTCCGCGTAATAAGCCACTTCGTTGAGCTTTCATTTGTGGCCAGGTCACTTCTGAAAAAAGAGCTATATAGCTTAGTGGGTCTTATGTGGTAAGATGCAGAATAGTTAAAATAATTAATGTTAAGCAGTTGGATCGATTGATGATTCACTGATTCACTCCAGCCACTGGTGTCCCTTGCTCACCCGCCGTTATTTACTTCCTTATGACTCTTTTATCGCTACTATTATTACTGTTCCCATGAACACTTATTTGTCCATTCCTCCACCCAAGTTGAGGACTCTTGTCGCTAACACACTGACTGCTTCATCTCGTCCAAGAACGATACGGAGGTAACTCAACATCACAAAATTACACTCCCATGGACCTACCCATCTCCCTCTAACCCCAGCAACCCTGTGAGTACTGCTTGTTGCTGTTCGGCTTGAAGTAAAGCAAAATAAAACGGAAACAAATCCCAGATGACATCTCTCTCTGTCCCGGTTTGACAGGCCCACCGCAACGTGCTGTTTGCGGCGAGTCCGCACGTGCGTGCCCTCCTGCGGGGCCAGGCAGAGCGCCCTGGCCAGGTTGTGGTCATCCACCTGGACATCGTGACGGCTGCTGGGTTCGCTGCCATCCTTGACTACATGTACTCGGGGCGTGTCATACTCTCCTCGCGCAACATGATCGAGGTGATGTCGGCCGCCAGCTACCTGCAGATGACCGAGCTAGTGCGTCTGTGCGACCACTACATCCGCACCTCCTTCAAGGTACGCGCGCACCGGTATACACAGACGCGTAGGTACACAGGTACGCAAGCATGTGCGTGCATTTTTATTTTCATGCACGGATATGCACATGCGTATGTAGTCGTGGGCGTACATACATGCACACACGTACACTCAATTACACCCACACACAAATAGGCATTCACGCATACACTGGTATACCACGCCCCCCTGTATAGCCTCCACCACACTAGCCAACCTCTTCTCGAGCTAGAGTTTAACCCCCTCTATCCTGCAAAAGAGAAACTCGTTGGGCATGCAGTGGCTGGGCATGCGTGCTACATGACCCAGCCAACGCAACCTTGCCCACTGGAGGAGCTCACTGATGGGAATGTATCCAGATCTTTTAAGAATTTGTGAGCTGCTCACACAATCCAGACTGGTTAAACTCAGGATGGATCATAGGCAGGCCAGCCTGAAAGTTTCAAACTGGCGCAGATGATTCATTAGAGGGTCCACGTTTTCACAAGCAAAGAGAAGGCATAAGGGCATGACTATTGCCAAGAAGACCCAGAGTTTCGTGTAGGCGATAGACCAGGTAGCCTCCACGCAGCGATACGTAGACAATGCCGCTTGGCTGATTCAGAGTGAAATCTCTGCTGCCAAACCGGAGTTGGTCATGAGCACACTACCCAGGTACATAAAGTTATCTACTCTTTCGACAACTGCCCCATCTTTTTATATTCTTAGCTCTTTCGGTAAAGTCACGTGGAAGGGAAACAAGAAAATAATAAAATATATTGTTTTATATATTTTTTATTATTTTATTGTTTCCCTTCAACGTGACTTTACCGAAAGAGCTAAGAATATGAATTACTGCAGTCACGAAAGCTTTAAATCAAAATTTAACTGCCCCATCATTCATGGGGAGTTGAGGGGTGGAGTATTGGAGGATCCAAAATACCCAGGCAGGTGCTTAGTTTTGGCAGGGCTGATGGTAAAGCTCCACCTCTTAGTAGTACACTCCAGGTTCAGCAGCAGAATCTCCTACTCTTAGAGTGAGCAGCAACCACCAGATCATCAGAGTACATGTGTGTATGTTGAACTTCTTTCGCACCGTACGTAGCCAACCGTGCTAATCGGAGGTGCGAGGTAAGAACAACAAACTAAATACGCAAAAGTAGTTCCTTACATGGTTGAACCAGTAATGAGCTCACACACACACACACACGTACACACACAGCTAGCTTGCAGTTCACCAACATTGTGTCGATAAACCCGACTTGTTGATGAGACGTTGAATATCAAAACTCATGTAAAAACTGGTCCAGAGTTGGCAAGTGTTAAACGAATGCTGCTGAATAATGGGAAGCAGGCATATGTCTGCTTATTAATGTTTTGCTGCTCTTATTCAAATTGTACTAATGCTTATTCATGTTTTACTATTCGCCCAAAATCCACCACCACCCAACATACTAATCACCCAACATCTACCACCATCAAGACTTTAGCCTCATTGCTCCCAACCCGCACGCACTGTCCATCTGGCAGTCTCTTTACCATTACAACTCCATATTTTTCTATCACTCTACGACTGTACCATGGTTACTTTACCCGTGAACTGTGCTCGTTGATTCATTCACCAATGTTGAGGAATCTGTTTATCTGACTGACTGTGTTTGTTTCGTCCATGTTGTTTTTAACCACCAAACTTGCAGAACTAACCCAGTCGCACACTCGCCCACTCACCCACCCACATGCAGCTTACCCACTCACTTTACCCCAATGTATTTTGTCCGATTGTTCTCCGCTGCTCTCTATTGTTTTCGTCTCTCAGGACGGCAGCGTGCCGACGGAGCAGCCCCTTGGACTGTCGGTCGTTGCCCCGGTGTTGCCGAATGCCGAGCTGCCCGAGGGGGTCAGTGCCGATGGCGGTGCTGGCGCCGAGGGCGACGCCGAAGCCGTGGGGCCCGAGCCGGCGCCCGCCCCGCCCGTGCGGAAGGGCAGGGGGCGGCCACGCAAGTCACGGCACAGCGTGCGCGTCACCAAGCATACGCCCGCCCACTCCTCCGACAACGACGAGAGCGAGCACGGTACGGGGGGGGGGGAACCTTAGGGCGAGAGAGGGAGGGGCGAGACGGCATGAGCATCGCCGAACATGCCCGCCGACGACTCTGACGAAGATGCGCTCAATCCACGCGTTCACTCTTTGTCTCTTCTCGGCCCGCTCACTGGAAAATCTTCCCCTCCACATTAAGCAGTCGCCTTCGCTCACTAGTTTCCGCTCCTCACTCAAAACTCACTTATTTTCCTGAGCTCACCCCACGACCCCTTAATCTTCTGTTCATAACCACCACCGCCACTGTTCCTTCTTCATATTCTTATCATCTCATTGTTTGGCTATCACTCATTCCCCATTCATTGAATCCATTCATCATTTACTGTCATCAATTTACGTGCCACAGATTCGCCCATTGCTTCCCCATTTATTTTATTTACCTCTTCACCATTACATTCACACATTTGGACCATTCTGAATTCTCTGTAAAGTGCCGCCGTGGTTAAGGCACTGTATTGATTACGTTGAGATATTATGATGGGAGCGAGGAGAGGGCGTGACTAGAACAGCTCAGCTTTGTGAGTTGGTGGATTGCTTCGGTGCCATCCCATTTCACTTGTCTTGATGGCCACTCAGCCAGGTGACCATGTGCTCTGTTGCTTATTTCCACTCCACGGTTGCCCCCCCCCCGTGTAACTGTCTTTTTCCATCCACTTTTGTGGAAGGTGAGCAAATCAGCAATTTTTCCACTGTGGTCCACAGTATGCGGGGTAGCGGGAAGCCTATAAGGGGTTTAGTTGAGTCGCCAATGAGGTCTCTGTTGGTCACTTGTACGTCCCTCCCTCCATTCTGTTTGCCATCAGTGTGAAGGTTGTTGGCTATACCCGGCATCTTGAGTCGCTAACCTGAAAGGGTTGTCGGATATCAGGCGAGTATGGGAGGGACGGGGGTTGACTTGGCCCTGTCATGATTTGCGTCCTTGCTGCTTGGTGTAGTGCCCGACAGCACTGGGAGCTGCGATTTTGGCGCAGATCTCAGTGCTCCGGTGACGGTATGCATTTCGGCGTTCAGTTTCACGTCCAGGATTTTGTACGTGCACTGCGATTCCGTGTTGCCACCATAATATTCAGCTGCGGAGTATACGAGGGAGAGCATCGCCACCGTCTGTAGGACTAGCATGTACCACTGCACATGTGGATGATGCTCGTGCCACGGTGGCGAGATGGTAACTACCTCGCCTGATATGCAGGAGGTCGTGGGTTCAATCCCAACCCTGACGCCCTGTACATTTGGAGTTTGCATGTTCTCCCCCTGGTCGTGTGGATTTTTCTCCGATTTCTCCCCTCCACGTTTAGAATCTTATTTGGCTGTTGGTATACATTTCCACGTGATTAGCCACTTGGTTGTTCTAGCATCTGTGACCAGTTGCTTCTGAAAAAGAGCTGTATAGCTCAGTAGGCTTTACCTGGTAAAATAAAGAATAGTTTAGTTTTAGTTTAATACGCCATTCTCCAACCTGGTGGATGTAGTCAGCGGGAATAAAAGGCTGCGTGTGGGCTTTAGTGAGCGCTCATGAGTGAATGGACAAGTGTCCAAGGAGAGGTGATTGAGCTAGTATGTAAACAGACTGACATTATGGCAAATAATGTAAAAAATTAAGAAAACGCATACTGTGAGAGACAAAAACAGATTGTTGTGAAACGCCAAAATGATATCAGATTGATTGCCATCAACTGCGCTATGTAGTCTTGAGTTCATAATCAAGTGTTTTGTGTTAGATTGCATACGTGTAAATGTGTCTATAATGTGTCATAAAGCCACCTCCACTCTGCACACAGCCAATTAACAAAACGTGCCAATTAGTTACAACTTCAGCACACCAGTGTGTTGGAGAGCAAACCCACAACATTTACAATTTGATCTTGATTTGAAGCTTTCGTGACTGCAGGAATCCATACGACGTTTCGCAAGCTTTCACAAGCTTGTGTTGCGCCCGAAACGTCGTGATTTATTGTATTTTATACCTACGTGACTTTGCCGAAAGAACCAAAGAGTTTTTACAATTTGAGTATGACGCTTAGGGTCGTTGGCTGCTATAAATGTCCACACGATGATAAGCCACCTCGTTGAGCTCTCACTTGTGGCCAAGGTCTTTCCTGAAAAAGAGGTTCACAGCACGGTGGGCCTTACCTGGTAGAATAAAAAAAAATAGTGTTAAATCTCGACTGAAAGCTTTCGTGACTGCAGGAATTCATACTTTTTGGGTCTTTCGGTAAAGCCACGTAGATAGAAAAATAATTTAAAAAAATAAAAATAGCACGACGTTTCGATCGCAACACAAGCAAATCGTCATCAGGTGAAAAAAAGATAGCGGGAGAGCTGCTGAGGCAGTAAAATATACATTATATTTTTTCACCTGATGCTTGTGTTGCGATCGAAACATCGTGATATATTTTGATTTATTATTTTTCTATCTACGTGGCCTTACCGAAAGACCCAAAGAATAAAAATAGTATTAGTTAATCTGGTCGCTCATCCTTCTTGGGACGTTCTTGGAAAGCCAGACTCGTGTCGTGCTTGATGCCAAAGTATGTGTCGGTTTTCGCCTCGGACCGCTGCCACGGAAATAAACTTTTGGTGATCCCTGTGCGAGTGGATTGCTTATGAAGAAGATTGGGGTCACAGTTTGTTGTAGTATGGGACAGAGGTGCTTCTAATGTCTTCAGGTCTTCTAAACTGTATCTGGGCCTCTTGCTAGGTCGACTCGGCCTTAAATGGGTACCTGGTGCGGTGTGTAAACATCACCGCTGGGGAGACAGAGGCAGTCGGGTGTTGCTCTGGCCACACCATCCTTTTGTCTTGTGTTCGGGGGATCTTTGTTTTGTGTGACCACCCGTGTATGTGTCTCCTCAGCAGTGGCATATGATCCCAACCGCGTGAAGATGGAACCTCAGGATAGGGACGGGCTGCTGGACAGCGAACAGGACAGGATCATTGACGCGTCTGGAAACACGATCGATTTCTACCCTGGTAAGGAGCGAGGGCGTGATGTCATATCTAATGATAAAGGAATAATGTTATGCAGTGGATCATTGATTATCCCGCAGCTTCGGGGGGAAGGGGGTGCTAAATTTTCAAAAACGCTGGATAATCACATCATTATTAAAAATAGATTATTTTTGCACATTCTTGCATAACATTGTTTTTATATGTTGCGTAAATGTTGTTTTAGTGTTTAAAATTTAGTTTCCGATATGAAATTCTCATAAATAAAACATACAAAATAGGCAAAATATCCTCCCGTAAAAAGCTATTGAATTTACTGTAGTGTACTTATCACTCCAATCTCGAAGACTCAGCATGAGGTAATGTACGTACGACGCTGCTGTTTCAACAACGATGTGTTTAGCGATCACCGGATTGATGCCAACGCCGAATATGCGTTTTTCGCCGGATCACACTGTATATTTTTTGTTTTTACGACTGTCGTTATCAGTCATGAAAATTGTATATACCTGCAGCCTTCTCACATTTTTGAAAGTTATTTTACATAGTGTATATTGCACTGTGCATAATATTTGACACTGAAATCAAGCGTGGCTACTTTTTTGTCACGCACGTGGTGCCGATAGCCGGACTGGTAAAGCCTTTAAAGCGGTTTTGCCAGATCGGCCCAGGACTGCAGAATAATGTTGGAAGCCGGATAATCCTACACTGGATAATTGATTATCAACTGTGCTTCGATATAGCCTTGCGGTTGCACCCGATTCAGGAGCCGAATGGCTCACAGGGCTAAACCAAATGAATGAAACTGAAACTGAGCCTAATTCATGAAAACGGCATCTGAAAACGCTGAAGAGTTGAAACTGCACAGAGACGCAAGGAACACAAGCAGGAAGGTACCCACAAGCGGCACCGACAGTTGTCAAAGCTCTGTTAGCACTACTTTTGAGGTGTTCGGCCAACTCCCTTGAGTATTTACACACGTGGGAAGCGACAGGAATTCCCAGAGGAAAACCCATGCTTGCGAGGGGAGTGACAATCCTCGAACAGAGGCAAATTCATCGCTTTATGTACTGCCATACCCTGGCCAGCCAGGTGTAGCGACCTCAATGCCCACAGGTAGAGTTTTATGAAGCTTTGTGATCCATTCACCCTCACAGAGAGGGTCCTTGCCTCTAAAAATCTGGTAGTTCATGAGCATTGTTTATGGAAGCCTGACTGCTGATGTCAAAACCAGTCGAGAGATATGCTTGCTTTAAACCAATTCTGTTGAATGTGTACATTCCCAGAAGGTCGCGTGGCCAATGGGATGTGTAAAGTAATACATTTATCTTTTACGTGGAGAGACGGATATGGGAAGGTGTTTTATTTTGCGTCACTGTGTGGATCGTAAAGCTGAAAGCTAAGCATCTTGAGCATAAATTGCTGGCAATTGTGTACAGGTGTCTGCGACCAATGCTAGAAATGTAATGGCAACAAACGGGGTAACCAACTTGTTGGTTCGGGAATACAACACGGCAGGTGCACGGTGCCGTTCATGATTAGGCAGGCTGATGGAGGTCCTGTTGCCGACACGGGCATTAGAGTGGTCTCCACGAGTGTTGGCGACCAAGGGGAAGAGAAGACCTCAAATCTTTGGGAGGTGGCGCCTAACCCCCCGACCTCCGGTGCGTTTCCGCCCTTAGGGGCCGAGTTTGGTAGCCCCGGTGGCGGCTATGACGATGGACCTTCCTCGGGCTACCACGACTCGGGCGCCGGCTACGGGGGCTGCACGCCAGGCTATGACGACGCGGCACCGGGCTACGGCGACGCCACGCAGGACTACGGCGAGGAGGAAGCCGCCCCAGACTACGAGGACCCCACGGTGGACTACGACGGCTCGGCGCCGGACTACGACGACGGAGCGGCAGCCCCGGACTACGACGACGGAGCGCCCCCGCTCCACGGCTACGGCGACGTGGACGGCATGGACGCCTCCGGCATCGCGGTGCCGCTCGACGGAGGAGTTGGAGACGAGGAGGAGGAGGACGGGGGAGAGGACGGTGAGGAGGGAGACGGCGCCGGGGCCCACGCCGGACACGCCGGTGGCAGCCCCGGCTGCTTCACCTACACCATCCTGACGGAGAACCTAACCGCCGCCGGAGAGGGGGGCGGCACCGGCAGGATGTTCGGTACGGGGTGGGGGTAGGGCTGCCGGCACAGCCATAGTCTCGCCAGACAATGTGTGGGTCAGATTTTATTTCTTTTTTTTTTTCATTTTGGCCGGCAACAAAACAGCATTGTCAAAGCGGTACCAGATAATAGTTAACAGGTTTCTTGGATTGAGCCACAGCTATGAGTAGAGCTTAGGAAAATAGGTGATGGGAGGGAAATCTAAATGCCCAAAATGCCAAGTGACTGGCAGCAAACAGCACTTTCTAAGATGTAAGAGGTAAGGATGCCATTGCAGCTTGAAACGGAGACCGTTTGGAGGGGTTTTGAAATGCTCTCCTCTCCGTCCCCCACAGGCAAGCGGCGGCTGCTGCAATGCAACTACTGCAACTTCGCCGCGATGCGCAAGTACAAGCTCGTGCGGCACATCCGCACACACACGGGCGAGCGGCCCTTCGGCTGCGACGCTTGCGGCAAGCGCTTCATCCGCAGGGAGCACCTGCAGCGGCACACGCAGGTACACGCAAGGCGCGGGCTCACGCGCGCACACACGCACGCATAGGTGCACGCACGCGCGCACAGATACGCTTACACATACGCATATGCAGGTACACGCAGGTACACGCACGCACACCGGCGAGCGGCCCTTCGGTTGCGAGGCTTGCGGGAAACGGTTCATCCGCAGAGAGCACCTGCAGCGGCATACGCAGGTACACGCAGTGCACGGGCACACACACACACACACACGCGCGCTCACAGGTGCATACACACAAGCATGCTGGTATACGCAGGTACATGCAAGCACGGGTGCACATGCAGGTACATAAGCACGTGGGCATGGGTACACACACAGACAAGTATGCATGATCATTCGCACGCACACAGGTTACACACGTGCAAGCAGGCACACACCTGCGAGGTCATTTACACATGCAGGTTCACACGCACACTCGCAGGCATGCGTGATAATTCATGCACACACAGGGGCATGCAAAGGTTCACGTCCAGGTACAAGATCATAATAGTTTATTTTGCAATCAGCTTTTTTATGTAGTGTTGTGCTTCACTGTACTTACCATTGAGGTGTGTTCATACTGTCCAAAAAACAAGCTATATCGAGACAGCTACAAGAAGCTATAGAGAGAGAGATGGGGCTACATGGAGCTATAGAGAGAGAGATGGGGCTACATGGAGCTATAGAGAGAGACGGGGCTACATGGAGCTATACAGAGAGACGGGGCTACATGGAGCTATAGAGAGAGACGGGGCTACATGGAGCTATAGAGAGAGACGGGGCTACATGGAGCTATAGAGAGAGAGATGGGGCTACATGGAGCTATAGAGAGAGAGACGGGGCTACATGGAGCTATAGAGAGAGACGGGGCTACATGGAGCTATAGAGACGGGGCTACATGGAGCTATAGAGAGAGACGGGGCTACATGGAGCTATAGAGAGAGACGGGGCTACATGGAGCTATAGAGAGAGAGACGGGGCTACATGGAGCTGTAGAGAGAGACGGGGCTACTTGGAGCTATAGAGAGAGACGGGGCTACATGGAGCTACAGAGAGAGACGGCTACATGGAGCTATAGAGAGAGACGGGGCTCCATGGAGCTATAGAGAAAGACGGGGCTACATGGAGCTATAGAGAGAGACGGGGCTACATGGAGCTATATAGAGAGACTGGGCTACATGGAGCTATAGAGAGAGAGACGGGGCTACATGGAGCTATAGAGAGAGAGACGGGGCTACATGGAGCTATAGAGAGAGAGACGGGGCTACATGGAGCTATAGAGAGAGAGACGGGGCTACATGGAGCTATAGAGAGAGAGACGGGGCTCCATGGAGCTATAGAGAGAGAGACGGGGCTCCATGGAGCTATAGAGAGAGACGGGGCTACATGGAGCTATAGAGAGAGACGGGGCTACATGGAGCTATAGAGAGAGACGGGGCTACATGGAGCTATAGAGAGAGACGGGGCTACATGGAGCTGTAGAGAGAGACGGGGCTACATGGAGCTATAGAGAGAGAGACGGGGCTACATGGAGCTATAGAGAGAGAGACGGGGCTCCATGGAGCTATAGAGAGAGACGGGGCTCCATGGAGCTATAGAGAGAGACGGGGCTACATGGAGCTATAGAGAGAGAGACGGGGCTACATGGAGCTGTAGAGAGAGACGGGGCTACATGGAGCTGTAGAGAGAGACGGGGCTACATGGAGCTGTAGAGAGAGACGGGGCTACATGGAGCTATAGAGAGAGAGACGGGGCTACACGGAGCTGTAGAGAGAGATGGGGCTCCATGGAGCTATAGAGAGAGACGGGGCTACATGGCGCTATAGAGAGAGACGGGGCTACACGGAGCTGTAGAGAGAGACGGGGCTACATGGAGCTATAGAGAGAGACGGCTACATGGAGCTATAGAGACGGCTACATGGGGCCAGATGTAGCTACAGACCGCACGGCCACCTCTTGTGCGCTAGGTGGCGCTGGAGGATGCACATTTTTTCGGCTACGTTTTAAGCGGCAAAATCTAAATAAATGTCACATTTAAACTTTCGGACTGAATAAATAACACCATAAGTAATTTTCGCAAAAAAATCCCTGAAATTGCCAAAAAAATTACATTTTTTTAAATGTCAAAGCCAGAACGTGTCGGCACTGAGATACACGAATAACATCTTCACGAATAATAATACATTACAATTGTCAAATAAATAAGTAGACAATATATAGAAACATATAATTACTTATTTTGTCCACATACCATAAGTGCATGATTTCCAAATCGTTGGCTTAACACAAGTAGCTTGATCAATATGCATCCTAGTTTGATGCAAAACTATCAATTCAAATGAATGAAACTATTTTTGAATTGATGCTGTGTATTTGACGTGAGCACATTGCATGCAGTTGACTTAACTACGAAGCCATTTATTCAAACTAAAATGAATTCAAAACTTAACAAAACCCCACCAGGATGGTCTCATTTCCAAGAGCGGGCAGAGTCACCCAAAGTAACAAAAAGCACAACATGATTACACAAAGTACCGCAAGGAAGCAAAAATACGGAATTGAGTAAAGCAACAAAAGTCGGCTCCGACCAATTACGTTTAAGTGACATTTTAAAAACCAGTTCTAGAAACATCAGTGTGGGTTTAGGGTGATTATTGCAACCGTAGTGCATGAGTATTGCTCAGGTATTGTGCTGGTAGTTACCGAGCTTTGTGCTATTTCATTATTTCTCGTGTGCGTTCGAGAGCGATATTCGTGGAGTTGGATTTTGTGGAATTTGATCGCCGCCGGCTGGATTATTAGCTTCCCCAGGGGGCGCGACGTGAACTATGAATCCATTGCCTACCTCAGCCTTGTCTAGTATTGCTCTGCTATTGCCCTAGATTTGCACTAGTATTCTGCTAGTATTGCACTGGTATTGCACTGGTATTGCACTGGTATTGCTCTAGTATTGCACTAGTTTTGCACTGGTATTGCTCTAGTATTGCACTGGTATTGCACTAGTATTGCTCTAGTATTGCACTGGTATTGCTCTGGTATTGCACTAGTATTGCTCTAGTATTGCACTGGTATTGCACTAGTATTGCTCTAGTATTGCACTGGTATTGCTCTGGTATTGCTCTAGTATTGCTCTGGTATTGCACTAGTATTGCACTAGTATTGCACTGGTATTGCTCTCGTATTGCTCTAGTATTGCACTGGTATTGCTCTAGTATTGCACTGGTATTGCACTAATATTGCACTGGTATTGCACTAGTATTGCACTAATATTGCACTGGTATTGCTCTGGTATTGCACTAGTATTGCACTGGTATTGCACTAGTATTGCACTAGTATTGCATCAGTATTGCTCTAGTATTGCTCTAGTATTGCACTGGTATTGCTCTAGTATTACACTAGTATTGCACTAGTATTGCTCTGGTATTGCACTAGTATTGCTCTAGTATTGCACTAGTATTGATCTGGTATTGCACTGGTATTGCACTAGTATTGCACTAGTATTGCTCTAGTATTGCACTAGTATTGATCTGGTATTGCACTGGTATTGCACTAGTATTGCACTAGTATTGCTCTAGTATTGCTCTCGTATTGCACTGGTATTGCTCTAGTATTGCACTAGTATTACTCTAGTATTGCACTAGTATTGCACTAGTATTGCTCTAGTATTGCACTAGTATTTCTCTAGTATTGCACTAGTATTGCACTGGTATTGCTCCAGTATTGCACTGGTATTGCACTAGTATTGCACTAGTATTGCACTGGTATTGCACTAGTATTGCACTGGTATTGCACTGGTATTGCTCTGGTATTGCACTAGTATTGCACTAGTATTGCTCTGGTATTGCTCTAGTATTACTCTAGTATTACTCTAGTATTGCACTAGTACTGCTCTGGTATTGCACTAGTATTGCACTAGTATTGCTCTGGTATTGCTCTAGTATTACTCTAGTATTGCACTAGTACTGCTCTGGTATTGCACTGGTATTGCACTAGTATTGCACTAGTATTGCACTGGTATTGCACTGGTATTGCTCTAGTATTGCACTAGTATTGCTCTAGTATTGCTCTAGTATTGCACTGGTATTGCACTAGTATTGCACTAGTATTGCACTAGTATTGCACTGGTATTGCACTAGTATTGCACTAGTATTGCTCTAGTATTGCACTAGTATTGCACTAGTATTGCTCTAGTATTGCTCTGGTATTGCACTGGTATTGCACTAGTATTGCTCTGGTATTGCACTAGTATTGCACTGGTATTGCTCTAGTATTGCACTAGTATTGCACTGATATTGCTCTACTATTGCACTAGTATTGCACTAGTATTGCACTAGTATTGCTCTAGTATTGCACCAGTATTTCACTAGCATTGCTCTACTATTGCACTAGTATTGCTCTAGTATTGCACTAGTATTGCACTGGTATTGCTCTAGTATTGCTCTAGTATTGCACTGGTATTGCACTGGTATTGCTCTAGTATTGCTCTAGTATTGCACTGATATTGCACTCGTATTGCACTCGTATTGCACTAGTATTGCTCTAGTATTGCACTAGTATTGCACTAGTATTGCTCTAGTATTGCACTGGTATTGCACTGGTATTGCACTAGTATTGCACTGGTATTGCTCTAGTATTGCACTGGTATTGCTCTAGTATTGCTCTAGTATTGCACTGATATTGCACTCGTATTGCACTAGTATTGCTCTAGTATTGCACTAGTATTGCACTAGTATTGCTCTAGTATTGCACTGGTATTGCACTGGTATTGCGCTGGTATTGCACTGGTATTGTTCTAGTATTGCACTAGTATTGCACTAGTATTGCTCTAGTATTGCTCTAGTATTGCACCAGTATTTCACTAGCATTGCTCTACTATTGCACTAGTATTGCTCTAGTATTGCTCTAGTATTGCACTGGTATTGCACTGGTATTGCTCTAGTATTGCACTGGTATTGCTCTAGTATTGCACTGATATTGCACTCGTATTGCACTAGTATTGCTCTAGTATTGCACTAGTATTGCACTAGTATTGCTCTAGTATTGCACTGGTATTGCGCTGGTATTGCACTGGTATTGCTCTAGTATTGCACTGGTATTGCTCTAGTATTGCTCTAGTATTGCACTGGTATTGCGCTGGTATTGCACTGGTATTGCTCTAGTATTGCACTGGTATTGCACTAGTATTGCTCTAGTATTGCACTGGTATTGCGCTGGTATTGCGCTGGTATTGCACTAGTATTGCACTGGTATTGCACTGGTATTGCACTGGTATTGCTCTAGTATTGCACTAGTATTGCTCTGGTATTGCACTGGTATTGCACTAGTATCCACTGATATTGTTCTAGTATTCCACTAGTATTCCTCTAGTATTGCTCTAGTATTGGACTGTTATTGCTTTAGTATTGCACTGGCATTGCACTAGCATTGCTCTCGTATTTAAATAGTATTGCTCTGTTATTGCACTGGTATTGCTCTAGTATTGAACTGGTATTGCACTGGAATAGGACCGCTATGTAAAGAAACAAGGATATACGTCAAATACAATTGGCAGTAAAGTTACCACACAGAAAACACACACAACTGACAAATCAACCTCGCACACGCAAACACACGTCACACACCACATCACACACTCACACACACAGACGTCACACACATACAACGTCACACCCACACATACGTCACACACACGCAAACGAGCAGGGAGAGCATTGTGGCTGTGTGACCATGTGACCATGTGACCCTCGTTACCGGCGGGGGCGGCAGGTTCACCAGAAGGAACGCCGGTTCGTGTGCCGCCGCTGCCGCCGCCTCTTCGTCTTCGCCAACTCGGTGGGCATCGAGTTTGGCACTCGGCGGTACGGCGTGTGCGAGGAGTGCTCCGTGCTCGGCCTGCGCGACCCCCCCCTGAAGAAGGAGGGGGGCGGGCGGGGGGGCGGCCGTGGCAGGGGGGGAGGGCGTGGAAGCAGGGGGGGCAGCCGCATCGGCGGGGGGGGCAGCGCGGCGGAGAAGCGGGCGGCGATGGCAGCGGCGGTGGAGGCGGTGGTGGCGGGGAGAGGAGGGGGCGGGGCCGGAGAAGAAGGGGAAGGAGATGGAGACGGAGACATGGCGGCTGTGCCGGACGGAGGAGCCAGCCTGGAACGCGTTGTTTTCAAAATGGAACCAGATGCGGGTTCGGAGGAGGACTGGAGCCAGAGGGGGGGCGACCCCCCACTCAGCTGCGACAAACCGGCAGGGGCCTTCTGATAGCAGCCTCTTCCTCCCCCCCCCTCCCTCATTCCCACCCCCTGCCATCTCCCCGAATGTGCCCGCCCCGCCCCCCCCCCCCCCCCCACCTCTTCATTCCTTTCTCAATTATTTTGAATTATTCTCCTTTCTTTTTCGGAGCCGTGTGTGGTTGGACACGTGGATTTGAGAGAGATGGTCACACCCAAGAGTCGCACGGATTTGGTGACACCAGCATAGTCGGCCGATGCTGCCGTCTCACTGCAGCGTCAACGGAAAACCCGTCGGCTCGTGTGGTCAACCCCCTGACACATTCCAGGAGCACGCGATGAGAAGCCACCTTTGCCTCCTCCTCCCACGCAGCCCTCTAGAACACCGCCACCTCCCGCAATTAGACGCCGATTGTGCGCGGCGACGCGACGTGCTTGTTCGCTGGGGACTCTGGCTGCCACTTGCAGGATTTGGCATCTGTGTTCAGGCAGCAGGAATTTGATTCGTTATTGGGTATTGTGTTGAACTTTATAGCATTGTACCGCTCAGTTTTGATAGACTTCGGCTGACTGAATAGTATGCCCCGGATTTAGTCTACAGTGGAAAAGGTGGCAACCCCGTTTGGGATGAAATCCTTGTTTCATGTGTTGTACGCAGAGAAGGGTTTACCGGTCGTAAGTTTTTATACAAAAATAATTTTGTCTTTTTTTTTTGTTGTTGTTGTGCTGATCATTTTAATTAAAATTAATCTGTGCTAGGAAAAAGTGGGGGTCACCCAGTTATTCTGGCATGCAGCAGAACGAACTGGTGTTTGGTTGCTCAGGGGAAAAACTTATCAATTTTACCAATGTCTCATTCAATACTTGACAACAAACATCCCCAGGAGCTCGCTGGTTTTGAGGCAACACTTTCACGACCATTATTTTGCTTATGCCTGATATCGTACAGACCCAGGATTCACGAGCCTACTCCTACCACCAGGGTCATGCCTGTAGTCTTGTCGAATAAATTTGCCTTGTTAAGGGAGCTACATTATTAACTGTGGCTTGAAACCACGTTCCAGGAGACTATAAAGGTATTTTGACAGTGAAAACAAATGCGTCACCAAAAATCGTACCGCCCATTCATTCCTTGTGTGTCTAGGGTTGAGTTCCTGGTGAAGTGATTTCAATTGTACGCAATGGATGGTGAAGGCTGACGGACACCTTTTTAAGAGATTGTACTGTACAGGCACACCTCGCTTCGCACTCAAGATGCGTTGTTCCCGGAGAAGTTAGCGCTAATAGAATTAGCGTTAAAGGCGGGGGTGGAGGTGGTGGGGGGGGGATCATTCTAACCATTGTACATATGGGGATGCGTTCCGGACAGAATTTATTCTTTCGTACGAGCAATATCATGGGAGCTTAATTGGGGTAATCGGTAATAGCGCTGATAATAATGCGGATGGTAAAGATTATTTCATACGTAAAAGAATATAATTTATTATATCAGTAAAGTATTATGTACTGTACTGATGAGTGCATTCTACTGTACTCCCTACAAGGCAGTGGATGGGAGACGAGGTTGGGAGCTGCTGCTGCGCTTTCAATCCGCGTCACTCTCACAGAAGAGCTCCAGGACCTCCGTGATCGGAGTGATATCCTCAAGTCTAAATTCCTGTGGTGAGGTTTCTTTGAGGTAGAGCCCTGAGAGACTCTATCCTGGTCTCGCGAATTCTCACCTGGCTATCTGAAAAAAAAAAACTTTTTTTTCTTCTTCAAAATTTGGATACGGCTACGAATTATGATAATGACATCACGGGGGGGATGGTGGGGTCTGGTTGGCTCAGGCATGCATCGCTCTTATTGGCTGAGCAAACATTGGGGGGGGCGGGTCGTTTTTTGGGCCAATGCTGCTGAATGTGGGTTGTCACTCGCAAGGGCTGCTTTTAGATTATTTTATTTCATTTTATCTTTGCTTTCTCCAGGACAGAGGTTCTGTCATCACGAATCGACGTTCTCACGAGGTCACGCTAAGCGAGGTCTGCCTGTGTTACAAACAATGACCTGACCATTTTTAGCTGTTAACACTGCCCCCCTCAACTGAATTTTACGTACGATAAGTGACGTCTTCAAACTGCAACTCAAGTAAGCATTGAGAGGCTCTCCAGCCCCTGAGCCAGTGGTGGAAATTTCAAGCTCCTTTGGAAGAATCTCTGCATAGGACTACCAAAGATAACATCAAGTGTGAGGAAATGCCCTTGAACTTGGAGTAATTGTCGCAATGTTGGAATATTACCAAATGTCCTTCTCACTGATGCACCAGATTCAATGCAGGATCATTTTTCTATTTAAATAGTTGTGAGTGTAGTGCCTCTAGTGGCTGGAGGAGACGATCTATCACATGTGAATGTTTAGATTGAGAAAAAACCATTTCAAAATCATTTCGAATCGATGCATAATCCTAAAATGACTGGTATTCACATGTTTGTCGGAAGCAGTATATATCTCTAGCAAGCCCGTCCTCAATTCTCTTGACATTTAGAAATGATATCACAAGGTCACCCCACAACATTGCTAATTGGCTGGTGGTGTAATGCACATTTCATACATTAAGTTTTTATGTTCCATCTGAAACGATTGAACACACTTTCTGAGTCGGTATAAAAAGATGACATTGCATGCAGGCAATTGACAATGCTGGTGGGCACCACTTGTGATGTGTGGCCACGTGTTTGGATCGGTACTGAACATATTCTTTCAAAATGTTGCTTCCTGTCCATTGCCTAAAACCCAAGCAGGCTCCTGGAACTGAAGGTGATTTGACCTCGGGTTGTTAAAAGTGTATTTTTTTTGCATCATCATTATTCTCGTGAAATAACTGTTACCAGTTTTCTGCACATATACAGATGGTCAGCAACAAAGCATAACAATTGTTTAATTTTTAACTGAGAATTGAAGGGAGCTGCCATGACAATGGTTGGCACACTGGACTTGCAATCCATAGGTCTCTGGTTCACCTGGTGGGGCAGTTGAAACATTCGGTAAGTTTCTTAACCCTCCCTGTGTCCCCCCCCCCCCCCCCCCCCTTCGTCTCTGTCCACCTGCCAGTATAAATGGGCACATCAGTCAATCGGCAGATCGCGTGCGGTGGAACGGAGCGTGGGCACACCCACAATCACCATCTGGAGCTCCCTCTAGTTGGAGGCCCTTCCACACCAGCAGTGGGCATGAGCCGGCGAGAAATTTCCGGGCTGCACCATTTGAATTTGAGAAAGGACGAGGGCAAATGTAGAGCGTACGCGGCGGTGGCTTTGGCCGCCTTGCCGTTCGTACGTTCGTGCCCGCTGATTGGTGCACTTCTAAAATTCCGCTGGGATCGAATCGACTTTTTTTTAATCGTTAATTGCCCGTTTTTTTCCTTTCAAAAACTCGATAATACTTACCGCAAACTCTTAAGAAAGTAAATGGGCTTAGGCAGGACACTTCACCGCTAGAAAGGACAATGGCTGGATAATGAAGGAAATTCATCTGTAATTACGTCCGACCAACGAGATGGAGCGATTAAATAAGATCATCGTGACCAGATGGTGGCATCTTGGGGAGACCATCAGGCAGTGGATTGATCACGGCTGATGGCAATGCCAATATAAAAATGCTTGTAGCAATAATTATTGATATCTCCAGTTGGATGAAAGGCTTGTAAATTGCTGCGGTAGTGTTAGAAAATGTTAAAGGGTACCACGTTTGTGTAAGTTTTGTTTTTGTCAATGTGTTTTTTTTAATGATTGCTGAGCACAGACCCCAAGCCCCAAAACGTGCAGCGGCCAGTAACAGACCAGAGTTAACGCGTTTCTTGAATTGAGCAAAGGTTATTTCTTTGAATTGAGAAAATAAAGGCAGGGAATTCCTATGTTGATCAGTCCTGAGTGAAGAAGTAGAAAAGTGATGTGACTTGCATGTGGTGAATTGAGTGAGTGAGCTGGTGAATGGATGTGTGGGTGAGTGGGCTGGTGAATGGATGTGTGGGTGAGTGGGCTGGTGAATGGATGTGTGGGTGAGTGGGCTGGTGAATGAGTATCGTCACCTGCAGTAAGGTAGTTGAACACTGTGGATGAGACGAAAGTCTGGTGGGAGTTCTCAACGTGGGTGAGAAGGAACCAATATGTGAAGTTCGCAGTAAGCATAAAAAAACACATGGGATTGGTAGAAGCAGAAGAGTGATAAGGAGGCGACTGGACCACCATCGATTGAACGAGTGATTGGAGTGAGTTCTGGATCCTCGATCAACCCCCCGACTGCTTTGCCTTGAAGTATGTTGCGGCACAATTCAGTTTTCTACATTGAAAATTTTATTTTTCTGTCAGTTTTGATGTTGGTTTGATGTTGCATATGCAGTGCAATTCCCAGCCAAGGGTGGAAGAAGGTTAATGCGAAACAGTTTGGGCTTATTATTTAGATAAGTTGGTGAATGGATTTCCTTCAAATTAATACCATTAAAATACATTATACTATTTCTAACTTAACAATCAATATTTTTGGCGTTACCGCAGATTATAGCCAATGACCAACATAGATCTACAGATGAAGAATCGGACGATATCTCCTTCACGTCGTTGTCCTAACAACTATAAAAGTATTGCACATCACATTGGCTACATCTCGGTAGCATTGGTTCAACAAAAGCAAACTGGATCGGTTTCGACTTTGCAGTGTAGCCTGGATAAATATCTCAATACAGAGCATGTAATCCACGACTCGTGTGTGATAATTCTGAATGAACTATTCATCTCAAGTCCAGTTAATATCAGCAGGCCACTGCCCAGTTTGGTCGGTCATTATGGCTGTGTCCAGAGCCAACCAAATCTTTTGGTCCCTGGGTGCATTGTACAGTATGCACCCCTATCCACAATGTTAGTGTCAAGTCAAAATTCACAGTAATTTCCTGCTTAAATGAGCATTGAGGCAGTGCTCATCTTCAGCCAGCGGTGGAAAAATTCCACATTCCTGTGGCGTATGCGAGTGTGGCCATGGGACAACTGCTCGCAAAGCAACACTTTTATTTGTCATGATGGCCGAGTGAACCACCTAGATAACATCTTGCTGCATACACACAGGATTGTTATTATTCGGGCTGCCTGTACATCCTCAGCTCTTCCACTGCTGCATGGAGGGTCTCCCCAATGCCATATAAATTGCAGGCGGTTGACTGGTCTTGATTCGCCAAACCATTCAATATGGGTCGGTGTGAAGTGGGACATGAAAAGCGTGGCTACTGATGTTAGCCGTGTCCAGGACTCAAACCTACGTCACCGATATTTTAATTGCTGTAAAACGGACTGATTAACTCTTGTGAAATGTGTGGCATTTGATGTAATAGAGCTCTTTTGACATGAACAGAGGTATGTTGGAATTGGAGCGCTGTCAATATTAACCGAGCGCTGTTGCATTGAACGCCATGGTGTATGGATGCACTACCATCGGTTTTACAGCTTTGGCATTGCTTATTTCACAGTAACATGTTTGGAACAAAATTCGGCGATAACGAGGACAGCTTAAATACTCAATGTCCAGTTAACATTGTGTGTTGCAGCCTTGTCGCATGAAGAGAGGCAGTACACAGTGAACTGGAGTGATTCACCAGCACTGATTCTAGACCCTCAATGCCCAAGTCATTGATTTCCTACTCAATGGACATTGAGGTGGTGCTCATCTCCCCATTTACAGCCCAAAGCCATTGGTGGAAATTCCACATTCCAATGTTAGGTGCGAGTCAACATAGAACAACTACCGGTGACAACCCACAACGTGGTAATCAACGTGTCGACTTTGAAGAGGGATGTAACGGGGTTGAGTCCACCCTCACCCAGGATTTGAACTGGCCACCTGATTTTGAGAAACTCTTCCGTTGCTCAAGCAACCTGGTTCCGAAAGATGTTGCCTCAAATAAACTTGAGGCTGGGCCCCTCAATAAGTGAGGCCCCCCCGCCCTGCCAGCCATCCCCAACGAACGCTCTCTTGAGCGAATGAGCTCGCAGTGTACAGGATAATCTATTTAAACTTTAGTTTGTTATCCAAGTCTTTTATTGTAGTCTGACAGGTAACAGCTGTTCGGGGAGTGTTTTTTTTAAACGAATGAATGAAACTGAGATGTTTATTTTTTATTTTGAGGTTTTGGTTTTCGTTGGGCGTGTGGGTTTTGATGGCGTCGTGAGTTTTTTTTTGTACCAGAGTCACCGTTTTGCCGCGAATCATTCTCAAATTAATGCGATGTTTCGGGGGGAATTGTCGAATGGTAAAAATTGTAAAAAAAAAATCTTAATTTCGCAGGAGCATGAAAGATGAATTGGCCGACTCGTTTATTATTTCTCTTTCTTTGTGATTGAATTCAAAATATGAATTAAAACCACCGATGAATGATTGTGCAGCTGCACGGCCTCAATTCCTCTCCCCTCATTACACCCACGACAATTCTAGATTTTAAGCTTTCGTGACTGCAAGGATCCATACTCTTTGGTTCTATTCGGTAAAGTCACGTAGGTAAAAAATAAAATAACAAAAATCACGACGTTTCGGCCACAACACAAGTGGCCTTCATCAGGTGAAGGGGCCGTGCTGTCATGAGGACAGCGTTGGAGTGAAAACAGCCAAGCCCAGGTCGCCTCCTTTAAGCTGTGTGGGAGGAAACAAAACGCTTGACAAAGGAATTAGCATAAAAATGAGCACGATGTACGTAGGAGGTGCATGGGCCATGATGGACCAGGGGCGGGTGTGGACCATGACGGACCAGCTCACTCATTCCACTCACTCCACTCCACTCACTCCACTCCACTCACTCACTCCACTCACTCTACTTCCCCCCCCGCCCCGCTGCTGGTCCGTCATGGTCCCCACCCGCCCCTGGTCCATCATGGCCCATGCACCTCCTACGTACATCGTGCTCATTTTTATGCTAATTCCTCTGTCAAGCGTTTTGCTTCCACACAGCTTAAAGGACGCGACCTGGGCTTGGCTGTTTTCACTCCAACGCTGTCCTCATGACAGCACGGTCCCTTCACCTGATGAAGGCCACTTGTGTTGTGGCCGAAACGTCGTGATTTTTGTTATTTTATTTTTTACCTACGTGACTTTACCGAATAGAACCAAAGAGTATACACCCACAACACCCCACTAATGATAAATTAATATACTAATTCAAACATGGATACCAATAATAATCTACCCCTTCGGACATACCTAATTTCTTTAGAACTGCTTTTTGTGTTTCGTTGTCCTTCCCCCGCACCTCTGATTAGCCATATATGGTGCGAAAGAAGTTCAACACGTAACAATAAAAACCGGCTGCATTGTGGAGTAATCGTTAATGGCCAATGCACAAACGCAGTAATAACCAGGGCGGCCTCCATGATTCGAGCGTCTCCAACACGTGTTCAAGGCCCCATTGCTGAGCCCCGCCAACACGCCACGTCCACCAGCCAGCCACAAGTGCAAAAGAACCTTGGCAATCGATCCACCCCCCGCATTAAACGGGTGGGGTGGAAACTATTTGAAGAAACAGAGTAGTAAGGCAGAGGAATGTGGGAGGCAGTGTTGGGTTCTGTGTGTCCTCGAGGGGACAACCATGCCTCCGGATTCATCCAAATGGGTTCGCATTGCAACACGTGTAAATAGCGTGAGCGGCAATTGGGTGAAGCGACGGCTTATACAAATAACGCACGGTAATTATATATCGGTTGCGACGAGCGTGCAGTGAGAATTTAATTAACAGCCCTTTTCAATCCACTGCTAAATGAAGGCTTTGCAACATTTGCCAATTTTGGTTCAAAGGACAGGTTAGTATGTAGATTTGTTATTGTAAAAATGCCCTAAGTTTTATTTGACATTCAACATACTAAACCCAAAGACAATGGAGGAATTCACTTTTTTTATTAAGGCTGAAATTTTGACCATTTATGGCAAAAATTACATCGGTGAGTGACAGCAGCTATGAGATCCACTACAAAGCTATGACCAACAAATTATCCAGATTCAACCCTGTAAAGCCCAATAATGTTGATAAGAGAAGCTACTTTATGTCATGAGATTTCGTGTTTTTTACGAAACACTTGGTCTCCAGTCTGTCCACAATGCACTGCGTACATAAAGAAAACCGCTAAATTAAATCATACATCATTAGACCTCTTTTGGTAGTACCAAAATATAATAATAGGGTTTTTCCCCTTTTTTTCTGGAAACAAAACTGAAACCTTTTTACAAGGATTCATGTCTGCATTAACCACAATACCTGCAGTCAAAATGCAAACAAAAACCATACTATGATAATATATGCATTGTCCTTGAAACTGATTGGTCCACACCAAGGGACGACTTGGTGTGGACCAAAGAAAGCCATCCCTTGGTGTGGACAATCAGTTTCAAGGACAATGCATATATTATCATAGTATGTTTTTGTTTGCATTTTGACTGCAGGTATTGTGGTTAATGCAGACATGAATCCTTGTAAAAAGGTTTCAGTTTTTTTGCCAGAAAAAAAGGGGAAAACCCCTATTATTATTCAATCATCCACTTAGAAACTTGCCATGATTCTTGCAGAGTCTTGAAACATGGTAACAAGTTGCCCAGTAAAATTCCATAACAGCTTTCTTCAAAATAAACTCAGTCAAGTTAACAAGTATCCTGTTTTTTGCATTCTTAAAAAACGTAAGAAAAAAATCAAAATGTTGTTCACGTTCAGTGCATCACTTGGCCCAACTTCGCAGGCTGCACCATTTGTGTGACCTCCATCCTCATTGAGGACTCGACTGCGCATGCAGCTAGCTAAGCCTCATCCCGAGATTTAACGATGCGTGCGATTGACCAAAGCCCAACTGAGGCCCTGCCATTTGCGAATGTCCATACACATAATTCTCAAAAAGCAATGTTTGTCAAGTTCGGGGAAATGTATATGCGTTCATGACGTTTTGTGTTTCGACTTAAAGATACAGCCAGCGCACCTTTCCCGTTCCAAAACAAAGGACCACGTCCCATGTTGATTGATTTTTATACTGTTCTACGTACTTAATCGTTATCAAATTCTTCTGTTGATATGTAAATTCCTTTGTCAAGGCGCTCTGCTCCTCCCACCCAGCTTAAAATACGCTGCCAAGCTTAGCAGTGTTCATTGGAGCGCTGTCTTTCCGACAGTTATGTTTCTTCACCTGAGGAAGGCTACTTGTGTTGCGGCCGAAACGTCGTGAGAATTTGATTTTGTTTAATTTTTATTATTTTATTATTTCCCTTCCACGTGGTGACTTTACCGAAAGAACCAAAGAGGTTGCTATTAACCAGGTAAAGCCTTAACTGGTTGTGGTTGTTTCCATTGTACCTGCCAGGTACTAGCCCGCAGCAGCAGAAATAGCGCGTCACAGACCGAATCAACAAATTCGGGCCACCAGTCCCTCTCGGAAGCAATGTGCCTGAACTGCAAGGCTGTCACTCCCGGGTAGACCCTCGTCAGCCAAATTCGGATGCACAGGTAAGATACTGATGGAAGACAATCGTCCTCAACTGCGAGGAATTGCACAAGAAGAACTGCGGATGGCTATCGATGAAATATATTTGTGTTGTAAACACAACCACAACCAGTTACAACCACAACCAGTTAAGTTGTAAACAACACAAATACTCCGACTCTCAGCGCACCGCGTGCTACGGGGTCATGTGACCGCCAACCTTGTCCGGAGGAAATGGGCGGGGCCTAATGTACCGCCCCATCCACCCTTAAGCCAATCGCAATTCGCGCTTTATGCACCGTTTGATATGCCTATGTTCATAGTTCATTTATTTGGTATAGCCCTGTGAGCCATTCGGCTCTTGAATCGGGTGCAACCGCAACAAACAAAAAACATGAACAAGAAAACATCTTAAAGTGATTATGTGACTGTGCAAACAGAAAATCCAGGAAAAAAACATCAAAATATTCCTGAAATAGCACCGTACACCAACGCTGTGTGCAAAAATCCCAGTGGGATGCAAGTCAAATAACAACAACCACAAGACAACTAAGATTAAGGCCATCAGTCTAACTCCATACTACAATAAACAAAAACATGGCCAAAACAAAAAAACGTTTTCGAAATCACCAAAATAAAAGCCATAAATCCAATGTAACAGCGATCATAGGGACTGTGACCGAATTTTTAACAATAAACTACATAAATAAATTATAACACCAATATCTAGAGCCATATTTTAGGCCACTGAATAGCAGTGGCAGCTAGGGTTGTACAACTCCTCTAGAGCAGTTTTGAAGATCTCACAGGTAGTGATTCAAGTTGCAGTTTATTGGCAATAACATTCCAGACCCTGGGGGCATCAATAGCAAAGGCCCTCCCTCCAGTTTTTGTGCGGCAATAGGGAATGTGAAGCTGGTAAATGAGCGAAGACCTGAGGTCAAATTTGTTCTTTGAAACAGAGAGGAGATCCAGCAGGTAGTCTACGGAATTTTTTGTAAGTACATCGTGAATAAATAAGATCTGGTGCACAAGCCGTCGAACATTAAGAGATGTTAAGTTTGACCCAATGTAGAGATCACAGTGGTGAGTCCTATATGGGCAGTTCAATGTAAATCTTAAGGCCGAGTGACAGATGGAATCAAGCTTCTTCAGTACAGTACTTGGGGCTGATTTATACACGATGTCACAGTAGTCAAGTAGAGGCAGTATGGTAGCTTTTGTAAGTATGTAAGTGTCCGTTCTAGATCACGACGTTTCGATCGCAACACAAGCGACCGTCATCAGGTGAGACAATCACAAACTGCAGTTCCCCTGCTGTGTTCGTCTCACCTGATGACGGACGCTTGTGTTGCGATCGAAACGTCGTGATTTAATTTATTCTCCAGCTACGTGACTTTTACCGAAAGAACCAAAGAGTATGGATCGCTGCAGTCACGAAAACTTCAAAGCTTCAGACACGTTCTAATTTGCCATGAGATCCACAAACAAAAACCCCTTTTACTGCCCATCTTTGGATCGCGATAACCGTCTTGACCACCACGGTCCAAAGCTCTGACAATGTCCTTCCTCAATTGAAGAAATGTGCTGACGCTCTCGTCCATTATAACCTTGCTCATGCTTACTCTTTGGTTCTATTGGGTAAAGTCACGTAGGTGAAAATAAAATAACAAAAAATCACGACGTTTCGGCCACAACACAAGCGGCCTTCATCAGGTGAAGGGACGAGACTGTCTGACTTTACCCAATAGAACCAAAGAGTATGGATCCTAGCAGTCACGAAAGCTTTAAATCTAGACTTGCTCATGCTGTTTGCTCCTCGGTCGCTGGACATTCTGGGCCATTCGACCTGCGCTCGGCAACTGTGTTTAAAATAATAGTTCCCGGAGAGCTCGCTAAACATTAACAAACATACTTGGCTTGCCAGCCTGGGACCCATATGACGCATTCCTGCACAATGAGTGAGTGGACTGTGTGGCACAGACGAAATTGGCGGTCGTGTTTGTCGACATCCCGAATTAAAACCCAGTTCACGTCTGGCCCTATGACCTCTTGCCTCGCCATCTGCCTTCAATTATGCTCGATGAATATGAAGCTATGTCATCACTGCCAACACCAACTCCCACCCACAACTCCCATCACCCACGTCTCAACTCTGATCCATATCCAACAAACGTGGGCCGTTGCCTCCAAACTGTTTGGCCAGCATTGGTTGAAGCAAGCCTGACTGCTCACGATCCACTGAATGTCAAAGTTGGTCCGGATTTTTCTCGTGTTGGAACAACATTCTGCTATTATGCACGAGGTCGTGTGACCGATGGATATGTAAAAAAACCCATTTATTTACGTGGAGTTTCAGTCATGAGCGGCTGTCCATAAATGACGTCACGCGATTTGGGACTATTCAGACCCCCCCTCAAATATGACGTCACAAAGCTCTGCCCCCCCCCCCCCAAATCAAACATGCTTCAAATCGCTTTAAACTGTTGTCATTGTAGTGCGTATTTAATGTGGCGCTGCACTCTGATGTTGTAGGTGAAAACATTTATTAAAAAGTCTATTTAAGTAGAACGTGTTTGTCTATATTTATTTAAAGTTGCGCATTTTGATGTGACGTCACATTTCTCAAACGCCCCCCCCCCTCGTCACACATTGTCACAAATGTCTGACCCCCCCCCCCCAGGTGCGTGACGTCATTTATGGACGGCCCCTGAGATGACGTATGACCTGTAACCTACAATACGGATCAGAACTCTGGAAGCTACGCAGCTCTTTCCTTGCACTGATCCACTCTGGAATTCCCTTTCAAGGTCATGACCATAACCTTGCTCAATTCCAGAAACGCGTTCATTCGTATCTATTACAACCTTACTTGTGCTGTTTGTTGCTGGCTGCTTGGCGTGTCGAGCTTTTCGGCCTGCGCTCCAGTAAGCGTGCCAAATAAGTGGGTGGAAGCAATGGTCGTGTCAGCTGGTGCATCTACCGGTGGTCATCTCAGTCAGCCAATCCATGGCACCTGCTGGGTCTGACCCGAGACCACCTCCTGTCAGCAGCGACCCTTCGACACTTCACGTGGCAGCCTCAAAGCGCACGTGGCCTGGCACAGGCGCCGTGGTGATGTCACCGTCACTTAGTGGCGAATGGCCGGGTGATTGGTATTGGTTTGTTGTGGGTGTTTGGTGGTGGTGGTGTTGGTGTTTGGTGAGAATTCAGTGTTGACTGTGAGGCGTGTTATTGTGGTGAGGATGATGATGGTGGTGGTGGGTGTCTGTGTTCAGTTTTCAGTTTCAGTTTTTTTTAGGTATTGCCCTGTGAGCCATTCGGCTCTTGAATCGGGTGCAACCACAACACAAAAAACACGAACAAGAAATATAACTTAAAGTGACTATGTGTGACTGCAAACAGAAAATCCATGGGAAAAAAAACAGCAAAAATATTCCTGAAAAATGCACCGTACACCAACGCTGTGAGCAAAAAAATCCCAGTGGGATGCAAGTCAAATAACAACAACAACCACAAGAAAACTTAGATTAAGGCCGTCAATCTAACTCCGTACTACAACAAAACAAACATGTCCAAACCAAAGAACGTTTTCGTGTTTTTGAATTTTTGAGTGACGCACTGGAATACATTGATGCTGTGGGTGGTGTCTATAGAGCTGGCATTTTCACCATGTGTTGGCCAATAAGGGGGGGTTGTGGTATCATATGTGGGAGGGAGGGCACGCCACACGAATATAAATCACAGAATCATGCCCGCAAAACCTTGCAGATTTATCAAAAACTCAGACGCGACTGTCCTCTGCTCTCCTCGTCCCTCCTATTTCCTCTCTCATCTCCGTTGCTCGTGAGACGATGGCTGAGCAATTCTTCGGGACGTGGGATCTCGACGAAAGCCGAAACTTCGACGAATACATGAAGGCAATCGGTGAGGGCTTGTCGCCGTGCGGTTCTGGGTGTGAAGCGTTCGGCTATCCATGTCGGTCGGTTGCCCGAGCAGTTGGAGGGCACAAGCCTCTCAGTGCCGGATTGCCGTGGTAGCAAAATATATCACGGGCCCCGCACTTTCAAGGGCCCCGCGCTAAATGCTTTCAAGCTATCAATTCCGGTTCCGTGATTCTGCACTTGCTCTATTACTATAGTACTAGACCGCCTTCAACTTTTATGAAAGACTGGGTGTTTAAGGTTAGCGATTTATCGTATCGTCTGGCTTTACAGCAAATGAAAAAAATACAATTGCTTTGCTATGCAAGTAAAAAATTAGAGTTTTAATATTGACTCTTTATTTTATTTTATTTAGGGCCACTTTATAACATATGCTACAGGCCCCGGAGGAACAGATATTTATGGATGTATTGTATGTCGAACTTCTTACGTACCCAACCGTGCTAACCGGATGAGCTCGGGAAGGGCAACACACTTTGGAGACGAATTGTTTGATTATTTATCCCACTTATATTCTTCCCAACGACGCTCACGATTATATGTCTATATATCGCAGCAGTATTCGCTGGTACATGGTTAAACGTGTGTGTGTGTGTAACGATTAGCACACTACACTCTAAAGCCGTCTCCCTGCCACTGCGGTGGCAGGTCATGTCACTGGACTCTCACCCTGCAAATTTGTAATTTGGCCAATTTGGGACCCTTTCGACCGCACACATTGGCCTGTACGCTTGCGAATGTCGTCAGGGTGGATTATGTAATGCGTACCTGGTGGTGAAGCAGATGATGACAATAATAAGTTGCGCTACCCCGAGACGCCGGTTCAGCCACAGCCCTGCGGATGCTCGCTCGTGCTACCTGCTGGCAGGAGGCCCTCATCCACTCGCTCGAAAGCCTTGATGGCTGTTTGGTCTCCTCTTCCCACGTGGAACAGACGGTGTTAAAAAAAACACAGGGGCCGTCCATAAATGACGTCACGCACCTAGGGGGAGGGTCAGACATTTGTGACGATGTGACGAGGGGGGCGGAGGGGGGGTGGTGAGGAATGTGACGTCACGTAAAAAAATGCGCAACTTTAAATAAATATAGGTAACACGTTTTACTTAATTAAATAGGCTTTTAAAGAAATTTTGATTTAAAGCTTTCGTGACTGCAGGAATTCATATCCTTGATTCTTTCGGTAACTTTTAAAGAAATGTTTTCTCCTACAACATCAGAGTGCAGCGCCACATTAAATACGCACTAAAATGACAATAGTTTAAAGCGATTTTAAGCATGTTTTATATATTTTTTTTTGGGGGGGGCAGAGCTTTTTGACGTCATATTTGAGGGGGGGTCTAACTTTTTGTGATGCCGTGTGACGAGGGGGGGGGGGTCAAAATCGTTCAAAATCGCGTGACGTCATTTATGGACGGCCCCAAAGGTGTATGTGTGGGCACACCCACACTTTACTCCACCACACGTGATCTGGTGAATCCATTTATTGTGATGGGTGGACAGAGGGGGGGGGGGGGCCGGAGGGGATTTGAGAAACTTGCTCCGTTGTTTAAATTGTCGCGCCGAGAGGTAAAAAAAAGTTTAGTTTTCAATTTGTAAATTGAAAACTAAAAAAAAAAACTCATTTCTTTCGAACTGCTCGTTGTTGTGTTTAGTTGTGTGTTCTTGCCCGCACCTCTTATTAGCGCGGTTGGCTAACATACGGTGCAAAAGAACTTTAACATACATTCAATCAAACCCCGTGGACTCTGGATTGCAAGTTCCGTGTGCTTAACACCACGGCAGCCTCCACCCTTGCTCGCGCGTGGTTTCTCGAGCGGTTTGTTCGCTCAACCAGGACCCGTTTGCGTGCAGGTGTGGGATTTGCCACTCGCCACGTGGCCGGGATGAGCAAACCCACGACCATCATCGGCGGCAGCGGTGACCGCATCTGCCTGAAGACTCTGAGCACCTTCAAGAACACGGAGGTGGAGCTCCGGCTTGGGGAGCCGTTCGAGGAGACCACGGCCGATGAGAGGAAGGTGCAGGTGAGTTCTCTGTGCTGCACATGGGCCCACGACCCGTTGCCAATGCTGATGATTTTGTAGTGTCAGAGCATCTTCGACGGCTGCCGCCAATCGCCACTGAAGTGGCGGAGACGTCACCACGGCGCCTGTGCCAGGCCAGGTGCACTTTTGAGGCCACGTGGAGTGCCGAACGCCCGCTGACAAGTCAGGGGACAGACCCAGGCACCATGGGTAAACTAACCGAGATGACGGGCAGATGCACCACCTGTGCTCCTCACTGTGCCGACCTGCTGCGTTTGAACCGCCCGGCACTCCACTCGCCGCTGCGAGCGCCGCTCCAATGCCCTCCGTTGTCGTTGGAGAGCGACCGCCTGCAACTTTCCCGTAGCAGCGTCCTTCACGAGCCTTCCTCATGCGCTGTCACACCCTGCCCACATTGCGCTGTCCGCAACGCTGACCGCAGTCCCACGGTTAGCTTCGGCAGCAACCGCACGCCCCCTCTGGAAGCCGGCTTGACAGTGGGAAATTTCCAATCATCAGCCATCTCAGATATGAGCCGGCCAACGATATTCGACAAGGCACCGAAGGGAGCAGGATTGGGGGAACGTTTGAAGGATGAAAATTTAGGCCAATGGAAAAGGAGAGGGATTTTGGTAAAATGTGAGGAGTTGCTTTGAATAAATAATTTCGTCTCTTCACTCTTTGCGTCGTCCCCAGCGATGGAAATGGAATGACATCACGAGGGAGGCGTGGGATATTTTTATTTATTAGGAAGCCACTGGAAGCTATGCACTGGATTGAAATTAATTTTAGAACAGTTTTTTGTGCTTAGTTTTTTGTCCTTCCACCGCACCTCCAATTAGCATGGTTGGCGACGTACGGTACGAAAGAAGTTCAACACGTACACGCATTCGGCTTGAAATCCTGAAATCACCACTTGAAGGCCACCTTCTGGTGCTGCAGTCGAAATGGGGCACGTCTTTTTCAAATTCACCCTGCTCCTCCGACCTCCGTTCACACAGCAGTGGAGATGGGAGCACCCACCGTAATCATTTATTGAAAAAATTTCAACCCGGAAAATGAATCCCTTGGGATGGACATGTCTCGCTCGCAAACAGTGTCCAGGGTGTCAGTTCACACACATAGCGAACATGTAATGACACCTAACGGCACGTACACAACAGTTCACACACATAGCGAACGTGTAAATGACACCTAATGGCACGTATACAACAGTTCACACACATAGCGAATGTGTAAATGACACCTAACGGCACGTATACAACAGTTCACACACATAGCGAACGTGTAAATGACACCTAATGGCACGTATACAACAGTTCACACACATAGCGAATGTGTAAATGACACCTAATGGCACGTATACAACAGTTCACACACATAGCGAACGTGTAAATGACACGTACACAACATACTCTTACTTTTGTCATTTTGATGACCCACGTCACTCTCGCAAATGAGAATATCCTGGTCCCTTTTGAGTGCTGGTGGCGCCGTGGTTAGCGCACTGAGCTACAACACTGACGACTCGCGTTTGAATTCTCGCTCACGGTTAAAGTCGGTGGCCAATTTTTTTAAGAATTTATTTTACCAGGTAAGGCCCACTGAGGTTCATAGCTCTCTTTCAGAAGCGACCTGACCACAAATGCCAGCTCAACGAAGTGGCTTATCGCGTGAAAATGTATAGCAGCCAAATACTGTACTCGAAATGCATGTTGATTCTAAATGTGGAGGGAAAAACTGGGGGACCCGGAGAAAAATCCATACGACCACAGGAAGAACGTGCAAACTATACATATACAGGCGTCAGGGTCAGGATCGAACCCACGACCTCCTGCATATGAAGCTACGTCATCACTGCCAGCACCAACTCCCACCCACAACTCCCATCACCCACCGCTCAACTCTGACCCATATCCAACAAACGTGGGCCCGTTGCCTCCAAACTGTTTGGCCAGCATTGGTTGAAGCAAGCCTGACTGCTAACAATCCACTGAATGTCAAAGTCGGTCCGGATTTTTCTCGTGTTGGAACAACATTCTATTATGCACGAGGTCGTGTGGCCGATGGATATGCAAAACATTTTTTTTATTTACGTGGAGTTTCAGTCATGAGTGGCCGGAGGTGCGCGTGAAGAGAAAGGAGCCAGACAGGGGGGGGGGGGAGGGGTTCGCCCAACTCACGTGTGGCTGGGGAACGCGAAAACTGGGACTCCTAGAGGGTCCTCCAGACGCGCACTGAGCGGTCGCGCCTGCCCCGCCATCATGCGCCGCTCCCGCGCCTGTGCTGTGTGCTACCTCCCAGAGTGTGGTCACCGTGGAGGAGGGGAAACTCGTGCAGGTGCAGAAGTGGGACGGCAAGGAGACGCGCCTTGTGAGGGAGCTCTCAGGACCTGACAAGCTGATCCTGGTACCATATTCCCACCCACAAATCCCACACACAGACATACGCACATACCCACAAACCTAGCCACACCCAACTCACCACAAATCTACCTAGCTATTCACGCCCATTCCTGAGATGCATACTTACATTCATGAATGTGTGATGGGAGTTCAACTCAGGTTATAGTCGACAATAATGCACACTTATAAAAAAACATCCCAATATAGGTTTTGACTTAAAACTTTCGTGACTGCAGGAATTCATATTCTCGGTTCTTTCGGTAAAGGCACGTAAATAAGAAACAAAAATCAAAAGCCAGAAGACCGCTTGTGTTGCGATGCTTTTCATTTAGAGTTTTGTTTTCTATCTATGTGACTTTACCAAAAGAAACAAGAATATCCCAATATAGGACCCCAGAACTTGGGCGGTTGTTGGCACCCGTTTTGGCTGCGTTCCCACTTGCCTGGTGTCCCGGAATCCTGTGCAAAATAAAATCTGCGATGTTTCGGAATGCAGTTTTCATAAATAACATACTTTTTTTTTTATATATATATTGAGATGTATTTCTCGTTACAGACGTGCACCATGGGCAACGTGGTGGCATCGCGTATCTACCACAGGGCAGCGTAGCTGCTGCACCAGCCAATCACCAACAAGACGCCTGCCCGACCTATCCGAATAGCTATAACCTGCTTACCGCAATCATCCCAATATCGGAGCAGAGGTTTGGGCGACCTTTGTAAATTGAGTGTTACCTTCCCCCCACCCACCCCTCTCTCTCTCACGCGAGAGTTTGCTCAGAGTGCTCTTGATTTGGACACCGTTAACATGTTAAATAACAAAATAATCACGTGTCATTCCGGAAAATATTAAATAAGGGGACAATATGCTTCCTGCACGTCCCTCCAGATAAAAAAAAAAATGTAACCAAAGAGAGTTCTTGCCTGTAAACGTTTTACGGTTCACCAAAATATGTTCGAGTAAGCCCGACTGCTGATGAGACATTGCGTGTCGAAACCAGTCCAGAGTTTGTTGAATCAATGCCGCTGAAATGACCGCACTCACAGAAGACCGTGTCGATGATGGAATCTGTAAAAAATAGAATTTTTAAGTGGAGGGGACGCATATGAGGAGGCGGCGAATCGTGAGTTTAGTAATTGTGACCGGTTAGTAAAGCACTCGTACCCAATCGAGCACAAACTTGAGGAATCCTGCTGCGTAGCATGAACAGAAAATCAAGCTCTGGACAATGCCCTGAAGCCGTCAAAGCCGCAACACCTCGCTATCCTCCGCCGGATCCCAGAAGGACTTCACACCAACAAGGAAACTTAAGTAAAGTGGATACATATGAGACGGTTTTCATGCAATACCAATAGCTCCATTAAACTAACAAACACACTTGCCAGGTTACTGCACACACACACACACACGTCTGGCAATGCGTACTGCTGTGGGTGGACGGAAGGAGCGGTTTTTGAGAGATTTTTAGAAACTTTCCCCATTGTTTCAACTGTCAGGCCAGGGGATGGAGTCAAACCACAGACCTCTGAGTGGCAGGTCCAAGTGTGCCGCTAACCACGTCTGACGCATGTGGCAAACCGGTAACCCTTGGTCATTCATGCAGGTTCCATGCAGAAATGCTAAAACAACAAACACTTGAACAACCCTAAATAATTGTCGTTCCTTTAAAAAAAAAAAAAGGTTTTGTGATTTAATTCAAACCAATCGGAGTGTCGTTTGCAAATACAAATGCGAAAATAAGCGATTTGAACAGCGTCTGCAAATGCAACTTTATTATCCCAGTACTGCAGCCCAAAAGCAAATGCAGAACTTATCAAATTAAAATGTTGCACGCGATATTGCAGGAGAATTGCACTGAATGCATTTTTAAAATTCCGGCCACCCCAAAAAATGTTACAGAACAAAATGGCCATAATTTAACACAATATATACCCAACTTATTTCTGCTCTGCACACAATCATTACCCATATCATTAATTGTGGTATCAAATATAACATCTTGCTTACAATAAATTATGTTGGTGTATAAAGACCTGCCAGTCTATAATCGTAGTGTCTGCTTATTTATTATTACTTATGATCTCCACAAAGGCGCTAATGGTCATCTGCGGTATTGTATATTTATACAAAGTTGCACCGAACTAGGACCCATAACAGAGGATGGTTTGCCAATACACATCTGGCAGTTCACCAGCATTGGTGCAGGCAAAGCCTGACCTAAATTTCGATTTAAAGCTTTCCTGACTGCAATGATTCATCTTCTTTGGTTCTTTCGGTAAAGTCACGTAGAATGAGAATAAAATAATAAATCGATAAAATAAAATAACACAATAATATTCTCACGACGTTTCGGCCACAACACAAGCGGCCTTCATCAGGTGAAGGGACGAGACCGCTTGTGTTGTGGCCGAAACGTCGTGAGAATATTTATTGTGTTACTTTTATTTTATCAATTTATTATTTTATTCTCATTCTACGTGGTGACTTTACCGAAAGAACCAAAGAAGAAGAAAGCCTGACCTGCTGATGTGGACACGGAATGTCAACGCCCGGCCCAGAGCTTGCTTTTTGCGTGGAGCCAATGCTGCCGAAATAATGCACTGCCAAAAAGGGCACATTGGCTAATGGAATGTGCACATTTTATATCTGTTGTATATGGAGACGCGGGTTTATACGTGGAGGAGGAGGTGTACTGACTGCTTATTGACATTCACCAAATGCACCGTTCTGGTCGTAAGTGCAACCTTTCCACAGTGGAAAAAAAAATAATTAAAATCAAAAAGGGACGTTTAGAAAGGCAGGCCTGCTTGTTGGACTCAGCTGCTCAGATCGTTGACCAGCTAAAGCCCTCAGTGTGCGCTAATTCAGGAAGCCTTGCCAAGCTCCATCTTCTGTTGGATGGCACGTGTTGAGTGGTAGATGAAGCTGTCGATCAACCCAGCCACTGGATAGGAAGACGGGAGGGGAAGAGACACGGAGGTCAGAAACGAGATGTTAATGTACGAGCCACTGGAGTGTAAGAAATGCTGGGCACGCATAGCACATCATGGCAGAGGTGTCTTAGGAAACGTAAAGTGAAAATTACTGACAGACACCTTAACGTAGAACTGCCGTGGTGCCACGGTTATTGCACCTGAATCGTGATGCAGACGTTGACGATAAAGTCCCATCTCCCGGCACAGCAGTTGAAACAATGGGGTAAAGTGTGGGTATGCCTTCGAGTGGTAGACTAAACACCCGACAGTGTTCGCTCGAATTGGGAGGCCCTTGTCCCAGCAACTGTCCGAGTGGTTATTTGCAGGGCTGCACCTCAGGGTTTTTCTTTTTGCATGCAAAACATTGGCTTGAATGTTGTGATATTTAAACGGAACAATGTGCAACTAGCTTTGTTGGTATGCAGCCCACTAACTCACTCCAGGTCAGTTTGCTCGCTGGCAGGCAGGCAGTCACTTTCTTATCACTCTTGCATTGCCATGGTTACCGTTCCTGTGAAATTCACTCATTGATTCCACCACTCACGTTGAGGACTCAGTCTACCAGACTGTTTCATCTCATCCGTACTCTGTTCACCCACCGTAATATGCAGGTTGCAACAGCACACTCCCTGACCCACCCACTCACTCCCTCCCTCAACCAATCAGCCAACCGCCCACCCACTCCCTCATTCACCCACTCACTCCCTCATTCCTTCCGTCACCCACCCACTGACTCACTCATTTCCTCACCCACCCACCACACTGCAGGTCACCTCACTTCTCTTTCGGCCTCTTCCCTCGCACCGCTCCCCTTTGGCATTCAATCGGCCACCATCTGGTTACCCGAATCTCTTACACTAGCCTTGCTCAAACCAAGACCTACGTCGGCTCTTCACCCTGCTGCAACTTTGATAGAACGATTTGTTTGTTGCTGGCCGCGTGACACTTTGAACCTGTTCTCAGCAACTAATTAACAAAAAATTACGTCAAAAACAATCTTCGTTTTGAGTGGGGCTATTGTGAGTGTTTGACGGTGTGTGGGGGGAGGGGGGCTATTGTTGAGTGTTTGAGTGGGGAGTGAGCAGCACCTGTAAATACGCCCCCCACGATGGCACAGACACCAGTCAGGAAGTGGAGAAACGACCTAGGACGGCACCAGACAGATCATCAGGCAATGCACCTCCTTCCCACACCGGGGAATGTCCACATGTACGCGTGCATCGTCACGTGTCGTCACGTCTCCGCTACGCAAGTGCCAACCGACACCTCCGTGCACCATTGCAAGTTCGACGTTCCCGAACACATCGGGGGATTCATGTTTCAGGCGAAAAACATTTTTTTTGGTTCAAAAATCGCTTCTGACGACGGTGACGACAGAGATGCTGATGTCGCCCCGTGCCCCGAACCGGTTCCTTACCGGTGCTTCTCGGTGAGCCGAACCATCATGGGTGAGAGCTCATATTGGACGAACACGCCGGGCAGCCCCGACTCCACCGATCCACTGCCGATGGCCTTTACATGCTGTGTCACCGAGAACTGATTCGTCCGCACAACCTACCGTGCCACGCACATCACCAACAGCGTCACCCATCACCACCTAGTGCTCCAGAGACCACCAACAGCATCACCCATCAAGACAGGCAGGCATTGTTAACTCGAAACAAGGCGAGTTTTACAACCGAATGTTTAACATGAGATAGTCAAAAGTTATTTTCTGCTCAAATGAGCATTTCATAACCCTGCAGAACCGGTGGTGGATGCTACATATTCCTATGGCAGGGGCAAGTTTACCCATAGGACAACCACTCTTGATCTTCCCCACATGAGTTACTCGTGCTATTGAACCCACAGGGAGGGATGTTATGTTGAGTCGATACCAATGCTGCTGAAATTATGCGCTCGCAAAAGGCCGTGTGGCCGATGGGATGTGAAAAAAATACATATGTGTAGGGTTAGATGGAAACGATGTGTATGGTTTGCTAATGTATTTTGAATATACAGTATATATGGCATCACTCACCTCCCCATTCACTCGTACATACACAGTTGGAACAATCTTCACGAAATACTGAAACATCATGGAGCCTGCACAGCACTCACACACAAAGACACACCGCGAAGCCTTCATAGATTGTTGGGGCATGTGCCGAGTTAGTTCATAATAACATTGGCACAGTGCAAAATGGGGATGGGTGGTGTGGCCAGGACCATGCAGAGATGCCTTTAATGTGTCCCCAATGTTTATGTATACACGTGGCACAATATACTCATTTAGGGATAAATCAATCTAGGCGATGTAAATTACTGGTTCAGACACCCTTACTGTTGGGAGTCAGCCACGGCTGGGATGTAATCTCATAGCATAGTGTACTAACCACTGCACCAGCGCTCCCATACACACATTTGTATACATACATACATACAACAGCCCACCGCATTGCCACGATGCTTGCAACAGGTTAAAACCCATTGAGGCAATCACACGATGTGTGGAAGGCTCACTGACAGGAGATCCCAGAACAGAGCCAGGTGTTATGGGTTAACAGAGTTTGACTTTGCTAACTTTCGGCGTTCCGTTGTGAGCATCGCTGCTCTGCCATCCGTTTCTGTCCGAGAGTCCGACACGTCACATGGACATGCAGAGCATATTGAAGTACGTTTATAAAGCTGAACCGATAATGAATAGTAACAGAGCAATGTGCATAAAGAATAATGTTTTGAATCAATAGGTACTCCCTCATATGACATGGTTCAGAAAGAGCATGGTCATGGACGAAACATGCAAAACAAAAACTGAAAAGTATGCAAAGCATCGAGAGACATGCTTGGAATTACACTGAGAGAGGGACACGTGGACTAAAGAACGTATGCAGGTGAATCACATCGTCCAAAATATTCGTCAAGGTCAGTGGGCTTGGGCAAGGCAAGTCACGGCTAGACGGAACGATGGCAGGTGGTCTAGAAAAATGACGGAGTGCCAGCCGAGGATCGGAACGCGTCCGTGCAGAAGTCCACCGAGGACATAGAGCGATGACATCAGGTCATATATATATTTATACAGTTGCTGAGCACAGACCTAAAGGCCAAAAACTTGGGAGACAAATTCAGCCGGGCGTGGTGCTGGCCACCCAAATCCTCATGTGCCGTTCTGGCCTTCATAGGTGCTACTCGCTAACAGCACTTGCCCCCTACGGTCTGTTAAGGTCAAAGGGAAGTCCTTGTGTGTGTCCTTGTGTGTTTGTGTTTGTCAAAGCGTGCGCGTGTGTCTTTGTGCGTGAGTAATAGTGGACTTACAGGTGGTCTCAACCTCCCCAACACTCACGCGATTAATGTTGCATAAATGCCATTTGGAGTCTTAGCTCATTTAATTTCTATAACTGTGTACGCTGTTTTGTACTCAGACCCCTGGCCCCTAAGCAGCTCATATAAACATCAACAGAGAATGTACCTCCTTTACATATCTCCGCACATAAAAAAACACTTTTTTTCCACTTCCCATCGGTCAGACTTTCATAGGCAAGGGCGTTCCCCTGCGAGAAATGGGCATTTGAGCGCAGGTTTTATTCCGAGAAGGATACTGGGAATTTCGTGACAAGGTAGGAAAAGCAACTTGGGGGTTGGGAAGAGAGTGTAGGTGGGTGAGTGCTGTAAATATGAACAGACAGGATGGGAGTGGTGTCGACTGTCGAGACAAGCACCGGATTGGTCTTTCCGAGTCCGACAAGCAAAGGGAAGAGAACACCTAAAACCATAATGTGGGACACTGTTACAGGGCAGATATTGCGGGTCGTGCGTTTCTGCGCAATAGCTGGGAAATCTTGACCGAGCAGAGAACCGTTGGTAGAGAGCTTTTCGCTATGACATCTTGAACTTGCCACTGGAACCTTACCATCCCACTACAATGTCTACGGCCCGATACAAGTAAACTACCTTGCAGTGTAATACTCCCCACCAGGATGAACCATTACTCTAGTGTCTGGATCTCAAGAGGTAGGCAGCAGAGAGCGGGTACACACCACCACCATGCTGATCCATAATTAATGTTCCTGTAGGCCTGGCTTCACAACCCAAACCTTATTCCTCCCGTTACAAGTCAACGACCTTCCAGTGTAATTGCTCCCCGCCGGCATGAACCCACCTTCCACCGCAGCCGCGCTCGTCCCATCAAGGGGGTTGACTATGCCTGGATACTCTTGGCCGAAGGACAGATGCTTGATGTGATGCGTCAGGTTGAACTGCACGGGTGAAGCGGTGACGACCTCAGTTAAGTTACGAACAGTGAAAAACTGTGATTGAGCAACGCGGGTAACACAGCGGCACTGCGTTCACCGCTCGCTGCAGAGATTTGTGGTTTGAAGCTGGTATGCCGCCACAGTTAATAGTACGGTGTATGTCAGGGTTGTTTTTAAACGGCAACCGGCAAACAGGTAAGAGCTCTCAAGAGTTACCGGTGCTCAAAGTCAAATATGGGATTACCGTTTCCGGTGGAACTGTTCACAATAAAGGCACCGGTTGGTGACACGTGAACGTACAAACGGCACAGTGGCTTACGTCACCGCACGGCACGTTCAACCTTGCTTCTCGGTTGGAAAGTAAACGGTGCAACCCTTCCAACGCTTGCTTGCTCACACAACTGCTGGAAGCAGGGCCTGCACAAGAGAGAGTTCTAGAATATAATTGGCCTGTGCTTCCTTGTAGGACCATGGCAAGCCCGATGATTTCTCAATTGAATAGGTAAAGATATCGTTTATTGGCAGACATTTTTGTAAATGTGTGTCAATCTACTGAGGTTAGTTTTATTTCATTTTATGCAGTTACCGTTGATGCAAAAACACCAACATTAACCACTCCAGTGTCTAGAATTCAAGAGGTTGGCAGCAGAGAGTGGGGACACACTACCACCATGCTGGTCAATGGGTAATGTGCATGCAGGCCTGGCTCCAACCCTACTTCTTTACTTGACTCAAGGTAAGTTTGGACATTTATGGGAAAACGCCAACCCAAACCTCGCCACAACTTACCTTCTCAGAGCCAAACGTCTGGAGGTCATGGACTGAAAGAAGGGAAACACAAAGGCATCATTACCATTAAAGCAACTTACACAGAGACTTTAATTAGGTTTGTAATGGCAATGCATCACAACTTATAATATTAAAAAAATGTGGCCCCTTCTGGAAGTCCACAATTTCAGCAGCAATGGTTCAACACAAGCAAACTCTGGTCTGGTTTTGACTTTCAGTGTCTCGCCAGCAGAGCCAGGCTTTCTTGAACCCATGCTGGTGAACTGCTGATGGACAAACAAAGAAGGCTAAAACATTCTGTTTCCTGAGTTTGTTACACGAGAGTGGGACATTGTGAAACAAGATAAAAAGAGGTTTGTCAAAGTGAAAAAAGTGATTTCCTGCACAGCTGACAAGGTGACGATGAATTTTGATTTAAAGCTTTCGTGACTGCAGTAATTCATATTCTTAGTTCTTTCGGTAAAGTCACGTTGAAGGGAAACACAAAGCAGACCTTAAACACGGTAGGACCAACACCTCGGCCGTGGCAGATCACTGTTATAATTCAGTAGGCTCACATGACATTGACTTTTCCAAGACAGAGGTTCTTTGTAAGCCATCTGGCTACCATGAGAGATTCGTTCATGAGGCTATCCACATATACAAGCACAGAGACAATTTCAACCGAGAATATGGATTCTGGCTTAGCAATCATTGGAAAGATTTGATAAACCATTTCAGGTCTTAATTGATTGTTCACGCTTAAAGTGGCTTTCAGACAGCATACATTAATTTTTCGTCTCCCCCCCTCCTCTTTTCAGAACATAGATGGACTAGCCCTTCTAAATAAACTGCCAAATCGCTGCGCGTGGCGCTAACGTTTTTTATAAATAAATAAACCGTTTAAAAATAAATAAATTTATGCAAACCGACACACCTGATGACGACCGTTTGTGTTATGGTCGAAACGTCGTGATAATTTTTATTGTTTTATATATATTTTATTATTTTATTGTTTCCCTTCAACGTGACTTTACCGAAAGAACTAAGAATAAGGTGACGATGCTCATCTTCTATTTACAGCCCATCACAGTTGTGGAAATTCCATATTCCTTTCGGTAAAGTCACCACCAATATAGTACTTAGTTTATTAACTGAGGAGGGATGATGTGCTGTGTCAAACCGCCCCAACAAGTATATGGGCTTGATACCTTCCAATTGCGATCCAATTTCTCTGCCATTGAGCCACCTGGCCCGGATTTAGATACTAATGAGAAATGTAATTAATTTGCATATTTAAATTACATGTAAGATACAGGATGGATGGATGCAGTGATGGTGACGGGTAGGTGGGGGTGGGGGGTGTCTCACCATGTACGTGAGCCTGCTGGAAACTCTTTCCCGGAGCAAAGTGGAAGTTCCCGGCAACCTGTGGAAAAGATGTCGCACAGTTTTTAACATCACTTGACCTGGACCGAAGGTTATACGTACACTTTCCATTGCAATGGGGGCCTAAGAAGCCACGCAAAAAAATTAAGGACTTAATCCAATTTTGGCTCGTAGGAAGAGCGAGCGGCTCGCAGCAACTGGAGGGACTCGGCTGACCAGATTGACCGATTGAGCTGTGTTCAACCACCACAATGCAGGTCACAACAACTGCCATTCACCACTTCTTCTTCTTTCGTATGGCTGATTCAGATGAATAGCAACATCTACAATTTTACATTGATGTGGTCAAGTCAGATAACCGTGTCAGGAGCAGCGGAGTGTATCGCTGTCAAATCTCATTTGTATTTGTGGATCAGGCATTGTGTCGCTTAATGATGTATGGTCTCATATTCTTGGTTCTTTCGGTAAAGTCACGTAGAAGGGAAACAATACAAATATTAAACAATATTATTTTATTATTATTATTTTATTGTTTCCCTTCTACGTGACTTTACCGAAAGAACCAAGAATATGAATCCCTGCAGTCACGAAAGCTTAAATCAAGATGTATGGTCTGTTCTGGATGACCAGTCGCACATTGAACAGTTTCTAATTTTCCATTTGTGCCAACATCTGCGATAGTTTACGCAAATGCAGTTTAGGGTGGACCATGAGCTTTGTGGAAGGTCAAAACCAGGGATCTTCTGCGTTGGGTCTTTCACAAAGTGTTAGTTTGTGAGTTGGGCATCAACAAGCCGAGTGTGACTATTCCTGGTGCATTCACCACTAAGTGGTGGTGACATCACCAAGGGCCACATGAAGCGTCAAAGGCTTGCGAGCCGGTCATGGATACACACCCAGGGGCCATGAGTTTGCTGACCACTGTGCCAATTGTGCTGAGTTTTAGCCGCCTGGCGCTCCGCTCCCTTGTTGTTGTTGGAGGGTAACTGCTTCCAACTGCCCAGTAGCGTCCTTCACGAGCCTCCTTCACAGCCCGAGCTGCACTCGTTTAGCCCCCTCTATCCGGACAAACAAAAGCTGCTCAAGCTGCTTGGGCATAAGTGGCTGGGCATGCAGGCCAGGTGACTCAGCTAATGCACCCTTGACTGCTCACTGATGGGAATGTGCCCAGATCATTCAAGGATTTGGGAGCTCTTCACACAATCCAGCCTCGTTAAACCCAGGAATATCCGTAGGCAGGCCAGCCTGAATGTTTCAAACCAGCGCAGATGTTCCATTACAGAGGTTCACATTTCGCAAGCCTAAAAGGTAAGGCATAACTGTGGCCAAGAAGACCCGAAGCTTCGTGTGGAGCGACAGACCAGGTCACTTCCACACAGCATCACGTAGCTGATGAAAAGGAAATGCCACTCGACTAATTTTAAGCGAGACATCTGATGCCAAACCAGAGCTGTTCATAAGCACACTACCTAGGTACAGTAACTTAGATTTTGGTTCTCTTTGGTAAAGCCACTAAAAGAACCAAAGAGTAATTCCTGCAGTCACGAAAGTTTCTAAACAAGTTTGTACAGGAACTTCTCCACTCTTTCCATCACTCATGGGGAGTTGAAGGGGTGGAGTGTTTAATAACACAAAGTACCCAGGCAGGTGCTTAGTTTTGGTGGGGCAGATGGTAAGGCCCCACCTCTTCTTGGCAAGCTCCAGGTTCAGCAGCAGCGCCTCCAACTCCTCCTCTGAGTGAGCAGCAATTACCAGATCATCGGCATACATAACACTGTTGACCAATAGGGAGCCATACCTTCACTGCACCCAGGCATCGATCAGCCTCCCATTGTATCTGTGCCACATGGAAATTCCTACGGTACAGCTATTGAAGGCTTCACGAACTACGTGGTCGAAATAGATGTTAAATAATATGAGAGCCAGAGGATATCCCTGTCGAACCCCAAAGTGAACAGGGAATGGCTCCGACTCCCGGCCACGTAGTTTTACCCGGGCCTACTCACCATCACAAAGGTCCTTAATTATTGCGAGCAGAGAGTCAGGGACTCGAAAAACAACCCAGAGCCGAGGCCTACTGATAGTATCATAGGTCAATAGCTGAACCTCCAACTCCTTATAAGCAGCCTTTCACAAACCCTTCTCTCTCGTTCTGCCCTCACACTGCTGTCACTTCAGAATTCCCTCCTATCGTCTCTTTCTTCCCAAAGCTATTATAATAATAGCTTTGCTCAATTCAAGAAAAGCATGAACCCTTATTATCTATTGCAACATGACAAGTGCTGTTTGATGTAGGCCTCTTGAAAATGTTGGCTTTTGGGCCTGGTGCTCAGCAACTGTATTTATATGCACAGTAGACTCTCGGTTATCCGCGTGTGGTTTATCCGATTTGCGGATTCACTGGGCACCTGAGATTTTGACGTAAATTAATAACTCATGGATTTTCCCTTAAGCCCAAATTAATAATCTAAAAACAGTTATACATTGCTATTCTTGGAAATGTTTATTACAAGTCACGTGCTTCGATTAATCCAAAATCCACGTGATCGCCTCTACAGTACAGTAGTTGCCATATATTTACAACAGAGTTTGATTGATGTTGATTGGCGTGGCTCTGCTATCATCCACTTAGTAGGCCAAGTCTTCTGTACAGCAGCAGGGAAGTGTTATCGCGTGCATCGATCAGTCGATCGTTGTATTTGTTCTTAATTTATACCTATATTAATGGTTTTTAGCATAGACATCTGTGTAAAATGGATATTATTGGATTATCCGCGATTGTGAATTATCCGCGGCTGTTTTCACCATCATTATCACGGATAATCTTGGGACTGTGTTTATTATTTTAAAAAAATAAAATTAAAACTGTCTCTGGGTAGCTGACCTTGTTGACCTCCAGGAAGCCGTAGATGCGGCAGCCCTCCCCAGCCTGCTCCTTCATCTTGTCCGTGAAGCCCTCGCGCCGGCACTGCTCGATGGAGTCCGGGTTCTTGAAGGCCCAGCCCTTGAGTCGGTACGCCTCCCGCACGTCGTCGCACGAGTTGCAGCAGCTACACACGCAGCCACAGACAGCCGACCCCACCCCCATGTGTAGCCCCAGCAACACCAATCTATGGGAGGCCCTCGGCCGGCTGTTGGTCGCGAGCCGAAATCTGGAACTTGGCTCGATGGGTCTGCGGCAAAGTTGTGCTAGCCACTGTGCCACCACTCCCCACACGCACATGCAAACGTGTTTGTGTCCCCACAAGAATATGCATAGAAAAGACAAAGCTCACCTGAGGAGCTGCCATGGTGTAATGGTTAGCACAATGGAGTTGCAATCCAGTGGTCGACTGTTCGATCCCATGTCGGTGAGAGCTGATGAGGCGTGTGTGCAGGTGTGTGCACGTTGAGGCTGACACTTCACGTGGCCTCAGGGTGCACATAGCCTGGCACAAGCGTCGTGGTGACGTCACCGCCACTTAGTGGTGAATGGCGGTTGTTGTTGTTGTTGCATGTTGAGGCGTGGGGAGCAGTGGTGTCGCGGTTATAGCGTGCTGCACTATGAACCTGGCAACCCGTGTTCGATTCCCCGCTCACGGTCTACAGTTACGATTATCTGAACCAGTGGTGGGCCTCCCCCTAGGTCGACTCAGCCTCAAATGAGTACCTGGTGCAATGTGTAAACATTGCCACTTGGGGAGACAAAGGCAGTTGAGCGTGGAGCCGGCCACCCACCCACCTCACGTACCGTGCCGGCCCTTCATAGGTGCCACTCGCTAACAGCAAATGCCCCAACAGCTTGTGAAAGCTAAGGTGGTGGGGCAGGATGTTTGTCTTTGGCGAGGCGCAGTGACGAGGGGGTGAGTGGTGACGAGGCGAGTGCGCCGACGCCGTTCCCTCACAGCATGGCTGGCGTCTCGGCCCCGTAGCAGCTCTCGCACCGATCCGGGTCCAGTTCGCCCGTCTCCACTGGCGGCGCCTCCTCCAGCTTCCCCACCTCTGCAGTATCGACAAACACGATGGAACTGTCGACGGTTATGCCAAGCTGTCTCCCCGTTGTTCATGTGAACTGTGGCTCTTCGGCACACCTCCCCCCCCCCTCCCCACTATATACGACTCGTGCGTACGACTCGTGTGTACGTATTGGAGGAGCGGGGGGAAGGACAGCAAACTAAACACAAAAAGCAGTTTAAACGAAATTACGTTTTCAATCTTGATGATTTAAACGTTGCGTACCTCCAGTGGCGTCGTGGGGATCAGCAAGGTATTCTGGTTCATTTGTAGCAAGCACTTTGTTTTTGTAGTGACTCCGACCTAGTCTCAGTTGCGTTGGGATGCTTCTCGATTCCCGGATTTGCGAGCTGCGCGACGGGCTGTAACGGGCTCGCGTTTTGTTAAAATAAAATTTAAAAGAACCTGCGATCTTCAGTCCAAAGAAAATTGCTGCCTAACGGCCCCCCTTGCGTGAAGAGCAGAAGAGGCGCGCTCTCGCTCGGACGCAGCTGCTTCAACGTGGAACCGTCTCCCAGACAGACACACACCCTACACAATGTGCCGCCAGTCTCAACTGATTTACACTTTCAATAAAAAAATCTCACTCCCCACAACATTTAGAGCTGTTACAGCTAGAGTATATTGTACATGAACCGGCGGTGTACACCGCTTAATTACGTATTTTTTTTGACTGGGTGTGATATTCACTGAATGCATTCCATATAAGAAATCGAATAGAAGTGTTAGTACGTGTTATTACCTATTTGCTATATCGACACCCTGGACACCCTTGCCAATGAGATGTTTAATCTCAAGACATTTTACAAATGAAACACGATTTAAAATGTTGACCACGCCACTTCACGATATAGTCACCCATGTCGCGCTAGGGGTCAAAGCACAGTGTGGTAAACATGACATATTTCAAGAACATTTTTTTTGACCAGATGAGAACTTATGAGACCAGGATGAGTCTGATTGGCCAGTGACTACTGGCCACCCTGACACATACAATCAGAGGGTAATAGTTGAATCACTACCACGGTTACCTGCAGATTAGGGAGGGTAGTCCAAAACGTGGGACTCTTGCCATGTACAAAAGACTCCTCTGCGGTGGTGACGGTGGCTCACTGTGCTTCTCTTTCGACGTGAGTGAGGGGCAGGCTGTCTGGGTGGTAAGGGTGGTATCACCATGTCTCTCTGCACCATTACAGGCTGGCTGTCTGGGTGGTAAGGGTGGTATCACCGTGTCTCTCTGCACTGTGACAGCAGGCTGTCTGGGTGGTAAGGGTGGCTCACCGTGTCTCTCTGTACAGTGAGGGGCAGGCTGTCTGGGTGGTGAGGGTGGTATCACCATGTCTCTCTGCACCATTACAGGCTGGCTGTCTGGGTGGTGAGGGTGGCATCACCGTGTCTCTCTGTACAGTGAGGGGCAGGCTGTCTGGGTGGTAAGGGTGGTATCACCGTGTCTCTCTGCACAGTGAGGGGTTGACTGTCTGGGTGGTAAGGGTGGTATCACCGTGTCTCTCTGTACAGTAAGGGGCAGGCTGTCTGGGTGGTAAGGGTGGTATCACCGTGTTTCTCTGTACAGTAAGGGGCAGGCTGTCTGGGTGGTAAGGGTGGTATCACCGTGCCTCTCTGCACAGTGAGGGGCAGGCTGTCTGGGTGGTGGGGGTAGCTCACCGTGTTTCTCTGCACCTTGAGCGACAGGCTGGCCATCTGGGCTCAGTCGCTGCTTGTACACGTTGTGCGAGACGTCAATCTGCTGCTCCCCGGACACATCCATCGAGTCGATGCTCAAGACTGCGAATGTGACAAACACAAATGGAACGTTTCCTTGTCAAATGACAATTTCAGCCGTCTCATGGTCTGCCTGGCATGTTGATAATATGTGGGTGTTATGGTGGCGAGTGGGCGCTACGGTGGCGAGATGTTAACTACTTAACCTGGTATGCAGGAAGTCGTGGATTCGATCCCAACTGTTGACGCCTGTATACCTTGAGTTTGCATGTTCTCCCTCCACAATTCGAAACATGTGCTCAGGGTACTTTGCAGCTATATACATTTGTGGCCAGGACACTTCTGAAAAATGAGCTATATAGCTCAGTAGGCCTTAACCTGGTAAAATAACAAGTTTAGTTCAAAGTTTAGTTTCATGTCGCGATACAGTGAGACAGTTAGGGCAGGTTGATACGCAAATGCGTAGCTTTGAATAATGCAGGGAACTGTGAGGAGGTCAAGAGGTGTATTGCTTTGCTAAGGCAGGTTTTTTTGTTTTGTTATGGGCTACGAACACCGCTATCGAAGAGAATAGAGGTAAGTGTGAGCGTAAAGAAAAGCGCATTTGAGGTGGGAGTATAGATCAGAGCTGGACCCTAAGCAGCTTAAAAAAAAGAGATGTTGGCATTTGAGCATAGGTGCCCCGAGACAGACGCTGGGGAACTTTGCGGCGAGACAGGATGAGGAGCCACGCACAGGTCCAGAAGAGAGCGTGGCACCATGAGTGCTGGAGATGTGATGGGGGAGAGCCGATTGCCGAGGTAGGCATTGGAGCACCCTCCACGAGCCTGGCAACTAACGGAGGCGATGATTGTGATGATCGTGTTAGTCAATGAAGAGCAACTACTGCGACGGAGTTGTAATTGAACCATTCAATCGCTCTTTCTGAGAGTTGGTGAACTGCAGATACACTGCCTTAAAATGTACATCTGAGGCAGTGTCAAGTTATATGGAACATGGCTTGGTGCTCGTCGTTGCAGTCACGCAAAGGAGAATATTTTATCGTCCAATTGTGCATTAGGCATCCGTACCGTGGGGAAGATAAGAACTAAAGCCAGATGCGGGGATACTGTCACAGCATATATTGTGCGTGGCATGTCTACTGTGCAGCATCTGCTATAACTGCTGAAGAGAAGTGTTGGTAGCAAAGTGTAGTGGCATTAAGGGCTTTGGCCAAATGACTGATGGATTAATGATGGCTTTGGTGGTGAATTGCTTGGTGACGAGGAGCATATGTTTTACAGGATGTTAATGTATGAAGTACCTAATCTGCAGAACTCGCGGTGGCTAGGAGATGTTAACTACCCCGCCTGGTATACAGGAGGTCGTGGGCTCGATCCCGACCTCGACGCCTGATGGATATTATCAGTTTCCACGCTCTCCCCATGGTTGTGTGAATTTTTCTCCGGGTCCTCTGGTGTTTCCCTCCATGTTTAGAAACACGCGTTTTAGAGTATTTGGCTACTATAAGTTTCTACATGATAGCCCAATTGGTTGTTCTGTCATCCGTGGCCAGGTCGCTTCTGAAAAAGAGCTGTATAAGCTCAATGGACTTTACCTGGTAAAATAAAATATAGTTTAGTTTTAGTTTATAATGCCACTCGCCAACCTGATGGATGCAGTCAGCGGGAGTGAAAGGCTGCGTGTGGCCTTGAGTGAGCACTCATGAGTCAATGGACAAAGTGGCCAAGGAGATGCTTACAGGCACAGGCCATGTGTGGAAACGTGATGTCCATATTAATTCGGAGCTTCTCCCCACGCGTCGTGTCCACGAACAACTCCGGATAAACCTGCAGGCAGCCGCAAGGCAGTGGACAAACACAACACAAGTCAATAGGAGGCCCGGACATGGAGCGCAAACCCCGGGTTAGCTGAACTAACAGGGAGAGCCCTGGTCCAGCTGGCGGAAAGAGATGTTAATTGGGATTTCAATTAATCTCTTAACAACAAAAAACACAACAGCAACCCTGTGAACAGTACAATATGAGTGTGGCTAAATAATATATTGTGTGTGGTGTGTTATGCTATGCTGTATACTGTCGTGAAGTACGTCGATTAAAGGATACGCCGCTCTCCCCCCATCCCCTTGAACTCGACCACTCCTCCCCTATTCCCCAAAACCCTCCCCTATCACTCCACCCGGACATCCCCCACAACCCCTCCCCCACTACAGGAATCCCCCGCTATAAGTTACCGCAGTACGCAACGTTTGGTATATACGTTGTTGATTAATTAGGGAACATATTTCCTTACATGTGTAATGTTTTGCAAAAGCGTTCTTTGCAGGAACACACGCTATGAAAGCAGACTATTTTTCAACATAATATCGTAATGTCGTACTGTGCACGTATAGTGCGTAACACCGTAAATCCCTCCACCCAGTGGAGGGATTTACTTCCTCGTGGAGGACAGAAGTTGGACTCGACAGTGTGGAGGAGTCGAACATATTAGAGTTGCTTGAGTCCAATAGTGAGGGATCTGTCAAATGAGGACCTAACGCAGCTGGAACAACAACGAATATGAGGAAGAGACTAATGAAACAATCCCACCCCCACCATGAACATTAACTTCAATAAGATTGTCAAGAGGCTTTTATTCATCGGGAAGCAGCAATCGACATCCTCAGAGAGGATGACCCAAACAGAGGATGCAGCTCTAGAGTTAACAGGACATTAAACGGTGGCCATCACTACTACAAGGAGCTGTACCAGCAGAGGAAGAAAAATGCTGGCCAGCTGTCTTTGAACAGGTTTTAAATGCTCTGCATTCCTGTGGCTCCAGCTTCATCGTCGGATGAAGAGGCAGGTGATCCTGCCCCTTCGTCTGCTTAACTCAACCACTGTTCACTCAAAGAGGGCTCGATCAGCAAAGTTCTTCAAGAAACTCTGATAAGTTTGAACAAATTATTCGTATTTATTATTCGTTAAAATTTATTTAAACTTATAATATGCATTTTTTTTACACTTTAAGATAGTCACACAATTTTTTTCTAAAAATGTCAGCTAGGTACGCAACCCCTGATTTTAACATTATGTCTATGGGAAATTAGAGTTGGCTTTAAGTAATTTAGAGTTATGTACAATTTCCCAGGAACGCATCCATTGTGCATTACATGAAATTCCTGTACTAATGTATTACTTTAAATGTATTTGATACCACTTTAACACGATGTTTTCCACACTGTATACAATTTAACAGGTTCTAGTGTGTTGTCTCATATATTTTATTTTCGTATGCAATTTACTTTATTATATATACACTATATTCTTACATTTAAAAGACATTCTAGAATGTTTTTTTTTTAAATTCGCCTAAAACCTTGTCTGGCTCAGTGTGAATTTCAACTCGGCAGAATTTTCTGTATATTAGGCCTGTGCACTGGGTGGGCTATCCCTGTTTGATGTTACAGTACTATACTGCCTGTTATCCATTCAGGATGCACAGATTGTAACAGCTAGTTGTAGTCACGGTAAAAGTGTCTTCATAGGAAACTGGTGACTAAAAACCCTTCGTGCTAGGTGAAATTGGTTCAAAGTAAAAACATGATTTCCTGCTCAAATGAGCAGCATTAAGGTGGTGCTCATATTCTGTTTACAGCCCTGAGCCATTTGTGGACGTTTGACATTCCTATGGCGGGGGCAAGTATATTCATAACACAACCACTGTTCTTGATTTAATTTCCCCCAAACAAACTGGGACTCATTTGATCGACTCCATCCACAACCAGGATTTGAACTCAAACTTTTGATTGCAAGCCGCTCACCTTACCATTGAGTTGGATTTGCTAGTTTACTTTATGCAAGGAAAATGCTGTAGTCATACTGAAACCACAGCATAGTGGAAAATGTGTGAAAGGAGCTGTGAGGGATCTAAGAACGCGAAGAGTCAAGGAGATATGATGACACCTTGGCAGTTTTCCTGCACGTCTCACCTCCTTGCTCATGTAGAACTGAAGCTCCGACACGAACAGCAGCAGGATGATTACGGCACTCACCAACGTCACTGCCAACACAGAGACAAAGATTCCCTGTGTGGCCGACACAGGCTGTTGCCGCAAGTGCTGTTAGCGAGTGCCTATAGAGGCTAACACAGCACACGAGGAGGTGGTGTGCCCAGTAAAATTGCCTAACCACCTTTCTCTCCCAGGTCATGATGTTTACACCCTGTACAAGGTATTCCTTCAGATGTTCATCACTGATGTTGGCCGTGGACGGGAATCAAACTCGGGTGGCCGAGCTCATTGCACAAACTACTGCGCCACCGCTCCCCACTGCCATGAAAATCACAATATCGGTATGCATCAGGCAGGGCCAATTAACTCATTGATCCCTGCAGCTGTTGAATAACCCTATGAGAAATCTTATATAGCAGGATTTCCCTTTATATCATGTTAACAATATATCAAACTATCCAGCAGTGAACCATCCTATTTAAACGTACAAAAATTGTTAATGTTTTAAGGTCAATCATGTTAAAAAAATTAACAGAACATGCCTCCTTCCAAATTTGCCAATCCACAAAAAAAAACGATTCACATCTTCCACCAGCCTTGTTGGGAGTGCATTATTTCAGTAGCATTGGCTCAACACAAACAAACTCTGGAGTTGTTCTGACATTGTCTAGTCAGCAATCTTGCTTGAACCAATTCTTGTGTATAGACACCAGCATTAGTTAGACATGGGTCCTAGTTCATACCTGGTTATGTCCAGGTCCCCTAACTCTTAAACTGAATATCACCAGCCATGATCTACCCACTGCGAGCTGAATTTTTCTTCAAACCATCGTCATCAATCATGGTCACTCACATATTTGTTGTTCCATTTAATCAATTCATATTGTCCCAGTGTGGTGAAGTGTGGTCAAAAGCACCCCCACGACTGATACACAGCGTGCGGAGGGCCTTCACCGAGTAGTGGATCGAAAAAGGGCCGTCAAAAGTCAGTGACATCCTGCTCACGTGGGCGTTGAGGCTTTATTCATCTGCATTCATCTCCTGTTTAAAGCCCCAAGACAGTAGTGGCTCTGAGGCGAGTCTATCCATGGATCATGCACGGCCGAAATCCTCCGGCAGTAGGGGACATCCATTTAGTACGTACGCATGGAGGGGGGAGGTTAACCCAAATGCGTACGCTACTGACAATGTACATACGCATAGGAAACGGGGGTGAAGCCTCGATAATATAATTTGTCTACATTGGCCTTCAAATGAGCCACAGTTCAGTGTCTCCAGCTGTCAGACAACAAGTACTAGCGTGAGAAGTGGGACTGTGAGAGAGGTGTCACTCATATGTCACCGTACCCCTGACTGCAGCTATCACGCAGCTCAACAAAATCAGTGGCCAAGGTACACCAACTTAATTATTTAATGCAGCCGGCGGTGGACTATCTGTTTGCTTACACGCGTTAATATTATTCATCCTTCATCGTTTCTGCGTGGATTAAATATCGACCGTTATATAGGCGGTGGGAAGGGGTCAAGATTTGAGATTTTTTTTTGCTTACGAACTCAATGGTTGGCCCCTGGATGCCACCAATTGTGCTCGCCACTGTGCCAACTCGCTGCGTTTTAACCGCCCGGTGCTCTGCTCGTTGTTGTGAGCGTCGCCCCTCTGCCCACCGCTGTTGACACGGTCATGTAAATACTTTGTTATTTCATTACACTTGTAATTGATACCTAAATTACATTGGCCAGGTGGCTCTGCATGGCTTCTGTACAGAAATTAGGCGCTGCATCAACGCTCAAAAGCGAACAGGAAACCGCTTTGCCTTGATATTTCAAATGTTTGTGTGTCACTACGTCGTTTCTACGTGTCGGTGGATACCCTGGACACCCTTGCAAACGAGATAGTCCATCTCACGACATCCGTGATGCAGGTGAAAGCATTTAATTACAAAAAAAATATTTTAAAATTAAAAGCGCGAGGGCCCATGTTCCGGGGAGTCCCTGCCCCGCCGCCCAGGAGGCGCCCTCGCCGGCAGCGCGCTCAGGCGAGCCAGGAGGCTCCGCGGACTCACCCGCGGCCCTCCCTGCCCCGCCGCCCAGGAGGCGCCCTCGCGGGCAGCGCGCTCAGGCGAGCCAGGAGGCTCCGCGGACTTACCCGCGGCCCCGCCGCTCGTCTTCACGCGGAAATCCTCGAGCGGCTTCGCGTACGCGTCCAGGTGGCGCAGCCGCGACAACATGGCGAGGCCCACCGACAGCCGCCCGGCTTTCTCTCGGTCTTTACCGACAGCCGCGAGCTGAGCCCTTGCCCCTCACGAACGAATACCACACGAGCCCAAGGAGCCTTGATGACACCAACACCACCACTACCACCAACTACCGCCACCACCACAAAGATCCCCCGTGTAGCCTCAACAGCACTTGCCCCTACAGACTGTAGGGGCAAGTGCTGTTAGCGAGCAGCACCTATGAAGGCCGGTAACGGTACACGAGGGGGTGGGTGGCCGTGACCACGCACAGTCACTGTTGTCTCCCCAGTGGCGATGTTTACACACCGCACCAAGTACTCATTTGAGGCTGAGTCGACCTAGGGGAGGCCCGGGACCGGTTCAGATAATCGTCACCGGTGTTGGTCGTGAGCGGGAATCGAACCCGGGTCGCCAGGTTCATAGCGCAGCACAGCGCTAACCGCTACACTATCGCTCCCCACTACAACCACTACCACAACAACCACTACCACAACAACAACCACCACAACAACCACTACAACAACCACTACCACCACCACTACAACAACCACTACCACAACCACTACCACCACCACTACAACAACCACAACCACTACCACCACAACAACCACCACCACTACCACCACAACAACCACCACTACCACCACAACAACCACTACCACAACAACATCCACCACAACAACCACCACAACAACCACTACCACCACCACTACAACAACCACTACCACCACAACAACCACCACCACTACCACCACAACAACCACTACCACTACAACAACCACTACCACCACCACAACAACAACCACCACCACAACAACCACCACCACTACAACAACCACTACCACCACTACAACCACTACCACAACCACCACAACAACCACTACAACAACCACAACAACCACCACAACAACAACAACCACTACCACCACAACAACCACCACCACCACACGTGAGGACGTCCTCGCTTCGTGGTGGTGGTGGTGATGATGGTGGTGGTGCGAGGCGCCTCGCTCCCTGTTGAGGTGCACGGCTCTCACCACCACCCACCCCAACTATCGAACACGCGAGGTTGCTTCTACATGCGAAGTTTGCCGTGACTGCAAGGATCCATACTCTTTGGTTCTTTCGGTAAAGTCGCGTAGGTAGAACAAATGAAATACAAATAAAGAACAAAAGAATTGAAATAAATCACGACGTTTCGATTGCAACACAAGCAATCATCATCATCACGGGTGGTCACGAGTTGACGCAGTGATGATGTCGCCGCCAACTTAGTGGCGAATGTCGATTGTTGTTACTGTTGTTGGTTGTAGGGGTGTCGTGCAGCGGTGCATCTGTCATTGTGGTGGAGTGAAACTGCTGAGTTTCAGGAGAGTAGTGTCTGGTGAGTGTCAACCCAGCGGTCCTGGGCCTCCCCTAGGTCGACTCAGCCTCAAAAACTAGTAACTGCTGTGGTTGTTGTGTGGACATCGCCACTGGGGAGACAAAGGCGGCCGGGCGTGGTAGATCAAAGTCCCGGGCGAAGCCGGGTAGTACACAGCTAGTACAGTATACACAAAAAACATCACCACAGTACATTTATTAATACTCGGACCGATGCTTTTCTGTTTTCTTCTTTGGTTCTTTCGGTAAAGTCACCACCACGTAGAATGAGAATAAAATAATAAATTGATAAAATAAAATAACGCGATAAAATTCTCACGACGTTTCGGCCACAACACAAAGCGGCCTTCATCAGGTGAAGGGACGAGACTGTCTGGAGGACAGCGCTGGAGCGAACACAGCCACAGCTCAGTCTCGTCCCTTCACCTGAAGAAGGCCGCTTGTGTTGTGGCCGAAACGTCGTGATAATTTTATCGTGTTATTTTATCAATTTATTATTTTATTCTCGTTCTACGTGGTGGTGACTTTACCGAAAGAACCAAAGGAGATGAATCCTTGCAGTCACGAAAGCTTTAAATCGAAAGATGCTCCTGTTGTTTGTGGAGTAACTCGTGCAGCCCAGCTATTGGCTCTAGGATTTGGTGTTACATGTTATTATTTATGTAGTTTATTGTAAAAATTCGGTCACAGTCCTTGTGATCACTGTTACGTTGCAATTATGGCTTTATTTTCTTTTGTGATTTGGAAAAGTTTTTTGGTTTGGACACGTTTGTTTTGTTGTAGTACAGAGTTAGACTGATGGCCTTAATCTAAGTTTTCTTGTGGTTGTTGTTGTTTGACTTGCATCCCACTGGGATTTTTTTCACAGCGTTGGTGGTGTACGGTGCTATTTTTTCCGGGAATATTTTTGCTGTTTTTTTTTCCCATGAATTTTCTGTTTGCACAGTCACACATAGTCACTTTAAGATGTTTTTCTTGTTCGTGATTTTGTTTTTTTTGTGTTTGTTTGTTGTGGTTGCACCCGATTCAAGAGCCGAATGGCTCACAGGGCTATACCACAATAAACTGAACTGAATTTATAAATATTTGTCACTGCCCTTAATGCAATGATGGATGCGGACCTTCCCATGCCGTGTCGATCACGGGCGTGGTTGTTTGACCGTTAGGATGCTTCGTGGGTGAAGTCCAGGAGGATGGCCACAGATCTTCTGGCTGCAGCACAATTGGCAAGCTGATCCTTGTCAGCAGCTAGGGCATGGGGAAGGAAACGCCACTTGTGGAAGCGCCACGGGTTGGTGTCAGCGGCTGGATGCATGCTGCTCGTGTTGCTGCTGCTGCTGCCTTTGCTTGATCTCTGCGCTAGCCGTGAACGATTTGCAGACGTTCAAAATGTGTACGGCGAGAATGAGTGTAAGCAAAGACACAATAACCGCTCTAGACTTCGCTGGATAACAATTGTGTGCTTTTGATTTAAAGCTTTCGTGACTGCAGTAATTCATATTCTTAGTTCTTTCGGTAAAGTCACGTTGAAGGGAAACAACAAAATAATAAAAAATATATAAAACAATAAAAATTCTCACGACGTTTCGACCATAACACACCTGAAGACGACCGTTTGTGTTATGGTCGAAACGTCGTGAGAATTTTTATTGTTTTATATTTTTTTTTATTATTTTGTTGTTTCCCTTCAACGTGCCTTTACCGAAAGAACTAAGAAAAATGGTGTACTTTATTTTGATTTAAAGCTTTCGTGACTGCAGGGATTCATATTCTTGGTTCTTTCGGTAAGGTCACCACGTAGAAGGGAAACAATAAAATAATAAAAAATATAAAACAAATTTTCTTGTTGTGGGTTTCACACCTGTTGATGATTGCTTGTGTTGCAGTCGAAACGTCGTGAGAATTTTGTTTTATATTTTTATTATTTTATTGTTTCCCATCTACGTGACTTTACCGAAAGAACCAAGAATATGGTGAACTTTATCTTACAGTTACATGCTAATTTCTCACTTTAACATCACCAGCCCCGGCCACTTCTTTATGACCCATGAGCTACACCCATTTCAAACTTTTTAAAACAGTCTGCCTCAGCAGCAAACCATGCTTTCCCTCCTGATGTTGGACGCTTGTGTTGCGCCCGAAACGTCGTGAATTTATCTTATTTTATACCCACGTGACTTTACCGAAAGAATCAAAGGGTATGGATTACTGCAGTCGCGAAAGCTTCAAATCAAGGGTGTACTTTAATGTTGATATTCCTGAGGTGACCCTGGCCTGAACGTTTGACCTCATTCTCGCGAAAGGACAAATCAACGCCACTGCAACACTCCCATAACTCATTGCCAGACATTACCACTGGATAGAGCCACTTAATAATCACAAATGACGATGTATTGATCATTGAAAAAAATACCCTCTGTTGGATTCTGACGGAGGGTAGAAAGCAAAGTGTGGTGGTATCAATGGCTTTGGCCACACGATGATATCTTCGTTTTGAAAAATAAACCAGCCCAACCCTTGGACGAATGTGGCTCGAGCTGAACCAGCCCTACGCATGTGTAGTGTTTGTGGATTCAGGAGACGTCGGAGATGGTTCTTGGAGGCAACACTATTTATTAACACCACACTTCGGCAGTGCAGTCCCAGATCACTCAGGGCTACACCACTGTCTAGGGAGGGTACTGCCTCCGGGCGAACGTGCCCTAACACAGGGCTACACTCAGGGCTACACCACTGTCTGGGAGGGTACTGCCTCCGGGTTAACGTGCCCTAACACAGGGCTACACTCAGGGCTACACCACTGTCTAGGGAGGGTACTGCCTCCGGGCTAACGTGCCCTAACACAGGGCTACACTCAGGATCCTCCTACACCACTGTCTAGGGAGGTACTGCCTCCAGGCTAACGTGCCCTATAACACAGGGCTACACTCAGGGTCCTCCTACACCACTGTCTAGGGAGGGTACTGCCTCTGGGCTAACGTGCCCTAACACAGGGCTACACTCAGGGTCCTCCTACACCACTGTCTAGGGAGGTACTGCCTCTCGGCTAACGTGCCCTAACACAGGGCTACACTCAGGGTCCTCCTACACCACTGTCTAGGGAGGTACTGCTTCCGGGCTAACGTGCCCTAACACAGGGCTACACTCAGGGCTACACCACTGTCTGGGAGGGTACTGCCTCCGGGCTAACGTGCCCTAACACAGGGCTACACTCAGGGTCCTCCTACACCACTGTCTAGGGAGGTACTGCCTCTGGGCTAACGTGCTCTAACACAGGGCTACACTCAGGGCTACACCACTGTCTAGGGAGGGTACTGCCTCCGGGCTAACGTGCCCTAACACAGGGCTACACTCAGGGCTACACCACTGTCTAGGGAGGTACTGCCTCTAGGCTAACGTGCCCTATAACACAGGGCTACACTCAGGGTCCTCCGGCTATGGGTGCCTAGGGGGAGGCTAGTCTAACTCGGCCCTAGCCAGGGTGCGAGTTCCCACCACTGACCCACTGGACCCGGCCCTTACAAGGACGTCGGGCCAGGGGTTCTCAGGGTCTCACCGCTGAGCCGCACAAAGTCCCGGTCCTGACAAGGGCAGCGGGACTAGGGGATCTCAGGGTCCTATCTCGCTGCTCTTCGGCTTCGGCCTATAACTGGTCCAGATCGGCTGGGGAGGTCCCCTTTTATGTCCCTTGCCCATCGAGGGGTGGGGCTGCGTGGGATCCCAGAACCCCCGCAGCCCCCTCCATTGGGGGCGCCGAGGGGCTTAGCTGTCTGGGATCCTGAGCCCCCAGCAGCCCCTCCCCTGGCGGTACGAAGTACCGCTGCTGATGGGCCCCGTCCACCATTGCAGATAAGTGCGGCCCATCTACGGCGCTACACATGCATACTTCCAGTTGCTACCTCGATATGGCCAACACCACAAAAGCCACAACCACGGGTTACTTTTTTATGTTTTTATTTTTGTCATCAACAGCTCCCGGCACAGTGTGTGCACCTCAATATTTTTTGCCAAAATTATCAGCAACAAATATGAAAGAACTCTTGTTTTTACCCGTAACTATATAAAGGTCACTTATTATAATTGTTGGCCTTCTAAGATTCCCGAATAACCTCCAGAACTCGTTAATAATGCCCCTTGCTTCAATGTGCGCTTATACTCTTACACCTGAATGCCACATCCATAACCCACGTTTACAAAAGCCAAACAGGAAATCGAATTCTCATGCAAAGGTTAAAGTGGGATGATGAATGAGACTGGAATAAGTGATATCAATTCTGTATGAACAAACCCAACTAAATAATGAACAAAATACACATCGTCTAAAACCTCCTTCGTCCTATCATCATTTTTGATAATTTAAAAGTGTTTTTTTGTTATTAGGATATTCACGTGAAATATTGTAAGACATGAAACATCCCCAACTTCAAAATCATGTCCACGTTAAAAGAGACTCAGCAAAATTGGCCCCTTGCATTGAATCTTGCAACGGGTCCATGTCACAAGTCCTGAATGGGTATCTATCGGACCATTTTGCCATTGTCCAAGATGATGAAAAACAGGATAAGGTTTTACCCTTTCTGGCATTAAAAGAGGTGTTAAGAAGTTCAAACTCCAAATAGAAGATATCTTTTTGCAAGGTGTCAAGTCTGAAATAAATACATCCACTTGTGGAAAAAACATGCAAACATTCTCTGATAATATACGCAGTCTTTGAAACTGATTGCATGCAATGCATAATTATCAGAGCATGTTTGTTTGCATGTTTTACCACAAGTCTGTGTGGTTAATACAGACTTGATGCTTTGCAAAATGGATCTATTTGGTGTTTAAAACCTAGTGTTATTTTTCATAATCTTGAATGGGTAGTCCACCATCTCCCATTATATTTCTGGCCTAATCAACCTGACACACAGCAGGTGCCCATATCAGACTGAGTCAACTCAGTAAAGACCCGCTGGGTAGAGCCAATTGAAATCATGAAAACGATCATTCAGTAGATACGATAGGCTTTGGGTTCCTGACTTGGAGCCAGCGAACACGATGCCGAGATACAAGTAAAAATTATGCTGTGGAAAATGAGGATGTACAGTGAGGGAAAAAAGTATTTGATCCTCTGCTGATTTTGTACGTTTGCCCACTGACAAAGAAATGATCAGTCTATAATTTTAATGGTAGGTTTATTTTAACAGTGAGAGACAGAATAACAACAAAATCCAGAAAAACGCATGTCAAAAATGTTATAAATTGATTTGCATTTTAATGAGGGAAATAAGTATTTGACCCCCTCTCAATCAGAAGGATTTCTGGCTCCCAGGTGTCTTTTATACAGGTAACGAGCTGAGATTAGGAGCACACTCTTAAAGGGAGCTAATCTCAGCTTGTTACCTGTATAAAAGGCACCTGTCCACAGAATCAATCAGATTCCAAACTCTCCACCATGGCCAAGACCAAAGAGCTCTCCAAGGATGTCAGGGACAAGATTGTAGACCTACACAAGGCTGGAATGGGCTACAAGACCATTGCCAAGCAGCTTGGTGAGAAGGTGACAACAGTTGGTGCGATTATTCGCAAATGGAAGAACCACAAAAGAACTGTCAATCTCCCTCAGCCTGGGGCTCCATGCAAGATCTTACCTCGTGGTGTTGCAATGATCATGAGAACGGTGAGGAATCAGCCCAGAACTACACGGGAGGATCTTGTTAATGATCTCAAGGCAGCTGGGACCATAGTCACCAAGAAAACAATTGGTAACACACTACGCCGTGAAGGACTGAAATCCTGCAGCGCCCGCAAGGTCCCCCTGCTCAAGACAGCACATATACATGCCTGTCTGAAGTTTGCCAATGAACATCTGAATGATTCAGAGGACAACTGGGTGAAAGTGTTGTGGTCAGATGAGACCAAAATGGAGCTCTTTGGCATCAACTCAACTCGCTGTGTTTGGAGAAGGAGGAATGCTGCCTATGACCCCAAGAACACCATCCCCACCGTCAAACATGGAGGTGGAAACATTATGCTTTGGGGGTGTTTTTCTGCTAAGGGGACAGGACAACTTCACCGCATCAAAGGGACGATGGACAGTGCCATGTACCGTCAAATCTTGGGTGAGAACCTCCTTCCCTCAGCCAGGGCATTGAAAATGGGTCGTGGATGGGTATTCCAGCATGACAATGACCCAAAACACACGGCCAAGACAACAAAGGAGTGGCTCAAGAAGAAGCACATTAAGGTCCTGGAGTGGCCTAGCCAGTCTCCAGACCTTAATCCCATAGAAAATCTGTGGAGGGAGCTGAAGGTTGCCAAACGTCAGCCTCGAAACCTTAATGACTTGGAGAAGATCTGCAAAGAGGAGTGAGACAAAATCCCTCCTGAGATGTGTGCAAACCTGGTGGCCAACTACAAGAAACGTCTGACCTCTGTGATTGCCAACAAGGGTTTTGCCACCAAGTAGTACGTCATATTTTGCAGAGGGGTCAAATACTTATTTCCCTCATTAAAATGCAAATCAATTCATAACATTTTTGACATGCGTTTTTCTGGATTTTGTTGTTATTCTGTCTCTCACTGTTCAAATAAACCTACCATTAAAATTATAGACTGATCATTTCTTTGTCAGTGGGAAAAAGTACAAAATCAGCAGGGGATCAAGTACTTTTTTCCCTCACTGTATAAGTTGTGGTCGTTAGCCCGCGCGAAAACTATAACGTTAGCCCTGACCTCTAGTCCTTACTCTGATCATTACCCTAACCTGTCAAATATATCTCTGACCACTAGCTTGGCTTCAATACTAGTCTTAACCTTAATCATCATGCTAAAGTTATGTTGAATGGACCAACCTCACTAACTATAATTCCAACAGTAGCTGCTAGCCCTGACTAATAACTATAGCCCTTATCCGTAGATTTCACCATCTCTGAACCTACACCTAGGGGTGCACCAATTACCACTTTTATATCCTGTTGAATACCAACTAGCTGAATTAGATGTTCAAATGCATCAGGATTCAAACCGAATAGTAAAGTCTAGGCAATGTAATGAGAGTAGAGAGCTGCAGATAAGGCACGTGTGGTGAGATATTAGATACATAAACTTGCGAGAAGTCACAGTGAGAGATGCAGATGAAATAGATGGAGACAAAGGGAGTTACATTGGTGAAGAGAGATGAGTAGAGGTGTCAATGGCGAGAAACATAAAATATAGATACGCAATGATTGAATACTGATAAAGAGCGAAAATAGGCTTTCTAATGAGATGCGAGGTGAAATATCAGAAAAAGTATAAGCATGAGAAAAATGGCAGTGATACATTCAGATGATGCTAAGGTGCAGACAAACAGAGATAATAGGCACTTGGATTGAAACATTTTCAAGCATTCAATATTCGGTCAGATCCAAATTTGGGATGGCTATTTGGCACAATGGTAGCTCTAGCCTGAGCCCTAATTCTACCCCTCACTTGAGCCCTACTTTAACTAAAAAAAAACCTTTTGTATTTTACCAGGTAAGGCCAAATGAGCAACATGTTTTTTTCACAAGCGGCCTGGCCACAAATGATAGCTCAATGAAGTGGCTTATCATGTGGCAATTTATAGCAGCCAAATACTATAAAAGCATGTTTCTAAATGTGGAGGGAAAAACCGGAGGATCCGGATAAAAATCCACACGACCACGGGGAGACACATGCAAACTCCAAATATGCAGACGTCAGCGTCGGAATCGAAACCACGACCTGAAAATCAGGCGAGGTAGTTAACATCTCGTCACCATGGCGCCCTGAGGTCACACTCGACTCTTCCCAATTGTGAACTGATGTTCATGTTGACGTGACACCAGTGTCCATGCCAAGAACAGCAAATACAAGGTGCCACGTAATTTTGCCTTTGCATGACGACACCAGCCCCCGTGTACAATGGGTTGTGTCGTCCACTTCTAATGACTCATGGGTCAATACCCTCAGCTGGAGAGATGGTTGATCATCTCACCTTGGGCCGCTCTGTGAAGCATACAATTGTCAGCAGACTTGACGAGACGCAGAGTTTTCCTACAGAGCGCCGTGATCAGTTTCGGTACATTCCACCATGCGGCTAAACTCTGTTCCAAATTCTCCTCCTCTCCTTTACCCTATCCCTCGAGGCCTAAATCACATGCGCTTCATAACACGCGAGACGTTGTGAAGCGCACGTAAAGTAATAAATGATGGTGATGACGTCCAATCTGGGAAGGGGAGCGCATTCTTGTGGCAGGAATATTGTTGGGTCCGCTTGGGAGAGGTAGTGGTTGGAAAGTGGATGTGATGTTTTACAATTACATTTACCGTAAAAGGCACATAGATTATGATTTACAGGCAAACCTCATGGATTCCCATACCAACTACTGTGAAATCTGACTTTGCACTTTTTCACTTTACAGTAATGTTACGTATCTGTGTAGATATAAGAAAATATAAAATGCTAAATATAAAATATAGCCATGTATCCCCTTGCATTTGCATATTACACAATATTACATTTTGTAAAAAGAATGCACTTTGTGTTGTGTTAAGACTTTATCAGTCACAGTGCTAACATATCCATATGTCTGGGTGCATTCAAGTGTAAAACAAACATTCAACTACTTGAAAAAAAAGGTCAGCTTCCTAATATTTGCAAAGGCCCCAGGCATTAGTGCAAATAGATGAGGTTTGCTTGTAAATACACATCAATATGTATGAGAACTTTCTCCAGTGTTGCAATAAAATATGGTTTAGTGATCGGCAGGGGTATTAATGTCATGGCCTGCAAGTCTCCACCTGACGGTGGCCTGTAATACGGTGACGTTCATGGACATGGCTCTTGGTTGGCCAAGCTGAACGCAGCTGAACGCAGCTGAACAGAGCTGGCCAGGCCCAGCTCTGCTTACCACTCGTGGCCGTGCGAATGCATTGCCGGTCACCATCCTTCTGGCTTAAAACTCGTCACGGAAATGACACGGTCTTATTCGACCTCTCGTTTTGTTCTTTAGAACTCGTTTAAACGCATTGTCCCTCGGAGACAACAATATTGGATTCACCACTACCCCCACCGCGGGTTACATGGGGTGGGGATCTATGGCTCCAATCATAACCAAGCCGCCCTGGCCAGCATCAGAACGCTCACTCTTCCGCACAGACCTCTCTCCCGTTCACGCTTCACGAGAGAAATTACTGTGCGATTGGGAGTGAATCGCGTTCAAGATTGTTAATGGTGTACATAAGTCAATTAGTGATATATCTTAGCCACTAGAAGTAAACACTAAAAAGCAGGCTCATAATGTCATGTCATCACTGTCGATTGGGTGTTGTTCATCTACTACATTTGAAATCACGATGCGAATCAATCAAAATATAACGTTTTTGTTCATTATTCACACTCATCTGGTAGCCAGAGAGAGGCATTGGCAGAAGTGTCAAAGGGAGGCCACATTGGTTGATGCGTTTGAGAAAGAAGTGGGGTGATGGTATAGCAAGGTGTGATCTGACAGGAGGCGGGCGAGGGGTCATGGCAGGAGACAAACGTGGATCATTGTCCATTACAGCTGGGTGTCAATTACAGCAGTACCGCATGCTATGAAGAGGCACTGTCTATCATGGGCGGCTGCAGCCCATTATAGCAAAGCGTCCTCTGCTAGCGAGGTGCTGCATACTGAAGGAACGCAGCGTCCGTTACAGGGGAGTATTTTTTAGGCTTCGCCCTGCTACAGCGAGACATCACCGTTGGGTGGGGAAAGCGCCCTCCGCTAAATAGTATCGAAGTTTCATCACACGGAGGCAGCTGCCATCGTTTGTTCGTTCGTTAGAGGAAGGTGTCGTCAGCCGACGGGGCGTACGAGAAGCCCAGGAAGGCGTCCCCAGCGGCCACGACGCTGCTGCTGACGATGGCTGGATCGGGCGACCGTCCCACGGAGTTGGGCACCGGTTCCCGCACAAACTCCGGGTCGAAGTGGCGCAGATCCGATGGCCCCGCCTGAAGCACATGGGCAGCACAAATGCGCGCATCATCACGTTACAAGTTAAACATTAAAATAATGAAAACAATCTCTTAAGACGTTAAACGAAACAGCAAAAAAGAACCACAGAGGAGAGTCCGTTTGTTGTTTTGCTCCAGGTGGATGAACAGGGTCGTGAACCCGAAGGCTCGGCGGCTATGGCTGGGTGTTAAGACGCGCAAAGATATTCACCAGCTGCGGAACTCCGTGCACCGTCATCTCTTGCATCTTTACACACGAGACCAACATCCTCACTTCCAATTACCTCCTCCTTGGCATTTATTCGGAAGATTACAGCAATATTTCTACATATAACGCACATTCCAAAACTTCACCGTTCAAGTTGGCAAGTATTACATAAATAACTAAGGGGAATGCCGATGTGGCAGTATAGCAACGAGTACTTGAATGCGTCTGTGCAGATTTTAGAGTGTTATCACCTCTCGTCTACATGGGTTCTTTCTGGGTACGACCGTTTCCTCCCAGAGGCAAAACACTCATGAACCGACAAGGCCAAACATCTCAATGGAGGACCATCCTGAAAAGTCACAACGAGACTTGCCTGAATGAATAAAGAGATTTATAGATATTATTACGAGCATAAATTATGATATTGGGCATCACGGTGGCGAGATGTTAATTACCTCGCCGGGAAAACAGGAGGACGTAGGTTCGATCCCGACACAAACGCCTGCATATTTGGACTTTGCGTGTCTCTCTCTCCCCGTAGTGACGTGGATTTTTCCTCCGGGATTTCCGGTTTTTCCATCCACATACAGAAACATGCGCTTAGAGTATTTGGCTGCTATACATTTGCACGTGATAAGCCACTCCGTTGAGCTACCATCTGTGATAGCCAGGTCGCTTCTGGAAAAGAGCTATACAGCTCAGTCGGTCTTACCTGGTAACATAATAACAGTTGAGTTTTATAGTTTTTTTTTTTATTTAACACCAATGCGCTCCATAAGGTGACCGATAGGAAACGTGGCGGTTGCAAACAGCAGGAGACTGAGGGCAAAACCCTGACGGACTCCGTACGAGAGAACTTTGGTTTATGCGGATGAAGAACCCCCCCCCCCCCCATACTCTGACCGAGAAACTACTGGGAGATCAGACGGTTGTCATCCGTTGTGGAGCTGGGACATTTCTCTCGGGGTCAGATTCCAGAAAGCCAATGAGGACGAAAAAAAAGTACTCGCCATGAACTCGTGACGCCTATCCGAGGCATTCGTCACGAAAGCAGCGCGCGCTAACACCGAGTTAGATAACGACGCCGCAGAGTTACAGTGAGAAAAATAAAATAAACATTCTAACGCTGTCGCTGTCACCGAGCTGCGGAGGAGCTGTAACTACTCTGTGGACCACGGTGGGCACAGCTGGGGAGGGGGCGGCGGGCGACGGCTTCCACACGCATGGAGTTGTTCTCTCGTTCAGCCCGAGACCTGGTCCGGCTGGATAAAAGAAAAAAAAAACCCGCTAGCCTGACGTTTCTCTCGCTCGCTCGTGCTGGGACATACCACGTCCGGATTGTACGGGGGCGTGATGCGCCTGGCGTAGAGGTCGTCCCAGTTGATGGAGGAGAAAAATGCGTGGTTCTTGATCTCCAGCTGCATCGACAAAAATAAAACGAGAGAGAGAGAGAAAGAATGGGCATTGAGGGCAAGCCGCAAGCAACAGCAGCAACGTCGGAGCCAGCAAACGGAGGGGATAGTCGGTTATAATACACAGGTGTTTATGTGGTGGTGGTGATGATGTGGAAGAGGTACTGAGGATTTAATGAGAAGAGGTGTTGGTGAAGTGGTAGATGTTATGAATGGAGGTGGTGGTGGTGGTGGTGAAGTGGAAGTAAAGATGTCGTAGAAATATGGTAATGGTGAGAGGAGGATGTTGTGATCATGTGAATGGTGAGGCGGTGGTATAGATGTAAATGGTGAGGTGTAAATGGTGAGATGTAGATGGTGAGGTGTAGACGCTGGTGAGGTGTGGACGCTGGTGAGGTGTAATCTGGTGAGGTGTAGCTGGTGAGGTGTAGCTGGTGAGGTGTAAATGGTGAGATGTTGATGGTGAGGTGTAGACGCTGGTGAGGTGTAGATGGTGAGGTGTAGGTGAGGTGTAGCTGGTGCGGTGTAGCTGGTGCGGTGTAGATGGTGAGGTGTAGGTGTTGGTGAGGTGTAGCTGGTGTGGTGTAGCTGGTGAGGTGTAGGTGAGGTGTAGCTGGTGAGGCGTAGCTGGTGAGGCGTAGGTGCTGGTGAGGTGTAGCTGGTGAGGTGTAGGTGAGGTGTAGCTGGTGAGGTGTAGCTGGTGAGGTGTAGAGTGCTGGTGAGGTGTAGCTGGTGAGGTGTAGCTGGTGAGGTGTAGACGCTGGTGAGGTGTAGCTGGTGAGGTGTAGGTGCTGGTGAGGTGTAAGTGAGGTGTAGATGGTGCAGTGTAGCTGCTGAGGTGTAGATGGTGAGGTATAGGTGAGGTGTAGCTGGTGAGGTGTAGACGCTGGTGAGGTGTAGCTGGTGAGGTGTAGGTGAGGTGTAGCTGGTGAGGTGTAGCTGGTGAGGTGTAGGTGGTGAGGTGTAGATGGTGAGGTGTAGATGGTGAGGTGTAGGTGAGGTGTAGATGGTGAGGTGTAGCTGTCGAGGCGTAGGTGCTGGTGAGGTGTAGCTGGTGAGGTGTAGCTGGTGTGGTGTAGATGGTGAGGTGTAGATGGTGAGGTGTAGCTGGTGCGGTGTAGCTGGTGAGGTGTAGGTGAGGTGTAGCTGGTGAGGCGTAGCTGGTGAGGCGTAGGTGCTGGTGAGGTGTAGCTGGTGAGTTGTAGATGGTGAGGTGTAGGTGAGGTGTAGCTGGTGCGGTGTAGCTGGTGCGGTGTAGCTGGTGCGGTGTAGCTGGTGAGGTGTAGGTGAGGTGTAGCTGGTGAGGTGTAGGTGGTAGGTGTGTGTAGCTGGTGAGGTGTAGCTAGTGGTTAGCTGGTGAGGTGTAGCTGGTGAGGTGTAGGTGAGGTGTAGGTGGTGAGGTGTAGCTGGTGAGGTGTAGCTGGTGAGGTGTAGCTAGTGCGGTGTAGCTAGTGCGGTGTAGGTGGTGAGGTGTAGCTGGTGAGGCGTAGGTGCTGGTGAGGTGTAGCTGGTGAGGTGTAGCTGGTGCGGTGTAGCTGGTGAGGTGTAGCTGGTGAGGTGTAGCTGTCGAGGCGTAGGCGCTGGTGAGGTGTAGCTGGTGCGGTGTAGCTGGTAAGGTGTAGGTGAGGTGTAGCTGGTGAGGTGTAGCTGGTGAGGTGTAGCTGTCGAGGTGTAGGCGCTGGTGAGGTGTAGATGGTGAGGTGTAGCTGGTGCGGTGTAGCTGGTGCGGTGTAGGTGAGGTGTAGCTGGTGAGGTGTAGCTGGTGAGGTGTAGCTGGTGAGGTGTAGGTCCTGGTGAGGCGTAGGTGCTGGTGAGGCGTAGGTGCTGGTGAGGTGTAGCTGGTGCGGTGTAGCTGGTGAGGTGTAGCTGTTGAGGCGTAGGTGCTAGTGAGGTGTAGCTGGTGCGGTGTAGCTGGTGAGGTGTAGCTGTTGAGGCGTAGGTGCTAGTGAGGTGTAGCTGGTGCGGTGTAGCTGGTGCGGTGTAGCTGTCGAGGCGTAGGCGCTGGCTAGGAGCTGTGGAGCGGGACGTACAAAGTCTGCGACGGCGCCCAGCCGCAGGTGCTTCTCCTTGTGCAGGAGACGCTCCAGGACGTCGCGGGCGGGCGCTGCGAGACCCGGCCGGAAGCGCACCGGCCGGTGCAGGATGCTGTCGTACATCTCCGCAGTGTTCCGGCTGTAGAATGGGGGCTACGGGAAGGGGGGGAAGGGGTAGGGGTAGGGGCGGGGCGCACGGCAGGGATGGAAGGGACGTTAGACGAAGGGTCCGGGAGTTAGAGAGAAGCAGCGGAGGGATGCGAGCGACCGAAAGCGAGCGGAGGATTCCTGCACGCGGAGAGAAGGGTGGTTCAAGGCGGGTCCCCGCTATATACGTCGTCTCGATATGCGCCGCCCATCGGCGGTTTTACAGATTTCGGGCACGACTTAGCTTCAAGAGCGTAAAAATAGAGGGAGAGTCACCTTCTCCAATCAAGCACAACTCATCCACTCCTCAAGGTGAGATCATAAAAATGATGGGTTATGGTGATTTTTTTTTAAAATGCCGTTTAAGATTGTTTGACAAGTGTAAATTGCTGTCTGAAGGTTCTTGAACTCAGAATTGGTTATACATGCGTATGTGTGTACATTACATGTTGTACAATATAGCATGTAAAGATCCTGCTTTTCTGTACATGTACAGTACGTATTGTGGTTGCTAGGTATGAAACACAACGTTTCCCCAAAGTTGCGGTCCCCATCCCTACCTTATTCCATTGTTTCTAATGGGAGAAACTTCCCCACTTTGCGTTGCAAAGGCAATGTTTACGCATTTTGCGGTCCCTATCCCCACCTGTTAACATGTATCCCTATGGGGGAAAAGTCCCCGTTATACGTCATTTTGGTATACGTCGCAACTTTCCGGTGCCTGACCCCGACGTATATCGGGCCCCCCCCCCCCCGTGTATGACAGAGAGGATGAGAGAATGACGAGCAGTGGTGAGAGACAGAGAGAGAGAGAGGGACGTCGAATACAACGTTAGAAATGACGAAGAGTGTCCGGTTTAGGATGTTTGTGAGTGCACTAGGAAAGGAATAGGGTGCTTGGTGTTAAACGGAAGAAACGCTTTAGGGAGGCTTCTGGTGACTCGGGGGGCTATGACGGCGGGCTCTAGTCTGTGTTCAACTCTGCACTCCCATCCGCTGTGGAGCCGGCCGGGTTCTCCTGTCTCGAGAGTTTTGTGGCCTCAGCCTGGTCACCAGTCGTGCACACAAAAATGTTTAAAAAAAAAAAAGGTGTAATGTTTGAATAAAGTGAACAACGACGTTTTTATTGACATGGTGTGGCCGCTTGATATTATATTTGATTACACAAACGAATACCATTCAATTACTGCCAGTGGTTTTAAACTTGATGACATTTAAATATCACGGCCGCTGATTCAAAAGCACAACATGCCTGAGAAGATGTGTTGACAAGGTTGTGCAATTCAGCCACGTTTTGTGCAGGAACAGTGGACTATTGTGAAGATGATGACGATGATGATGAAGAATATGCAATTCAGATATGACAAAGAGCACTGCGTTGAGCACTTGCAGTGATTGCACAGGAAATGCAAACCGTGCTTTGAGCGACTCATTGCGCAGGTACAATGTGATACCAGAATTCTTTCTGTGCCGTCATCATCAGCCTCGTCAACATTCATTGTCAGCGCTGCCATCGCTACGTGGTAAAATGCCTCTCTGCGGCCAGCACGAAGTTCGTAGCGAGGCCTGTGACTCGACTCGCGTAAACGGGACGTGGTTGATACACCGATGATTGCTGGGTTAGGCCAGGCAGTGATCTGACCGAATCTGCGTGATAGACCCTCCACCGCCCGATTTTGATTGTGTCAGCTGTTGCTCGACAACCAAGCGTATTCATTAGATGCGCAGCGTTTTGCTTGAGCAAGCGGAAAAGCATCTTTAGGAGGAGATCCGGGAAGTCAGAGTCGCCGTGTCAACTGACTCGGCTTCCCGAATAGGTTCCATGACCCCCACAGGATTAACCGATCACAATTAAACCCGATATTAAGCATTACAGATCAATGTATTCTAATTTAATCAGAATTTATCGGGGCCAATGATGGACATTGTATGCATCACATAATTGTCGATAAAACAAAACTAGACCAAAAACTATTTTTATTCTACCAGGCAAGGCCCATCGAGCTATGTAGCTCTTTTTCATAAGCGACCTGGCGGCAAATGATAGGTCAGCGAAGTGGCTTATCACGTGGAAATTCATAACAGGCAAATACTCTAAACGCACGTTGCTTCTAAATGTGGAGGGAAAACACTGGAGGACCAGAAGAAAAATCCACGCGACCAAGGAGAAAACACGCAAACTCCAAATATACAGCAGGCATCGTCGGGGTCGGGATCGAACCCACGAACCTCCTGCGTACCTGGCGAGGGAGTTAACATCTCCTAGGCACCGTGGTGGCCCCTAAACAAACTGGTTGAGGTTGCGAAAGGTGCGGAGGGCGACGGTGTGGGAAGTTCTCACCAGGCCATGGATCATCTCGTAGAGTACCGAGCCCAGGCACCACCAGTCCACCGTGCGGTCGTACGGCAGCTTCTGTAGAACCTCCGGGGCGAGGTACTGCAACCATCACCAGGCCCAGAAATAAGTCACACGCTGCGCCGGCAAATGCCACTGCCGACGTGCGGTGTTCCGAGGGATGCGTTCGGATTTAAACATTTCGGATTTTAGGGAACAATTTCCGATGTTTTTGGATAATTTATTTTGTATACTTGCGTAACATGTCTGCGTGCTAACAGCGAGGACCTCACCCGATGCCAGGCGACGGAAAAATCGTCTTCGGGTCAAACCGACGCGATATTTATTTTGTGGATCGTCCAAAACTTGATATCTAGGCCAGACTTTTCCAACTTTTCATATCCATCTGAAAATCAGGAGCACGTCCCTCACGGCGTCGTGTATGGTGTGTGGCGTATGGTTTTATCTGGCATTCTAGATTTGAAGTTTCCGTGACTGCAGGGATCCATACTCTTTGGTTCTTTCGGTAAAGTCACGTAGGTAGAAAAATAAAATTAATTAAACTCAATCACGACGTTTCGGGCGCAACGCAAGTGCCCGTCATCAGGTGGGACATCCACAGCAATAAACAATTGCTGAAGTGGGCAAGAGGAGGCTGCTGTAACAAGAGGCTATAATATAAGTAAGAGAGGGGGGGGAGCCAGGGAGGAGAGCTAGAGAGGGTGGGGGTGTGGGGTAGGGGGAGTGTTTGAGTGGGGGAGTGCCTGAACAGCTACTCCCCCACTCCACCTCTTGCTCACTTCAGCAATTGTTTATTTTTTTATTTAAAGCTTTCGTGACTGCAGTAATTCATATTCTTGGTTCTTTCGGTAAAGTGACGTAGAAGGGAAACAATAAAATTGTTGTGGTTTTTCACACCTGATGATGATTGCTTGTGTTGCAGTCGAAACGTCGTGAGAATTTTATTGTTTTATATTTTATTATTTTATTGTTTCCCTTCTACGTGACTTTACCGAAAGAACCAAGAATATCAATTGTTTATTGCTGTGGTTGTTCCACCTGATGACGGGCGCTTGTGTTGCGCCCGAAAGGTCGAGATTTAATTTATTTTATTTTTATACCCACGTGACTTTACCGAAAGAACCAAAGAGTATTTATCTGGCATGTAGGGAAAGCTAAGACATCCATAAAATTGCCTTTTAACTATACAAAGAAGCAGAAGATTGGTGCTGGATACAGCCACAGTTATAAAAATGGGATTTGTGACTCTGATTCTTACCCGTGTAGTATCGATAGGTCAATGTCAAGGTGCCGTTTTATTGAGAGACCACAACTGCCGTGGTGTGTTGTTATCTTGTGGTCTGGGACTGTTGTTATTCTTTTGCTGCCTTGCCCAAGCTTGCATTTATTGTTGAGAAATCGGCAGGAATTGATCAACTTTTGCGATGTGTACTGATAGGCTTTCTTGATTTTTATTTGTTTACTTTTAATGACTTTCTTACATTTCTTACACTTTGCGCTACTATTGGTTTTTGTATCATTGTAACGATCTGACCCGCCCCTGCTGGACATCTGTGAAAAAAAGAGCTTTGTAGCTCATCCGATTCCTCCTGCAGTATAAATGAAAGATTCTGATTCTGGTACGGCACAGCGTGTGATGCTCAGTGTGTTGTGTGTGCGTGGGGAGCGGTGGTGCAGTGGTTAACGAACTGCGCTACGAATCCGGCGACCCAAGTGCGATTCCCGCTCACGGCCAACAACACAAGTGACGATAACACTGTGTAACAATTTTAGTATTTTTTTCTATTTACTAATTGCTTATGCCTCAAAAGTACAGAACATGGATATTATTCCCCACAAACTTTGCTTTTGTGACCAGGACAGTGATATTTAGAATTTTACCTGTTTTCAATGAGAAAACGGGCGAGTTTGTGTCTTTTCGTTCACATGAAGTCAGAAAAAAAGTAAAAATGAATCAAAATTAACATGTATTTATATTAAAGTAATACAAAAATTACTACAAAAGATTTAGACACCAAGGCGCACTACCACAGGCGGGACTGGCCACAGCGGACCGAGTTCTCTGTGAGGAGGAACAACGTCAAGTGGGAGCCACTGGTGGACCCCCGGCAGGTGCTGATGCCACCACTGCACATCAAACTGGGCTTTATGAAACAATTTGTCAGAGCTGTAGATAAGGAGTCGGCAGCCTTCAAGTACCTTCAAGACTTCTTCCCTAAGCTGTCTGAGGCAGGTGTCTTCGTCGGACCACAGATAAATAAGATCCTGGAGTGCAATGAATTCCCCAAGAAGCTCACTAGTAAGGAGAAAGCGGCTTGGAACAGCTTTGTCGCAGTGGTTCGTGGCTTCCAGGGCAATCACAAGGTCGAAAACTATGTGGAGCTGGTTAAGACGTTGGTGAAGAACTATGGCACAATGGGCTGCAGGATGTCCCTCAAAGTCCATATCCTTGATGCTCATCTTGATAAATTGAAGGAGAACATGGGAGCGTACTCGGAGGAGCAAGGCGAGCGCTTCCACCAGGATATACTGGACTTTGAACGACGCTACCAAAGACAGTATAACGGGAACATGATGGGAGACTACATTTGGGGGCTGATTCGTGAAAGTGATTTACAGTATAATCGTAAATCTCGAAAAACTACTCACTTCTAATTTTTTTGTCGTCATTTTTGTATTGCTTTCGTATAAATATACGTAAATTCTGATTAATATGTTGTTTTTTCTGACTTTATGTGAACGAAAAGACACAGATTTGCCTGTTTTCTCATTGAAAATAGGTAAATTTCTAAATATCACTGTCCTGGTCACAAAAGCAAAGTTTGTGGGGAATAATAGCCATTTTCTATACTTTTTAGGCATAAGCAATTAAGAAATAACACTTACTACCACTGACTAGGGCCCGCTGACTAGTGCAAGCTGACTAGCACGCGCTGACTAGGGCCCACTGACTAGAGCCCACTGACTAGGGCCCACTGACTAGGGCCCACTGACTAGGGCCCACTGACTAGGGCCCACTGACTAGGGCTCACTGACTAGGGCCCACTGACTAGGGCCCACTGACTAGGGTGCACTGACTAGCGTAAGCTGACTAGCGCGCATCAGAGTTTTAAACACGCAGCTGTGTTGTGTCCAGTGCGGTAGACGATGCGGTGCACGATGTGGTACATTGGGTGCTCGGTACGTGTTTGCCATGTGCTTGCGATGGCTGGTATATACGGCAGTCTCTTCTGGTGTAAAGCCCCGTGTTGTTTTCATGATAGAACGTGAGGTTGAATGTATTAGGGAACACATTTTTTTCATAACGCGGACGCGAATTGGATATAATGTGATTGAGTGAATGGATCTACGTCGCGCGAGTAGGGATAAGCGGTTGTAACGGCTGCCTCGGCGTAGCATCGCACTAGCCATTGGGATGCTGCTGGATGCTTCGAGATGCTGCCCACGTGCCTCGGTCTTTGTTCAGCCTGCGTACGCACCTCACGCATTATCGCGGGCTGTGCTTTACCCTCAGTTTGACAACTAGGCTTTCGCGGCCAATATTATTTATAATATAGTTTTTTTTGGGTTAGATTTCTGGCAAAATCGCCCAATGATGCTGGATGTAATTACCAGCAAAATATCACAGCACTGAAATTGTAAATATTGCGGATTTACTCTCCAATACACCGGTGGTCTCAAGTCGTAACTGATTGGCACGTTTTGTTTGTGTGACAAACCTAACTAATTGGCTGTGTCGGGTGGTGGCGGGTTTAACTACACATTTATATTTGTGCTTTACCCTACGTTATTTATTAAAACGCGATTTCTGTTTTTTTTATATATAACGCGGTGTTCTTCAGGAAGGCAACTACAACTACCGCCGCGTTGTAGGAGAACAACGGAGACTGTACAAAGTTGGGGCGACGAGGCGCTGACACAAACCTCTGGAGTGCCACAGAAGGTGGAGGTGGTGTCCTTGGGCTCGATGCCTTCTTTGCACAGCCCAAAGTCCGTGAGCACGATGTGGCCCTGAGCAGGACAGGGAGAAAACACGGAGCCACGAGCCTCCACCTCAACCGTAGGCACACATCCCGGCCAGCAGACACGCAACGCTGTGGTACCAATCATCAATAATCCGACGGCTTTGGGGGGGTAAAGGGAGCGGCAGATTTTCAAAAATGCTACTTATTATTTAAAATAGCTTATCTTTGCAAATTCTTGGATGACATTATGTCTTTAGGTGTTGTGTATACGTTATTTTAGTGAAATAAATAAACGTAACAAAAATTGACGAGAACAAATATCCTCCTGTAAAAAGTGACTGTAATCACTGTACTGTACTTGCCACTCCAATCTTGAAGACTATGCATGGAGTGATGATAGGGTGCGTATAACTGGACCCTGAAATCAAGCATAACTACTTTTTTGACATGCACGTGGTGCCGATCACAGGATTGGTATAGCCTTTGGAGCGGTTTTTGGCAGTTTCGCCTGATTGGCCCGGGAACCGCCGGATAATGTTGTAAGCCGGATAATCGTGCGCCGGATAATAATAATCGATGGTCGACTGTATGTAGAACTTCTTTCACACGACCTGCACGTAGTCAACCAGCCGCTGCTAATTGGAGGTAAGGGGGAAGGACGTAAAGCTAGACACCAAAAAGCCGTTGATAAAGAAATGCATTTTCAATTTAGATACAACGGCCCAGCCCCGGCAAAGTCTCGGCGAATGGTGGCGCCCTCACCGTGCAATGGAAACATTCAATGAGGAAACTGGGTGTGTTTGCAAAATAGAAATTGCCCCTGGTTCAGCTTCCACCGCACGTCACTATTACGTCGTATTCTAGGTTATGTTTTTGGGTTTTTCAGGTAATTTGTTAGCCGTGCTTACGAGTCACTCTTAAGGGCATCTGCTCTGACATTTGTTGTAAAGCAGCTGTCATCCCTCCATCGCCACGCAGTCGCCATTAAAAGCGAGACTCTTAAGTCTCAATTAGTTATCAGGCTGGTTGAGCGGAGGATATGTCTGTAACGTGTTTGCTGTCCTGCCCTCGCACCACTGTGAGACACTGGGTAGTGCTTATCCACGTATACGAACTATTTTGACGATTTTTTATTTTTACAGGTAAGGCCCACCAACTGGGCTGTATAGCTCTTTTTCAGAAGCGTCTGGCCAAAAATGTTAGCCCAATGAAGTGGCTTTTCATGTGGATATTTATAGCAGCCAAATACTCTAAACGCATTATGTTGTTTCTAAATGTGTAGGGGAAAAACCGGAGGACCTGGAGAAAAATCTATGCGCCCACGGGGAGAATATGTGCAAACATCAAATATACATGCAAAAGGGTCAGGATCGAACCAACAACCTCCTGTGTACCAGGTGAGGTAGTTAACATCTCACCATCATGGCGCTCCACAGCTCAAAGTGGAAATTGCACATTCCTTTGGCGGGTTCTGTCCCATCCTTAACAAATCCTGGGAGGGATGGGATAGCAATGATGATGATTCAATGTGTCGTAGTGAAGTTTTTATTGGTCTGAGGGGATTTGTCCATTTAATAGATCAAACTGAAAACATACCTTTGAGTCAAGAAGGATGTTCTCTGGCTTCAGATCTCTGTGGAAGTCAAGGGTGTCAGATGCGATTTATTTAATATAAGAAATGAAACAATACAAAGGTGCACATTCATCAAGGCTACAAAATGTATTTAGTCAATTCGCGAGCACAAATCAGATTTGAAACGCGGCAGAACGAATTATTCTGCCGTAGCTGATCACTGTTACAACGCTGTGGGTGATCACGATATAATTTTCTCCGATACCAAAGTTATTTGCAAACCCACGGGTTTTTATCAGAGATTTGTTCACGAGGCAATTCAGATCTACAAACACAGACACAATTTCAACCGAGAAGATGGTTTCAAATTAAGCAACCATTGAAAAGATGTTCTAAATCGAACCAAACATTAAACTAATTTTCAATGGTACAGTATATTTTTTAAGTAGTGGTTACCCCAAACTTTCGCAGCTCTTAAAAATTCCCTTTTCACACCATCAATAGGTAAACTCCCCCTCCCCCCCTCGCCAACCGGCATGTTCACCCGCATGTACACCACCTCTACACCGTTCACCATGCTAAGTCGGCCAATCAAATGCTAATTTTTATGCTAATTCCTTTGTCAAGGCACCTTGTTTGCTCGCACACAGCTTAAAGGTCCGCGGTCTGAGCGTGGCTGTGTTTCACTCCAGCGCTGTCCTCAAGACAGCCTGGTCCCTTCACCCGATGAAGGCCGCTTGTGTTGTGGCCGAAACGTCGTGATTTTTGTTGTTTTATTTTTTACCTACGTGACTTTACCGAATAGAACCAAAGAGTATGTATTTAGTCACTTGCTAGAAAGCGTTTTTGTCATTCTACGTTTGGGTTCGCCATGTGTGCGGTTCATCTGAGAGTAGTTGAGCGCTGTGCAAGTCAATGTTGCCAGGAGTTGTGTCATCAGCTTTGCGTGGTGTTACTGTGATCTCTGTGCCTACGTGCAGTTCGTTTACGCGTCTCCATCACCCCCATGCCAGCGGCGGGCCTCCGAACAGCACACAATTCACGTTGCAGCAGTCTGCGTGTAGGCCATTCGTGCGTAAATCACAGTGGAACAATCAACAGCCCTTTGTCAGTCCACTGCTGTGCGGGTCACGGGCTGGTGCGGATCAGGGAGGGACTACTGTGTGTTGTTGTCTTGGTGTGTTCCGAGACTGTTGTTGGTGTTGTTGTTTTGCTCCCTTGCACGAGATTCCATTTAGTGTTGAAAAATTGCAGGGAATGTATGTACTTGTTCAATGCGTACTTATATCCGCTGTAAATATGACTTAAATTACGTATTTATGTTTAGTGACTTGCTTTCCTTAACGCTGCTTTGCACCCTTGCTGTGCTTTGGTATTGTTTGTTGTAATTCTCGAACCCTGCTCCCCTACTGGACGTCTGTGAAAAAAAGAGCTTCACAGTTCATCGGATTTCCCCAGGATAAATCAAGATGACGATTCTGAGGTTGCGTTCCAGCCTCTTTGCTCGGGGACCGGATTCCTCTGCGCCTCAGCCGGCACCGTGGAATGGGCGTAAGTAGGCGAGGTTGGACCGCTGACGGCGTTTTCCTGCATCCTGGAGGCATGGCCACAGCCAGGCCTCCTGTAAACGGTGGCCTGGGCGAATACTTCACTTGGCGAGTAATCCTCTGCTATAACCACGTCATTAATATTCTTAGCTCTTTCGGTAAAGTCACGTTGAAGGGGAACAATAAAATAATGAAATATATATAAAACAATAAAAAAAAATTGGATATATTTTATTATTTTATTCAATAAAGTCACGTTGAAGGGAAACAATAAAATAATAAAATATATATATAAAACAATAAAAATTTGTTTTGTATATATTTTATTATTTTATTGTTCCCCTTCAACGTGACTTTACCGAAAGAGCTAAGAATATGAATTGCTGCAGTCACGAAAGCTTTAAATCAAAACCTCCGTCATTTGTCAACTTTGCTTGATTTGCTCGTCTAACTTTTGCCCATTATTGGCACAAATACTAATTTAGGCTGTTTCTAGTGAAATGCTAAGAGGGGGGAGGCGGGGGGGGGGGGGGGTGGGGGGAGTTTGTCAGCATCGGTTCAGAAATCACTCGCCACCGATGTTAAATGCGGCCCGGAATCAAACTCAGAGGGTTGCCCGCGTAGTGGCGTGGTGTGTCAACCACCGTGATGCCGCTCCCCCCACCCCGCATCATTAGCAACTGCCCCTCGTAGAAGGTGTCGCACTCGTCAGCTGCGACGTGACCACCCTGCAAGTCACGCTGAACGTCCATCGCGCAGCACGCTGCAAGCACCTGTAGACGATGTTGAGCGAGTGCAAGTGGCCGATGGCGCTGGCGATCTCCGCTGCGTAGAAGCGAGCCCGCTGCTCCGAGAAGCATCGCTCCCTTTGTAGGTGCAGGAACAGCTGGTTGCCGCAGACACGCGCAGGTTCACACACACACACACACAGTTATACAGTCATTCAGGTGCACAAAAACGGAGGTCCCCCATATTGCCTATAACAGACTGTTGTTGGGGAAAGTGCTGTATGAAGGCCGGGATGGCACACGAGGGGGTATGGGGCAGGCACGACGCCTTGCCGCCTTTGTCTCCCCAGTGCTGATGCTTACACACTGCACCAGGTACCCATTCGAGGCTGAGCCGACCTAGGAGATGCCCAGGACCGGTTCAGATAATCGTCACTAATGTTGGCCGTGAGCGGAAATCAAACTCCGGCCGCCGGGTTCGTAGCGCAGTGCGCTAACCGCTACACTACTGCTCACCCACGCCCACACAAGCAGATATGTGGACGCACGCACATTCCTATAGACATTCAGGAACACGCAGGCATGCAGGCACACACAGGCCAAAGACAAACATCCCCCGTATAGCCTTAACAGACTGGTTGGGCAAGTGCTGTTAGTGAGCACCTATGAAAGCTGAAATGGCACATGAGGGGGCTTGCATGGCCTGCACCATGCCTGGCTGCTTTTATTTCCCCAGTGTTCCTTTTTTTCCCCACCACGCTAGCTCCTGATATCAAGCTAAGTGGGGGAGGACGAGATATCATTCGGCAATGATGTCAGCCTTGGCCGGGAATCGAACTCAGGACACCGGGATCGTAACCGCAGTGCGCTAACCAGTGTGCCACCGTTCCCACTGGGGCACAGGCACGCACGTGCAGATGTCCACGCACAAACGGGCCCGTGCTGTTTGTTTCTTGCAGTGAGTCTGTTTTGCTTTTGTTACCATTCGTGTTCCGACTGTGCCACGTAAAATGAGTTTCCCGAGGCGGAGGAACGTTGCAGAACTCGCAACGACTCCGACGATGGCATCACTGCGAATCTATTTCTAGAGCCACTTCCAATGGCATCTCTTTCTGCAAAAGAATGTTGGCCTTACAAGAATGTGTGCCACATCACTTCAAAAGGTATGTCAACTTTACCCAGCGGAGGTGAACAAGATTAATTAATAAGTCACCTTTCTTTCCATATGGCTCCGTAAAAATGACCATGCCTGTTGCTCTTAGCCTGGCCAATGTTAATCGGAAGCATTTGTGTTGGCGGGCAAAATTCCTGGAGCCGTTTCACCCTTCTTGGGCTCAAATGTTGCCGGAGTTTGCATTGTTATTGGCATATGTACTACCAACGGATGCTCCACTGCAGTGCATGGTAAACTAGTTTGGGAAAAGTGAAAAAGTTAATTTAGCCGATTGGATGTTTTGCAGTCTGATAAGAAGGTTTAAACCATCCAACTCCTCCCTGCAACGTGAAAACTGATTCTGTCAAGGTGGCTGGAATCGAGCCCAGAGCCCAGGATCTTGAGCTGTGCCCCCACCCTCCTCCACCACTGTTGTAATCTTTTTTTAAGTATTTTTTGTTTTAACAAGACATTCCACATACCTGTCAACCCATATGGTTTACCCCGTATTCTTGTACAGGGAAATTGAGTTTTCAGGTCCACACGGCGTACAGACGTTTCAATACGAGCAAAACAGAATGTCTATTTGTGTTTCTCCCTTGTGATGAGACTTTGTAGGGTGAACGTTGGGATTTATAAGGGGCACGGGGTGACCAATAGGGTCTGAATTGGTCTGTAATAAGGTAGGGCACTGGCAAGAGATTGACAGGTATGGATTCAGGTACATAACAGAGGATATGAAAGGAGGTTGACACCAGCACAATCACGGATTACAGTGCAATGGAAACCTGTCCAAACCGCATGTTTCAATAACCTCTTCAACCCTGGTGTCTTCCTAAGCCCTAGTACCCCTGTTGTGACCTTAACGAGTCGCGCGGCTGCCTTCACGCGCGTGCACACAGCTCCGCTGACGCACTGCCCCCAATTCCTGTGGGACAGTGATGCCTCCACCCGCCTGGGTGAGCAGCGTGCGCTGGGCAGCCATCTCGTCACAGCACGGGCGCACGCTTCGTTCGGTTACCAAATTATCCAGCTCTCGGGATTAAATGTGACCACAGTCTGACCGATACGTGCGACGAACCTCGCTCTCATGCACAATGCGAGTGAGCAGTGCCACCCCCCTCTGCTCTGCGTTTTGACTGGAAGTCACTTGAAGAGGGGATGTCAAGGGCAGCTCTGTGATATCCACTTCAGTGGGCAGCTCTCTCACACGGAGGGGCCGCACTGCTGTGCAAATGTTCCGAATTGGGGCTGCCTCTGTCGTGGCGCATCGCCGATTGCGCTTGCTGGGACACAACTGGGGATAGAGACAAACCGATTGTTTGGTAACAAAGGGCACGAACGCAGTGGCGAGCGCGTGCCTTGCAGCTGTGCGAGTCAGGGTTCCAGGTGGGCACAGGTGTGGGGGCGAGCTTGTGCTTCGCGTGCGCAATTGACGGCACTCAACTGCGCGCCCGCGTGTGTAATGCGACACTGCTGCAAAAGTTGTGCCTTCCCGTGGGTGGGCGCCGGCGTTGCGTGTTCACGCGAGCGTCTGAGCGGCAGCGTCTGTGGGCGTGACGTGTGGGCGAGCCAACGGGCGGACGCGCGAGCACGTGCGAGCGTGACGTACCGCGCCGGCGAGCGAGCGAGCGAGCGAGCGCATACCTCTCCGCCGTTGACGTAGTCCAGGATGAAGTAGAGCTTGTCGGCCGTCTGAAAGGAGAAATGGAGCCCCACCAGGAAGGGATGCTTCACGTTCTTCAGCAGGACGTTGCGCTCCGCCATGATGTGCTTTTGCTGCGAAGGCACAAGGCGTCGAGGGAGATGGTCAATGGCGACCTCACGGTGGTTGGGCACGGGCGCCCCGTGCCCACGCGCCTGCGCAGCGAGGCCCAGGCGGGACGAGGTCGGGGGTTGTAAACGACACCGACTGTCCGTGCATGGGTGCGTGCGCGAGCTCTCACCTCTCTGCGCTTGAGGATGGCCGACTTCTGCAGGACTTTGACCGCGTAAAATTTCCCATCGGTTTTGTGCTTTGCGAGCAGCACCTGAGTGACAATGCAACCGCGTGGGGCAAAAGTGAAACAATCTCGATTTGAAGCTTTCGTTACTGCAGGAATCCACGCTCTTTGGTTCCTTCGGTAAAGTCACCACGTGGGTGGAAAATAAAATAGATCACGGCGTTTCGGTCGCAACACAAGCGTCCGTCGTCAGGTGGGACATCGTGATCTGTTAATTTTCTATCTACGTGACTTCACCGAAAGAACCAAAGCGTAAGAAGTGAAATGCACGGCGCACGGGGTGGCGGCAACGAGAGCTCAACAGGAGAGAAACGACGGGCCGGACGCGACCACGGGACACGCGGATACGGCGGCGAATAACCCCAAGTCACAGAAAGCCTCTTCCCTAGATGAGACGATAATTCTCTGCTGGATGGACACTGATTAGCGGCTCTTTTAACTTCACTCTTGACTCCATACATCTGGGACAAGCTCGCGTCGGAGTTGAATGCATCCCCTACACTTGTTGAGCTCCTGTTGCGGTGCTGGACAGCGGTGACGCGCAAAAACTTTCGGCACTCACCTTTCCAAAGCTGCCTTTCCCAATCACTTTCAAGAAATCAAAGTCCGTGGTTTTGGCTCTGCAAGGTGAAAAATCAAGGAACATTACCGTCTTTGTCAGAAGGCACGCCAATAAAAATGGCTGCTGCGTTCAACAAAGCTATTGCCTCCTTGTTGTCTCGTCGCATGTACGTGTGTAGAACGTCTTTCGCACCATACAAAGCCAACTGTGCTAGTCGCAGGAGCGGGGGAAGGACAACAAACTGAACGCAAAAAGTAGTTCGAAATTTACTGTATGGGTGTCTGTGTCAGTCTTTGGGCATTTATGCGAGTCTATGGATCTCTGTGGGAGTCTATGTATGTATGTATGTTAAACTTCTTTTGCACCGTACGTAGCCAACCGTGCTAATCGGAGGTGTCGGGGTAAGGACAACAAATTAAAAACAAAATCAGTTTTTTCAAAATGAGTATTCAATCTAAATGTAAACGTGCATAGCTCTGTGTCAGTGGGATGGGTACTTGGCTGTCCGGGTGAGTGTCTGTGTCAGTCGGATGAGTGTCTGTGTCAGTGGGGTGAGTGTCTGTGTCAGCGGGATGAGTGTCTGTGTCACTGGGGTGAGTGTCTGTGTCAGTGGGGTGAGTGTCTGTGTCAGTGGGGTGAGTGCTCTGTGTCAGTGGGGTGAGTGTCTGTGTCAGTGGGGTGAGTGTCTGTGTCACTGGGGTGAGTGTCTGTGTCACTGGGGTGAGTGTCTGTGTCAGTGGGGTGAGTGTGTGTGTCAGTGGGGTGAGTGTCAGTGGGGTGAGTGTCTGTGTCAGTGGGGTGAGTGTCTGTGTCAGTGGGGTGAGTGTCTGTGTCAGTGGGGTGAGTGTCTGTGTCACTGGGGTGAGTGTCTGTGTGAGTGGGGTGAGTGTCTGTGTGAGTGGGGTGAGTGTCTGTGTCAGTGGGGTGAGTGTCTGTGTCACTGGGGTGAGTGTCTGTGTGAGTGGGGTGAGTGTCTGTGTGAGTGGGGTGAGTGTCTGTGTCAGTGGGATGGGTGCTCGACTGTCTGGGTGAGTGTCTGTGTCAGTGGGGTGAGTGTTTGTGTCAGTGGGTGAGTGTCTGTGTCAGTAGAATGGGTACTTGACCGTCCGGGTGAGTGTCTGTGTCAGTGGGATGGGTACTTAACTCTCCACGTGAGTGTCTGTGTCAGTGGGTGAGTGTCTGTGTCAGTGGGATGGGTACTTGACTCTCCACGTGAGTGTCTGTGTCAGTGGGTGAGTGTCTGTGTCAGTGGGATGGGTACTTGACTGTCCGGGTGAGTGTCTGTGTCAGTGGGGTGAGTGTCTGTGTCAGTAGAATGGGTACTTGACTGTCCGGGTGAGTCTGTGTCAGTGGGGTGAGTGTCTGTGTCAGTGGGGTGAGTGTCTGTGTCAGTAGAATGGGTACTTGACTGTCCGTGTGAGTGTCTTTGTCAGTGAGGTGAGTGTCTGTGTCAGTGGGGTGAGTGTCTGTGTCAGTGGGGTGAGTGTCTGTGTCAGTGGGGTGAGTGTCTGTGTCAGTGGGGTGAGTGTCTGTGTCAGTGGGGTGAGTGTCTGTGTCAGTGGGGTGAGTGTCTGTGTCAGTAGAATGGGTACTTGACTGTCCACGTGAGTCTGTGTCAGTGGGGTGTGTGTCTGTGTCAGTGGGATGGGTGCTCGACTGTCCGGGTGAGTGTCTGTGTCAGTGGGGTGAGTGTTTGTGTCAGAGGGGTGAATGCTCCACTGGATTGAGTGTTTTCACGTGGGCCAGTTGGTGTCCATGTTTATTGGGTTCGTGTTGAGTTCACATTGTATTTTTGTTTAACTGGTAAACACTCACTGTGGGTTTGCAGACGGACCGAGGTTTATCGTGTCAGAGTCATTATTCTGCAAAAAAAGAAAAAAAAGTAATTCAGGTTTTTTCACCACGCACCCCGTCACACTTGGTGGGAGGGAAATTTCCAGACGTACCGGCAGTGCTGAGTTGTGCATGTTTACAAGTTTAGAGGTCATCTAAATGGGCTGTCACTGAAGCCTGTTCACTGTGACCCTGGCTCCTAATACTCTGTAGAGAGGCAGAGTTCGTTTTCCCGAGTTTAGATTTCAGTTCTTGAGTGAGAGGATACTGTTATCCCATCTGTTGTGTTTATATGCCACGTATGAACATCTGTATCTCGAGAGGCTACTTAACAACAAATGATAGCGATGAATGGAAACCCCCCGATTTAAAATGCTCCATATGAAGCTCTTCTCACAAAGATGGGGAAATGGAGTGGAATGTTAAGAACACATGGGGCCCGATTCGCGTACGCTTGTTGTTCTGACTCCCAGAAATATTGTACAATTTCTACAGCAGCCGTTCCTGCAAATTCTTATACAACATTTTGGTGTCATACCTCTGTGTGCACTCTAATGTCACCGTGAAGTATCAAAGGCTCACTTGAAAGGGAAATAAGGGACAGGTGTTCTGGGTTGACTAACTGTGATGACTGGCAGACGCACCCCACTTGTGCCAACCTTCTGCGTTTTAGCTGCCTGGTGCGCCTTTCATTGTGAGGGTCGCTCCTCCACCTCCCTTTGTTGCTGGAGGGCGACTGCCTCCAACTGCCCAGTAGCATCCTTCACGAGCCTCCTCCACAGAGGCCGATCCTGACACGACTGGTACCAGTCATCGGCAAGTCCACTTAGTTCCACATCCTCCTGCACTACACCAGCCCACCTCTTCCCTAGCCCGTGTCTAACCGCCTCTTATCCAGAAAAACAGAAACTGCTTGGGCATCCGGTGGCTGGGCATGTGGGCTACGTGACCCAGCCAATGCAGCCTCATGCCAGAATTCCACAAAAGTGTGATCTACGTATGGCACCACGTCTCAGAAGTATGGGACTCAAAACAAAAACATTAGGTTGACCACCTCTTTAAATCATCCCATTGGCCCAACCGTCCAGCCTAGCCTGCAGTGACAAGTGTAGCGAAGTGGCATCCAGCAGGGCTTACGCTGAGGGTGGAATATCGACGAGGAATTCATTTAACTTTATCATCATCATCACGAGAGTACAGTGCATACGCTGGGTGGAGGCGTTAGGGTTAGTTAAGCACGTGCTTTAAAGGCACTAAAATGTTGATAAAAGCTTTCTCTGAGAATCGACAATTTAATGTCCTTGTTATGAGTGGGAGGGAGGACGGAAACGAGGTTAAGCCGTACGCTCGTGCTGCGACTCTCAAAGTATCGAACGTGCCCTTGGCCAAACTACGCAAAGAAAACAACTCAGGACACCGGCCCCACCTGAGTCCTGTTCGATTGTCTATTATGCTCCAGTCACCGTGAATGAGAATGAAAACGTTCATGACTTACAGACACCACTAATCACCGTCCCAAATTTGAAACCTTCAGCACCAGAAGGTTCCTGAATGACCTCTGGTGTTTTTTTTTTCAAAAGGCTTCGTGTCAGGGATGTTTGTTTTTAAATCAATGCCAACAAAAAATAAAGCACCAAACTCCAGAGGTAGCTTATTAAATAAAAAAGTAAATCTTACTTGTACTATCTCCTAAAGACATCCGGTATGTGTCTCTAAACTACACTATTTTTATTTTAAACAAACTCTAAACTCTTTTTTTTTATTTTACAAGGCAAGGCCCACTGAGCTTTTTCAGAAGTGACCTGGCCACAAATGACATTTCAACGAAGTGGCATACGATGTGGAAATGTATAGCAGCCACATACTCTAAACGCATGTTCCTAAATGTAGAGGGAAAACCCAGAGGTCCTGAAAAAAAAATCCACGTGACCATAGGGAGAGAGACATGCAAACTCCAAATATAGCGGCATCGTCAGGATCGGGATCGAGTTAACATCTCGCCACCGTGGCGCATACATCACTATCATCGCCCTCGCTCCTGCGTGATCCACGAATATCCATCTTTCGCACCTGACGTCGCCTAGTAACCAACTACACACGAAGCAGCCAGCGCCGTCCCTTCCCAGGTGGGACGGCTGCGTGCAGTGGCTTGCAGCCTGCACGCAAGCGCACGTGAGCGCGATCGACACTCACCAGATTGTGGTTCGAGTTGGTCTGCGCAGCCGGCTGAGAGCGCTTCTTGCCGCGGTGGTCCATTTGTAAGAAGGCTTGCACGTCGGGGCTGTGCACCGCACACAAAGGCAAAGGTCCCACCCCCCCCCCGTGTAGCCTTAATAGACTGTTGGGGCAAGTGCTGTTAGCAAGTAGTAGTACCTATGAAGGCCGGCATGGCACACGAGGGGGTGGGTGGCCAACACCACGCCCGGCCGCCTTTGTCTCCCAAGTGGTGATGTTTACGCACTGCCACCAGCACCGATTCAAATAATTGTCACTGGTGTTGGCCGTGAGCGGGAATTGAACTCGGGTCGCCAGGTTCGCACCGCACACACGCTCACTTGCACACAGGCAAAGACAAAGACATTCCGCACAGCCATACAGACTGATGGACCGAATGCTGTTAGCGAGCACCATTGATATAAGCCGTGACCAGAAATCAAACTCAGGTGGCTGGGTTTGTCGCACAATACACTCACCACCACCACTACCACCACTACGCTACTACGCTACTACGTGCTCAGCAACAACAACCACCGCCAATTGCCATAATGTGGTGGTGACGTCACAACGGCTCTTGTGCCAGGCTAAAGCCACGTGAAGTGTTAACACCCGCTGGCACATATACACATGGGTACGCACGGACACACGTGCACACAAAGTATCGGCAAAAAATGTAGAAGAAACCATTGCTTATATACTTGGATCTCTAACAAAAGTTTATCTGTGTTCAAATGAACATAACTGGGAGACAAGTTAAGGGATGGAGACTATGGGAACAACCAACAGGTTCAAAGATACGCAACAAACTAAAATACGTCGTAAATATTCACCAGCGTCGCTGTGGAGAATAGGAGTAACAAAGTAACTACGCAGGCAACATCCTTCCCTCCGCACGAAGTCGAGGACACTCATCGCAAACCAGCGGCAGACATTCAGCGCGAGGCAAGTCAACGGGCGGCAGCGCCTCACTCGCTTGGCCACGGCTGGCCACAAATCTCCCCGTGGCTGCTGGGCCCTCTCCTCGTGGAGCAGTGAGGGAGAGGGCAGGGCGCGGGGCTGTGACCGGCGTTGGCCACCCACGGGTGGTGGAAGGGCAGCCGCCACCAAAACCGGGGTGGGTGGGCGGGCACGGGAGGTGCATGTGAGGGGGGGGGGGTTGGGGTTAATAGCGTGGGCTGACTTGGCGAGGGCAGAGGACCATGCCGGGCAGAGCGGGGGTGCCAGTAGCTACCGGGTCGGCGGGTTCATGGCGGTTCCCGTGAACTGCGCAGGCAATATGGCGACGCTGGTCTTGATGTGTGAGCATCTTTTGTTCATTTACAGTGCTCATCAGCCTGTGTTTGTGTGTTGCTGTTGTGTGGGGAGCGGTGGCTTAGCGGTTAGCGCACTGCACTATGAACCCGGCAGCCTGAGTTCCATTACCGCTCATGACCAACACCGGTGACGATGATCTGAGCCGGTCCTGGGCCTCCCCTAGGTCGACTCAGTCTCAAATGAGTACCTGGTGCGATGTGTAAACATCGCCACTTGGGAGACAAAGGCGTCCGGGAGTGGTGCTGGCCACCCACCCCTTCATGTGCCGTGTCGGCCTTCAGAGGTGATCGCAAACAGCACTTGCCCCAACAGTCTGTTTAGGCTATAGAGGGGATCTTTATCTCTGTGTGGGCATTACCTCGTTTGTGTTGTGTGGAAAGAGTTCGCACACTGTGCTTCCTTACCCGGCCTACTCGGTTCAAATCCCAACCAGGACAAACATTGTGGCTAATCCTATATGAACTGGTTTGTATCTACATAAAACCATTTGCGTCTGAAATTCTCAAACTAGTTTTGGCCTATCTAAGTCAACTGGGACCATAATGGGCAACACGTGGTGCATCGATTGTCGCGCTCATCACAATCATCAGCAGTCGGTTTGAAACAAAGGCCCCAGTACCAATCTTTTTACCACTCAGGTCTCAGCAGAATCTTTCACGCTCGATTTCACCCCAGCATTTAACCATGGGACGATGTCTGGGGAATTTTGATAGCTCAGTAACACCCCCGGTTTACGTCGCGGATGCGTTTCTGAAAGTTGCGACGACAGATATCGAAACAACGTCAGTCAATCAAAGCGATTGCCAGGGTAGTAGTCGTGGTTGGTTGGTGGAGGCGAAGGCTGAGAGGCGAAGGATTATGAGAGAGGAGCGATGATGCTGTCCTGTGAGTGACGTGGGCGTGGGGTCGAGGCGACGCAAACCGGCTAGCGGTGTTCATAACAAAGCGACGACGTACCTGCGAAACAGTGTAAAAAGGGGGGAGGCGTAAATCGGAATGCTGCTGTATTTGTATGAGTCAGTCAGTGAGTGAGCCGGTTCGTTTTCAGGGAAAGCCCATTGAGCCAAGGAGCTCTGTTTCAATGTCGACTCAGCCAAAGCAGTTGACACGGCAGCAAGTTTAAATGGGAAGGGATGGTTTACAGGAGCTACGTAGAACACAGTCATGGACACTTCATAAACATGATCATTATTAAATAACAAAATAATAAACAACAAGAACTATGTACAATGTGAATCTAGAAAGCCAATTCCGCAACAACCACATTGTGTATGACAGCAGTGAGAGGAACTCTCGCACAAGGCATCTTAAAATGGCATGCCGGCGAGGTTTTACAAAGTGGCGTTTCTTAACTTGAATTTAGAGTCTTTACAAAAATGACATTTTCAAGTTCCGGTGGCAATCGTATTGCCTGGCGGCATTCGCGAGTGCGCCGCCAGTAGAAATCATGGAGCAATGCCCACAATGCAGGTAAAGACGGTCGGGTTTGGAGATGAGTGACGAGATTCAATCCGTGCCAGGGCTCATGGCTAATGTTTAGCTCTATAAATTGCGTGGATGGGCGACAAAATGATCAGAGACCCAGTGTTGAACTTCTGGAGATTGCTAGAGGAGCCACCCAAGTTCGAGATGTGTACGCCTGTGCGTGCATGTGCGCGCGCGCGCGTGTGTGCGTACATGTGTGTATAATTACATACACAAGCATGAAAACAGGAGCAAAGCAAACCCCCCCCCACCCACCCCCCTCGGCCGTGTCTGGGGTGAGCGTGGAATGTTATTACAAACCGACGCTAATTAACGCCATGACCACGGCCAGTCCAAGCCCGTGCCGGTCTAGACTCATCTCGCCGGACAAAGGGACCCCATTGTGAGGAGCGCCCCGTGTTTGTGGTGCTCTCGGTGGGTGTCGCATGGCCTGAGCCTGGGTCCTTCCCTGCCCGAGATCGCCACCACTGCCTGCAGCGGCTCAACTGGGCAGCATCGTAGACCAGTGGCGAGCACTAGGGGCACACAAAGACAACGATCCCCCCCTCCCCCGTATAGCCTTAATAGACTGTTGGGGCAAGTGCTGTTAGCGAGTACCTACGAAGGCCGGCACGGCGCACGAGAGGGGGTGGGTGGCCAATACCACGCCCGGCCATCTTTGTCTCCCGAGTGGCGATGTTTTACACACCACGCCGGATACTCATTTGAGGCTGAGTCGACCTAGGAGAGGCCCAGGAACGGTTCAGATAATTGTCACTCGTGTCGGCCGTGAGCGGGGATTCGAACTCGGGCTGCCGGGTTTGTAGCGCAGCGTGCCAACCGCTACACTACTGGCTTGGACACGTGCTCACACGCTTTCCGTTCCAGAAAGATTGACGGGAGATTGACGATTTTTCTTTTTTAACCTTTTTGGATCTTTTGTTCACCGATTCCATCCGAATTCCGCAATTGTTCGTCACGACGTTGGGGTAACTCAATGGGTTCCGGATCTCACTTCATTTGGCCTCTTTTACCCATCACCAAGTCGGGGCTTTGTTACGGCCGCATCCATATCTCCTGAAACATAAAAACGAACTACATTTCCTCTCGTGCGTTTTTATTTAGGTAGGGCATCATCGGCCTCGTGTGGAACGTACCGAATGGAGGCGTTCGCCTCAATTAGTAGTTGCGGCCAATAATGGGAAAGCGTTAGACGAGCGAATGAAGCTGTAATAAATGACAGGGTTATTACCGGAGGATTACTCACCAAGTTCAGTACTTGCCCAGGCCACCGTTTACATGAAGAAAACGCCGTCGTGTTTTGGGGCTGCTCTATCTGAGGTCCAAGCCGGCTGGACCTCAGATAGATTTATTGAGGGGCGATTCCACGGTGCCAGCTGAGGCACGGAGGAATCCGGTCACCAACAAAGAGGCTGAACCGCAACCTCAGCATTGGAATCATAATCTTGATTTATCATGGATAAATCTGATGAGCTATGAAGCTCTTTTATTTCCACAGATGTCCAGTAGGGGTTGGGTCAGAAAGTTACAACAACAACAACAAACAATACAAAGACACGATAGGAGTGCAAAGTATAGGAAAGGAAATAAAATCACTAAAAATAAATACGTAAATTAGATCAAGTATGTAAGTAAACATTTCATAAGTTCACCCAAGCTTGGGCAAGGCAACAAAACAACAGGCCACGCCAAGACAACACACAGTCAGTCCCTCAATATAATTGCACATTAACACTGAACTATCGTTGCAAGGGTGTATGTAACCTGTCAGATACGCCACCAGACTTTTCACAAAAGCGGTGATTATTCTGCCAAAACGGCGTGGATCGTCAGCGTAAACGGGCCGCACAAACGGGTCCCGAGGGGGTGTCGGTGTGACGGGAGCAGGTGTGGCGCCGCGTACTCACTGTTGACAGACGTGCGGGTCCGAGACTACCCTCTGGATGAAGCTGTTGAGTCCGTTCCTCCTCTGCTTAATGAAAACTGGAACGAGACAAACGCGCCCAATGTCACGCAGCACCACCGCCGCCGTCGCCCTCAATGGCGGTCATAAACTCGTGTCACAATAGCTGCGTGCGAGTGAGGCTGTGACTTTACAGGTAACGTTACTGCTGCGTCGGGGCAGAAGCCTTAACTAACCGAAGAGAGCCCCAAACACACCCGGCGATTCAGAGCGAGCTTCATCACAATCCGCGTCCCCTCCCACTGTCACCATGACCAGCCCCCCCCCACCCGCCCCCCACCCCGCTCTCCAGACCAGCTCCCCTCCCTCGAACTTATCGGGAGTCCACCAAACAATGTTTCGCAAAGTCAAGTCCACGAAGACAAAAAAAATCTTGTTGACAGAAACACACAGATGAACCTCAATATTTGCTGCTGCTGCTGCTGCTGCCTGTGAAGCGCGACACTCGCTACACCTGTTACCCATCCCCTGGCCGCCCACCCACCCCCCACGTGTCGCCCAGGTGTGCGTGCGTGACGGAAGCGCGGGACGTTACCAGGACCCAGCTGAAACCGGCCGAACACACGGGGGTAGGGGGCTGGGGGGGGAAACGCGTGGCAGGGAGTTCCCGTGACCCGCCAGAGACGAGACTGCGGTCGGAACCGGTAAACCAGCTGTGCTCTGCTATCGCCAGTCACGGTGGAAATTGGGCCGCTGGGGACCTCAGGACAGGCGAGGAATTTACCCAGCCCAGGATCGTTCACCCGAAGATCGACGCTGGGGGCGGTTGGGTGGGGGGGGGGGGGCGAATCCTTCTTGAGAGCAGTCCCCAAGCCATTGGCTCGCCGCCACCCCGCGTGCCGGCCTGCCACCGGACGTCCGAAACGTGCCGAAGCGTCCCGTGATTTCGCGGTCTGCGCAAGACGCGTCGACTCGACCTCGCCTTGCCATGAAATCGTAACATTGAAGGAGGTGGGGGGGGGGGGGGGGGCCCTGTTTCTTTACTGAAATTTTATTTCATTTACTACTTATTTTTGTTATGCTACTCGTTCCTGTTGCTCCGTGCGCTCCCCCCCCCCCCCCCCCCCCACGCTGTGAAGCGCACCGATGCGCTACTTTATTGAGGGGCGATATTGGCACGTAAAGTGAAGAGACGTTTGATTGAACCTTGCCTCAAGCTCAACACTCCACAAAAGCAGCACGCTACATCGCAAAGGCCTCAAGGGCAAATTGTGATCTTTGTTGAAACGTCTAAAATGAAACAGCACCCGATGCAATGCTTATAGAGCAGGGCTTTCGAGGGGGCCTCCATCCAGCAACAAAATGAATACATCATACGTTGACTGGGGCTCGGTATTATAGACAGAGAAGCCCTTGCCAAATTCTGGCTAACGAGCAGCATTTGATTAACGAGTTTGACTCTGCCGATTACACCCAGAAGGTCAAAACCGGGCCAGAGTTTGGTTGTTTAAACAAATGCAGCTGGATAATGTTGGTCTGAGGAGCCCACAGGCTGATGGACTAACACATATGTCGTCTGTCCCCGCACCTCCGATTAGCGCGGTCGGCTACGTACGGCACGAAAGGAGCTCAACGTGTGTACGTACAGTTCGTTCTTCGTGGAGCGACAAACATTGGTCTCGCGGTGGTAACACTAACGCGCTCACAGCAAGGAGGGCCTTGCGTTCGATTCCTGACTCGGGCGATTTCTGAGTGGAGTTTGATCTCCCCCCTGTTCTGCGTCGGTTCCCTCCGGGTTCTCCGATTGTTCCTCCCACAACTGAGACTACGCAACGTTATTGGTGTTGGCCAAACACCTCAACGCAGGACCCTCCTGAAAAAAAAATTATCTTTGTATGTATGTTGAACTCCTTTCGCACCCTACGTAGCCAGCTAATCGGAGGTGTGGGTAAATAAATAGTTCGTTATTATTTTTGTATGAGCGAGAAGAGTGAAATGAGGATCAAGTTCATTGGAGGTAGTTGAGAAAAGTCTTGACCAGTAGCAGAGGGCCACCGGTAGAGAAGGGGAGCGGCCGAAGGTATCAAGAGGCCCTGAAGTGAGCGGAGCACAAGACGTGGGCGAGAAGAGCAGAGCAACACGAGGTGGCAGAGGCAGGAAGGGGAAACCCAATTACAGGATCTTGGGGTTTGGTGTTTTTGTTGTAGGTAGCATTAATCTATCTGAGTAACGTGTGCTTAGAAGAATACAATCTTGGACAAGTTCTGAATGAACGGTGTGGTTACACCTGGATCGCCCACAGTTGCTTTCCTGTTTTAAGAACAACAAAAAACTACCCACAGGAAGCTTTTTGTATCCACCAATGCAACGGAAGACTGTGGGTGACAACACTTGTAGGGGGGGGAAAAAAAGCAAATGCGATTATTCGTTCAAAAGAGACGAGGAGGGTGATTTGCTTCAATTAAATGGGAGTGATGTCAACATCGTTCATTTATATAATTTATTTATTGCAAGTTTCCCCGAACTGTATGATGTCCACCATCCACTGAAGGTAATCCTGGCATCAACACAGGGGCTTTTGTCACGCCTCCCTGCTATGGGTAGAAATGATCAAATTGATGATTCAATCGTCGTGGAACCGTAGGTAATGGGACAGATAATTGGTGCCCTCGCCTTACAGATAATAGAGAATGAACACGAGAGAATGACCGCAGGAGGTGCACGACACAATTTAGAACTGGAAAATAACATACTCGGGCAATGGAAAGTAATTTGCTGCGCTCACGGATTGTGTGAACACTACAGGAAGTTGGATAAGTCACCGGAACAATGCCGCCATTGGACAAAACCTGGAATGTCTGTGCCGATGAGTGAGGAACTAACTCAATGTCTCCACAGGTGTAGGCTATGGTGTTGTAGAGTGTATGGGCAATGCATGACGGAGATCGCTGAGAGCACCACTGCTCACCTGCCCTGCAGGTGGGTGGGTCTCGTGTACCTGGAGGTTCTTGTGTTTGCGTGATCAACCAGCGGCACCTTTAAGGGTTGTTGCTGGATTACGGATGCGTCTCAGTGCCACTACAGCCGGGGCTCTGACTTGACCATCAGCTACATCCTACTCAGTTTGGCACGTAGACTTTTGCGACCAGTATTATTCAGAAAATAAGTTTTTTGGTTTGGTGAAATCGCCCGATGATGCTGGATGTAATTACCAGCGAAACATCATGGTGCTTAAATTATAAATGTCGGTGGGTTTACTCTCCAACACACAACCGGTGGGGCTAAACTATGAACGAATATATATTCTTGGTTCGTTCGGTAAAGTCACGTAGAAGGGAAACAATAAAATAATAAAAATATACAACAATAAAATTCTCACGGCGTTTCGACTGCAACACAAGCAATCATCATCAGGTGTGAAAACCACAACAAGAAAATTTGAAAAAAGTGGCTGTTTTTTAACGTTAGCACCACGGAGAGCGATTTGACAGTTTGTTCAGATGGACGAGTCCATCTATGTTCGGAAAAGAGGAGGGGGGGAGACGAAAATAATGGATGCGGTCTGAAAGCCACCGTAAGCGTGATCAATCAATTAAGACCCGAAATGGTTTATCAAATCCTTCCAATGATTGCTAAGCCAGAATCCATCTTCTCGGTTGAAATTGTCTCTGTGTTTGTATATGTGGATAGCCTCATGAAGGAATCTCTCATGGTAGCCAGATGGCTTGCAAATAACCTCTGTCTTGGAGAAGTCAATGTCATGAACGAATGTTTTGTTTACGTGACAAACCTTACCGATTGGCAGGTTAGTGACACATTTATACTTACGCCATCGAACCCCCCAAAAACACCTTTGTTATTAAATCCTATCCAGCAGGAAAAGAAGCCTGACCCAGTGTTCAAAGCCAATGGGTTACGATGAATAGCAATGCGCGTACACCTCTTGAACCTATTACATTGCTAGATTTGAAGTTTTCGTGACTGCAATGATCCATACTCTTTGGTTCTTTCGGTAAAGTCACGTAGGTAAACATAAAAAACGAAAGTCAACCAAATCGCGACGTTTCGGAGGCAACACGAGCTTCCGTCATCAGGTGTAAAACTTGCGCAGCAAAATTACTGTAAAAATACATTGCGTTACATATTTCACTCAAGTACGGAATTTTATGCAACGTAACAAATTCCGTCACGCGATTATTTACTTTCAAGTCGCTGCTGAGCAAATTGTAGATTCTTAAGCACGGCCAATCGTTCATCTCAAGAAGGTGGTAAAACTAAAATATCAACTGGATTTAACATCCTGCTGTCTTAGCGCGCAGCCTGTGTTTTCGTTTAGCACTCTACGCCCTGATTAATGCCGTCGGGTCATCGGGGAGGGGGGGGGGAAGAAACATCGAAAACTCCTTCAGTCGGCAGAAACGGAGAACAAACGTGGATAAGAATGCAGAAGTAAATTCTGCAGCCTGCAGCCACTTCCACACGTCGTGGAAGCCATTCCTCATTGCTGTGCAAATACAAAAAAACATCTTCCATACGCCAATTGACAAAAATCACCCCCCCCCCCCCCCGAGAGCTAATACAGAGCCTGAATTGAGCAAAACCATCGTAATTACCGTGCACACGTGTTGCGAAGCCCTAGACAAAACGAACAGGGAGAATCCGACGTTCGGCACTCGAGAATTTTTATTTTATTTTAACCTCCTGCTGACTGACCCGTGTGGGTGGAACTTCGATTCGAATCTCTGATCGGTGGCGCTCAATCGGCAACCTCTCCTGGAGACACCATCAGCCTTCTGAGCCACCAATACATTCGGTTCCTCATTACGTCTTTTTTGTCAACGTAAGCCAAAAGAAGAAAAAAAAATACTTCAATGTAAATAGATTTGGGAACTCGGGCTACAAACAAATTTGTCCGCCAACTGAGTAAACAGGTCCAACAGTAACTCACGAGCGCGGTGAGATATCCGCCTTACGTAACTGCGCCGGTCGCGCTGACTGAAAGCACAAAGCGCTCAGTAGCAAAAGTAAACCCCGGTCAACCCCCCCCCCCACCCACCCCCCCCAGAGACTTACCCAGAGCAGCGGTTGTGCGCGACAAAGGACAATCGCTTCGCTGTGCCGAAGGAGCACGAAACGTTCTCAAGGGGGCTGCCCGTGGTGGAACAGAGACGCGAAGGTTTGTCGACACCCGTGGAGATTTTTTTTTTAAAGCAAGCTGCGAACTGCTCCGATCCGAGCGGCAAAGTAGCGCGGAGTGGAATGTGCAGATTTCAAAGGGCTCTGTTATCGGGATCACGCAATAATGTAATGGCGCAACGCGATTAAAAACAGCACCCCCACCCTCCCCAGCCATCCGACACAGCACAACACGGCCAACGCCAACCCCAGCTCAATCTGCCAATGTCCCTGGCGCACCCCAGACAAGCAAACGCACGGTGCGTTAATCATTAGCTGTTCCCAAATGAGGCTCGCATTAAGTAGAGCCCCCCCGCCGCCCCTGACCTCTGCTGATGGGTCACGCGTAGCGGACTGCATGCGACGACGTGCCCTGCAGCGGTAGGGCCCTCACGGCTGAGCAGCTGACCCCGGGCATTTCCTACAAACACTGCTGAAGGGTTGCCAGCCCAATAATGTTTACTCTGCCTCTCTCCGTACAATCCCAGGTTAGCTGTTCCCCTGTCCGTAGCCGGCGCCCCTGCGTGGCACTGTGGACAAAAATACATTCTCTGCACGCGAATTGGCGATTGAAGCTTCTCCGGGGTGCATTGTGCAATACGTGCCGTGCTACTGTGATGCGGTGGGTCTCTTGTGTAGGTGGCGGCATGCTGTGATAAAAGCCAGGCACAGAGCCGCGAGAGAGTCGCTCCCAAAAATCGTTCGGCCTAATCGCCCTTCAACTACTTTGTCCCACGTCTGAGCGAGCAGTTGAGGAGGTGTCTAGCCACGCCCCTTTTGGCACAACCCCGCCCCTTTTCTGGTTAATCTCCCCCCCCCCCCACCAACATCAGGATCATAATAGCCAATCGTTATTTAAAAATGAGAGCGATGGTGAAATTCCTCACAACAAAATCGCCGCTTGAAGGTTGGAGCCTGCCGCCGATGTGAGCAACCGGTTTGTGCGACTGATCACTCATCAGGTGCGGACCAAGCTTGAGCAAAACATCAAAGGCTTGGTTTTAATCGATGAAGCATGAGGTCTTCTGTATCGACTGGTGGGCTTCCAATGGACAGCAGCGTTTTGACTTCGTTAACACTTTGAAAGCCTCACCACCACCACCATCATCATCATCGTCAATCGGGATTGCACACATCAGCGATCATTGCCTCTCGCTGGCCCCGCTTAATGCCCGACGAAGGCCAGGTGCTGAATCCCACCTTGCGACCGACGCAACGACTGCCACTGTGGGCACCCTTCCAACCGAGTTGAAATGGGATGCGAAAACCATTCGCTTTTCGTGGTGTCACGCGCCCCGAGACGTTAAGGTGCTCCATCAAAAACAAATCGTTGTCACTGTAACCGTCGGTTGTTGGTAGAACTTCCCGCGTGAAACAGAATCTTGGCCTCAGTCACTGCACTAATGACGAACATCGCCACTTCCACACCCATTCCAGCACACCTTACGAGTTCCACCGCGGGTACCAAACGTGACCCTGAAAAATCGACGAAAGATTAAAAAAAATATCCCTGCTCCCCCCTCTCGTCACTAATTAACAACTCTCTGTCCCTCTCTCTCTCTCCCACTCAGCCAACTCCCCTCATCTTTTTTTTTACAGTTTTCCGCTGTGAGACGTGGGCACAATTTCGGTCTCCCCGGGCTCAAATGACACATCCGACGATGCTCTGTCTCTTATCAGCAGAATTCTCATCCCACTCCACTCACTGCGCTGGCGCTTCAGAAATGGCAGAAGCAACGCTACTCTGGTGGAGGCCGATGCCGATCATGGGCCATGATCGAGAGTCTGGCTTTTCCACCGGTAGGCCGAACAATGTAAATAACGACTCCTTCCCACGTTTGTCTCTCTACAACAACAACAAAAAAACAAACTATATTTTGACACAAGCCATTAGCTGCAAGGCCTCCTGGGAGTCCATGTTATCCGCAGCATCAGTTCAACACGAGCAAATTCTGGACCGGTATCGACATTCAGTGGTATCTCATTAGTAGCCAGGCTTTACTGGAACCATTGTAGGGTTTAAACTTTACGCTCCTCAGAGGAGGTACCTACGACCCTCCCAGCCTCGGCTCTTCCGCTCGACGCTGGGGAGGTTGGGTCCTCCCAAGCGTTGCCCCAAGGATCTGGAATGCCTTGCCGGCGGCGATCCGGCACGCTGCGGGCCTCGGTGTTTTGAGGAGGCGGTGCAAGACTCACGATTTTCTCACGGCTTTTACTTAGACATGATTTAAATTTCTTTGCATTTTATTTTCGCGCGCAAATATGTTCATACCCCCTTCAGTGGAGGTGATATTACATTTAAAATAAATACGGTTTGCGGAGGATAACAACAAGAAAATCAATCACAGCTCTTTCCCACATTTATCTCCCCACATTAAAAAAAAGTAAATTTTATACAAGCCATCGGCCAGAATGAAACTACTGCTCAGGCGTTTAGATGCGAAAATCGTCATATTACGTGTGTGCTTATGTGTGTCTTTCGAACTAACGAGGAATGCTATCCTACGACAGTTGAATTCAGTGAGTTCAGTGTTGGCACGACTCAGCCCTCGTTCCCATCTGGATGCCTTCATTAGCAAAGCCGTGCCTGCAATGCAACCGTTCATTCTTGCTCAAACAATTACATCGATGGAGTCTTAAGAATTGTTCTTGAGAGTTCTGCTTTGGCAAGTCTGGATAACTTGCTTTCTTAACAATTTTTTTGCCGAACGTGGGAAGAAACACAAGGGGAGAACACTCAACTTATACAGTTTGGAGCCTATTTGCTGTACTGCACTGTATTCTACACACAATTTGCTGCCTCTGCAGGTTTGGTGTCTCGTGCATGATTAGAAAGATCTTTGTGGAAAATCCCTCCACCAATCCATCCTCAGAGTTGTCGAATAACAGGTGGCGAGATGTTGACTACCTCGCCTGGTATACAGGAGATCATGGGTTCGATCCGACTCTGACGCCTGTATATTTAAAAGTTTGCCCCTCCACATTTAGAAACATGCGTTTAGAGTATTTGGCTGTTTAAATTTTCCACGTGATGATAAGCCACTCTGTTGCGTTATCATTTGTGGCCAGGTCACTTTTGTAAAAGGGCTACATAGCTCAGTGGGCCTTACCTGGAAAAATAACAAGTTTAGTTTAGTTAGTATATCGACACAGCAGACAGTCGAACAAATATCCGAACCACACACGCACGTGTAGGAGAAAAGTGGTCTCCTCACCTCCGTCCAGAGTGTTTCCAAAGATGCTTTTCGATGGAAGTTTCACATTCAGCTCTGGAAACTGCTTCTTCAGCTGTGTCGGGAAGAGAGGGAGAAGACAATCAATACCGAAGCAAGGCAATGGACAAAGATGAAACCATACAGTGCCTGAGTAAACACGTGGCATATTGAACAGTGCCAAAGACTGAAGGTCACTGTTAACCGCATTGGCACGATTATACCGGCTGCAGATAGCAATAATATAAACATCGGGCATCTTGGCGGGCTTCGTTGAGACGTCAGCATCTAAACGAAGTACTGACAACACCGTGTAGTTTTGTGTTCATCTGTCCAGCGAGTCGTTTTGTGTTCATCTGTCCAGTGAGTCGTTTTGTGTTCATCTGTCCAGTGAGTCGTTTTGTGTTCATCTGTCCAGCGAGTCGTTTTGTGTTCATCTGTCTAGTTAGTCGATTTGTGTCCATCTGTCCAGCGAGTCGATTTGTGTTCATCTGTCCAGTGAATCGTTTTGTGTTCATCTGTCCAGCGAGTAGTTTTGTGTTCATCAGTCCAGCGAGTAGTTTTGTGTTCATCTGTCCAGTGAGTAGATTTGTGTTCATCTGTCCAGCGAGTAGATTCGTGTTCATCTGTCCAGTGAGTCGTTTTGTGTTCATCTGTCCAGTGAGTCGTTTTGTGTTCATCTGTCCAGCGAGTAGATTTGTGTTCATCTGTCCAGTGAGTCGTTTTGTGTTCATCTGTCCAGCGAGTCGTTTTGTGTTCATCAGTCCAGCGAGTCGTTTTGTGTTCATCAGTCCAGCGAGTCGTTTTGTGTTCATCTGTCTAGTTAGTCGATTTGTGTCCATCAGTCCAGCGAGTCGTTTTGCTGTGCAATTCTGAAACTCTTCGTCGGCCACAAATTGTTCTCAGCACCCGCAACGTGCACACTCCCCCCGTCGTATTTCAGAAGCTCCGCAGGGCTTCTTGAGCCTGCAGTGCTTGGGTGGGCCAACTACCATCCACAGCAGGTGTTGACAGCCGCAGGGCCCATGCTGTGGGCAGCAAAATACACCGCTGCATTGTACTTCTATGTTCCCCACATCCATGCTGTCCTTGCCGCATTCACCAGCCCACAGGACTGACCGGTGATGTGAAGTTCACCCTCCAGCGGCTGTTTCGCTCCCTCGACCCCGGTGCTAATGGGAGTCGCTCATCCGCAGTGAGGTGGGCGCGGTGTGGGAAGCACAGGTGGTGCGTCCGCCAGCCATCTCCACCGACGAAATCCATAACACCTGGATCTCTCCCGTGACGTCTATCCAACCGAGGAATCGATTGAACGCAGAATCGATGCTTTGGATTGATCCACCTGCCTGGTGGCCGCATGCTGTATATCATCAACCAAGATCAATCCGCTGATGGATGAAGGCCTAGCAAGTGACCGCCATCTGCCTCAATCCGGCAAATACAATGATCCACCCGCACATTCAATTACTGAATCGCTCTGTCTCCGCAGTGTACGGCCCCTTCGACGTCTTCCATTCAACGGCTGCAACTCCGAATTTGTTTGTACTTACCATAGTCATCATCCCTTTATGATAGCCAACACATACCCTGCCCACGCCTGCTTTTATTTAAGCTTGGACAACCTTTATTGACCTGCGTCACCACCCATGTCCCCGCCGCTGTCTCTCAATGCGATTCAAAGCACGGATCTCTCGACACTGCCATGGTGTTGGGCGGTGCGGCGCGTACCACAGTGTGGAGGCGGCTGAACTCTCTGTGCTTGTGGAGGACGGACCAGGAGGAGCCCTCTTGTGTCACCACCACTTTGAACGCCTGCCACCACACGCACACACAAAGACAAAAGATCCACCGTGCGGCCTGCAACAGGCCGTTGGGGCAAGCGCTGCTAGCGAGCAGCACCTGTGAAGGCCGGCACGGCACACGAGGGGGTGCGGGTGGCCAGCACCATGCCCGGCCGCCTTTGTCTCCCCAGCGGCGATGTTTACACACCGTAACGGGTACTAATTTGAGGCTGAGTGGACCTAGTGAAGGCCCAGGACCAGTTCAGATAATCGTTATTGGTTCTGACTGCGAGTGGGAATCGAACTCAGGTCGCTGGGTTCATAGCGCAGCGCTAACCATTACACTAGCGCTCCCCACACACACGCACGCACCCACACAGATGAACGTGCGCACGCACGCACCACACACACACACGTGCAGTTTTTACAGCTCTCGCCCGATAGCATGATCCACATCGCGACGGGTCAGGCCAACACCATCCCACCCCATCCGGCCTTTGTCTCTCCAGTTCTGCGGACCTGTCACTCATTTCATGCTGATCTGACGACAAAAGGGCAAGATTTTAGTCCCAGATGCCAACGTTGACAATATCTAACGGCCAGGAATGCAACTCGGGTAACACAAGTTGAAACAATAATTACACCAAATATAGACCCCCGTCGTGGATGGTGAAGAGCCAAATGGGCGAAAGCATTCAGCGCCGATCCAGATTCATTTTCACAGCAGCTCCTGGGTAACTTCCAATGTAATGAGGTTTTGCAACTCACACAAAGCACTTTGGTTGGGAGGAGTGCTGTGGCAATTACCGCCTGGCAAATACGAATCGACGTACACCGCATAAACCCAGCGAGTGGCTGTAATGGCAACTGAACTGCAAACGCTGTGTAAGCCCACGAATAGAAGCTCAAGTTCTTGCCCCCAGGTGAGGCACGGGGCGGTGCTTTTACGGCGTCACGAAGGCAAGGGGCCCGAGGAAGACCACAGGGCCCATGGCAAAGTTTTACGGCCGCACTCCGCCACGTTTAACAGCTTCAATCGTCTCGCAGAACTCACGAAGGGGGGACAGTTTAGTGCCCACGCACGCACACACACGCCACGCCACTCAACCACTGCGCAGCCATTCGCCACGACGTGGATGGTGACGTCACAGCGGCGCCTGCGGTGCCAGGCTAGGTGCACTTTGAGCAGCAGGCGCCTGCATGGCCCGCACGCAGAAAGCGGGTATAGCGGCCACGGCGACCGCTCACCAGCACCACACGTTACTCACCAGCACCACGCGTTACTCACCAGCACCACGCGCCACTCACCAGCACCACACGTCACTCACCAGCACCACGCGTTACTCACCAGCATCACACGTTACTCACCAGCACCACACGTTATTCACCAGCACCACACGTTACTCACCAGCACCACACGTCACTCACCAGCACCACGCGTTACTCACCAGCACCACGCGTTACTCACCAGCACCACACGTTACTCACCAGCACCACACGTTACTCACCAGCACCACGCGTTACTCACCAGCACCACACGTTACTCAGCAGCACCACACGTTACTCACCAGCACCACACGTTACTCACCAGCACCACACGTTACTCACCAGCACCACACGTTACTCACCAGCACCACACGTTACTCACCAGCACCACACGTTACTCACCAGCACCACACGTTACTCACCAGCACCACACGTTATTTACCAGCATCACACGTTACTCACCAGCACCACACGTTACTCACCAGCACCACACGTTACTCACCAGCACCACACGTTACTCACCAGCACCACACGTTACTCACCAGCACCACACATTACTCACCAGCACCACACGTTACTCACCAGCACCACACGTTACTCACCAGCACCACACGTTACTCACCAGCACCACACATTACTCACCAGCACCACACGCTACTCACCAGCACCACACGTTACTCACCAGCACCACGCGTTACTCACCAGCACCACACGTTACTCACCAGCACCACGCGCTACTCACCAGCACCACACGCTACTCACCAGCACCACACGTTACTCACCAGCACCACACGTTACTCACCAGCACCACACGTTATTTACCAGCACCACACGCTACTCACCAGCACCACGCGTTACTCACCAGCACCACACGTTACTCACCAGCACCACACGTTACTCACCAGCACCACACATTACTCACCAGCACCACACGTTACTCACCAGCACCACACGTTACTCACCAGCACCACACGTTACTCACCAGCACCACACGTTACTCACCAGCACCACACATTACTCACCAGCACCACACGCTACTCACCAGCACCACACGTTACTCACCAGCACCACACGTTACTCACCAGCACCACACGCTACTCACCAGCACCACACGCTACTCACCAGCACCACACATTACTCACCAGCACCACACGCTACTCACCAGCACCACACGCTACTCACCAGCACCACACGCTACTCACCAGCACCACGCGTTACTCACCAGCACCACGCGTTACTCACCAGCACCACACGTTACTCACCAGCACCACGCGCTACTCACCAGCACCACACGCTACTCACCAGCACCACACGCTACTCACCAGCACCACACGTTACTCACCAGCACCACGCGTTACTCACCAGCACCACGCGTTACTCACCAGCACCACACGTTACTCACCAGCACCACGCGCTACTCACCAGCACCACACGCTACTCACCAGCACCACGCGTTACTCACCAGCGGGGCGGTCTGCTCACCAGCACCACACGCTACTCGTCAGCCGTGCTAAGAGGTATTTACTGTATGTGCGTTGAACTTATTTCGCACCGTAGGTAACCAACCGTGCTAATCGGAGGTGCGGAGGAAGGGGAATAACCAAAACACAAAAAGCATTTCTAAAGAAATTAGTTTGTCCATCTAGATGTAAACGTGCACAGCTCCCAATAGCTTCCTAATATGAGAACGAAGAGCGTTCCAGACGGCCGCAGAAGCACATCTGAAAGCGCGCAATGATGACTAAATACAGAGATGTGACAGAGAGCTTTTGCTAACTTCCTGACCTTTTTGGCGCAGGCTGGGACACGTTTAAGCGGCGACTTATTCCCGGCGACGAGACCTGAGATGGATGATTTTTGGAGACAATATTTCGCCTGGTAAACCCCTTTCGAGATGGAACATCAAGAATATTAATAGTTACGTGCGTGAATGGTGTTCGCACCATCCTAGAGTGCAAGGCGATCACCGCAAAGTAAGGCGCCGCTGTGTTTCACAGTCGTCGGACGTTGCTGCTGTGTGCAATGGCTACTTTAGTCATGTGCGACCCCGAGTCTCAGACGGCAGCCGCTGAAGTGGAAACGTCGAACCTCTGGAACTCTCAAGAGATTCAAAGGCGAGGGGCGCCTGCCACGCAAGATAGCGTGCACCGCTTTGCCGAGAGCGTGTAGCAAACACACACGCACACGTGCTTACTTCATGCTACGCAAGGAGATGGTCGCAGTTCCATGTCGCAGGTGGGGGGCTCAGCCCCCCACCCCCCGTGGCTCTGCCCCTGATGACAATGCCCCCCCCCACCCCGGCCCTGCGCGAGTCACCGAGTGGCCCAAATCGCCGTCGAGTACCGTCCAGTGTGAGGGATCGTCGCTGCGCCGCTGTCCATTCTGCAGATTCTGGCACCCAGCCACTTTCAAACCCGTTCCCTGCATTGAAGGGGAAGTCTGCTGTGGACAGCAGTGGAGGATGCCTCCACAAATATGGATGTCGCCTGATACGGCTGGTTGTAATTGCCGGTGAAATGTCACGGTGCTCCAATGGTAAGTGTGGTGGGTTCACTCTCCATACACACCGGCGTGCTGTACCAGTAACGAATTAACCATGTTTTGTTGACGTGACGAGCCAGACTAATTGGCTGTGTCGGGTGGTGGCGGGTTCTCACGACACATTTATATATTTACGTGATTTAACCCCCCCCCCCCCTATTACGGCTTCACGAGTCAATCGGCGGAGAGCGCGACGGACAGGGCGAGAGGCAACCAGCTCCTACATGACAATCACGAGCGGAGCCAGGATTTTGACTTTGGGGGGGCTGACATCAATATTCTGAGATATCTCAGTGTGTGCATGTTTTCCAATGGGCGCCACAAATGTATGAAACACATTTTATTGGATTTGAACGCGGAGTTTATTAACAGGTCGGAGCCGCTGATGTGGCTAATAAGTTCGATAAGTTCGAAAGGCTGCCGCTAAAGCAGCCTGCAGGGCAGCACACAAGGTGGCAGCCTGCAGGGCAGCACGAGGTGGCAGCCTGCAGGGCAGCACAAGGTGGTAGCCTGCAGGGCAGCACAAGGTGGCAGCCTGCAGGGCAGCACACGGTAGCAGCCTGCAGGGCAACACGAGGTGGCAGCCTGCAGGGCAGCACGAGGTGGCAGCCTGCAGGGCAGCACAAGGTGGCAGCCTGCAGGGCAGCACGAGGTGGCAGCCTGCAGGGCAGCACACAAGGTGGCAGCCTGCAGGGCAGCACAAGGTGGCAGCCTACAGGGCAGCACACAAGGTGGCAGCCTGCAGGGCAGCACACAAGGTGGCAGCACAAGGTGGTAGCCTGCAGGGCAGCACGAGGTGACAGCCTGCAGCATTTTGCAGCAGCTGGATATCCGGTTATCCCGATTACCGACTTTCCCAAAATTTCAGGGGGGGGCTGAGCCCCTCCCAGCCCCCCCTTTCCCCCCCGTGGCTCCACCCCTAATGACAATGCCCCCCCCCCCGGCCCTGCGCACTGCACGAGTCACCGAGTGGCCCAAATCGCCGTCGAGTACCGTCCAGTGTGAGGAACTGTCGCTGCGTCGCTGTCCATTCTGCAGATTCTGGCACCCAGCCACTTTCAAACCCGTTCCCTGCATTGAAGGGGAAGTTTGCTGTGGACAGCATTGGGACAAAAGTTGCCTCCTGTGAGGAAATCCAAAAGCTGCGGGATCATTATGAGGATCGCATTGTCAAAGAGGGTGACCGTTGAAAAAAGAATGATGTTCTCAATAATGGGACCCATT